AATAGTTTGTTTCTTCTTCAAGCTTGAATTTTCTAAACTTGTTTTCATCTTCTTCTATAGCACAGTCTTCACATTGGTTAAGGTACAACACATTCAAAGTGGACATGTCTTTTTCAGTTTCATCATCCACAATGCATAGTGCGCCATTAAATTCTGGAATGAATTTTTTGTCCATGCGGGTCTCCTTTTTAATGCTGAGGACTGTATCATTCACTTCACGCATTTTCATCCCTTTCATACAACGATCCTCCAAATCTTCTGGTTTGAGAATACTTTGTAGACTGATCCACTTATCATAAGTGTTTTCATTGTCTGCTAAGCACAGCATATGCTGGTGTCCATGCATTTCTTTGTAGAAGCATTTTAATACCTCCAGCATTGGGTCTTTTTCTGAATCGACTGTGCTCAAAAGTAGGAATACCACCAAATGTGTGCCTGTCTGTAGAACTCGAGTGCAGAGAAAGCTGATCACATTAGCCACAGCTGAGCTACGATCACGATGCCACATGTCAACATCCATCCACGCTTCTTTTGAATCATTGAGCGGAGACCATCCGTTACAGTATATCCATTGACATATCTTTCCAATCTTCAAGTCATCACAAAATTTGTCCAGGCCCTTATACCAGCCATCATATGCCTGTGGTGAATTCAGCTGAACGGCCAACTTATTATCCCTAAACATTTTGTGCAATCCATTGTAATAAGATTTTGAATTAAAATCTAATACGGCAAGCCACGGGATTTCTTTAATAAACGTTAAGTCATTCAAAATAGAATCTGTTTCAGGACTATTTGTGACCAATAAATAATGATCATAAGTAGACTCGTCAAGTGTTTTCTCACCACCGGTAATAAGTTTAGTAAGTTTTAAGTCAAGACCGGTGTGCATTGCTTTCCTTTCAGTTTTTGATGTGTGCGCTTCTTCACATTGAAGCCTCCGATTTATCAACACCGGTAAATGATTTTCTAAGTATTGCTCAATGTTGCCGATCTTTTCTGACAAATCTCGATCCCGTTTGAAAGCTATTTCTTTTGCACCCTTGCCTGCATCTGGTATCAGCTTTACACGCACAATCTTATTTCCACATGTTTTATGGGCTGGCACTATGTCAACTTCGATCACAAATAGGTTATTTGCCAAATGTGTACCGGAGGAACCTACTTTTACAAATCGAGGTGGTCTCATACAAGAGCTAACAATTGTTCGCTCATCATCAGTACATAAACATGTGGCGAGGCCATCCAACAACCACTGCTGATAGTCTCTCACATCGGACACATCTACTCCAAGAACTTCAGCATGTAGGCAACCATTTTCCTTGTCCCCCACTCCAAAATGGATAGTGCCATTTGTTCGACTGTTTATGCAAGCTGAAGCAAACCTGAAAGTTTCATTTATAAAAGACTTCTTTTTTTTCTCCTCAGAAGTACAAGTCCCAGGTTGAAAAGCCTTATATTCATGGCAGGGTGTGATCAAATTCCCTTTGCCAGATTCAGGAGGTAAACATTTCCCTTTGCCATAACTGTATTTAGAACTATCACTTTCAAAGGGGCATGGGTCAATCAATATAATCTCTCTTCCTTCATTACCTATTGTTAATGTACACTGAGGATCAACCATAGCAGGTGTTTCTGCAAACCCTTTTGAGTTGCGTTTGCTCTGAGGCAATTCCTTTTTCTTTTCCGACTCAGATTTAGCAAGATCTGTTGTCAGTTTTGTTGTGCTGACTGGCACTGTGTCTTGCACAGATTTAGAAATATACTCATCTCTTTTTTTAATCAGTAAAATCATCTGCCCTCGAGGTATCTTAAAACTATCACAATCTTCTTTACTTAAAACAACAAGTACGGCCCCCGTGACTTCTTCTTGTTTAAGTTTGTCACACGAAGACTCGTTAAACTGGATCTCACGCAGCCAGTTCTGAACGTGGTTGTCCTTCCAGTCTTTCATATTTTCTGGACGACGCTCTGTAAAGCCAAACATTGCAATAAAGGCAAACATAACAATAAGCAAAAATATCAAAACACCAGTACTGTATTAACAGTGTATTAACAAAATATTGAATGTTTTCTTTTATAATTTTCAATGTTTTATTTCTAATTTCAATTTTTTTTCTACGTGACTTTACCGAGAGAACCAAGAATATGAATTCCTGCAGTCACGAACGTTTCAAGTCGAGACTCCTAACTGGCACATTAAAATCAATCCCACAGACTTGGTTACTCCTACTCCCCCATATTGCATCAACACACTCCATACATAATTACAGCACAGAAATTGTATTTCCATACACTGTAAACTGTGCATCTTGAGCACCATCCCTCTTTGAGAACAGCAGGTACCACAAACAAACATGGTTTAGTTGTAATACACGTGGTTGAAGACCTTTTCCCACTCATCTATACCACTGCCATGCATTTTCAAAATATGTACGTGTGGCATATGCAAAACTTGCATTGCATTGTCTAGCCTATGTAGAAAGGCACGAAAATCATATTGTATTTATCAATAAAAATACAAACAAGATTCCTCACTCACCTTCAGTCTCCGAAACAGTTTTGTTGACCTGAATATTTCGATTTAGCACTCGTCCCTTTGAATCCAAACCATCTCCTCCTTCAAAAGGGGACGTTTCTGCACCACCTGATGCTCCTTGTGAGTCCACTTTGTTAGACAGCTGCCCAGATGAGGGCTTAGTTTTAGCAGTGGCTGGTTGCTGTGTTGGGGAGGTGCTTCCTGACTGTGAACTGACGACTGGATTTTTTTTCTTTTTCTTCACCTTTGATTTCTTCCATGTAGCACCACCTAAGAGGCACAATGTAACCAATGCAATATTTAAGATACAAAGAAACACAATGAAAGTACTAAAGGGGACAAATTGTGCTCGAGTCGGTTGTGCTATAAATTGTGGCACACATTTCCCACTCGCCTACACTCCTCTTACGCATCCCAACCCAACTCCACTCGGAATACCGTTCACGCACTAATTAAGCTGCGCACAGCAGGAGATGGTATGCATATGTGCACAAGCAACTTTAAAGCTAGAGTGCAAACTGTATTTATCTGTTATACAACATTCTGGAGCCTATTTCCTTGAACGGCAATATCTCATTCTTTTCAGTCAAAACTCATAGAGCTGTCCTTCCCCCGCACCTCCAATGAGGACGGTTGGCTATGTACAGCGCGCGTAAAATAAGTTCAACAAACATGCATAATAACCACAAATGACACTACATCTATGTCTCATTAAAACAGACTGATAACTAACGTTTAATGTGTTTGTTGTTTATTCAGCACCCTTGTAATGGGTTGCCAATTTATGGCGCTATAGAAATTTCAATTATTATGTTTATGTTATTCATAAAGATAATACTTCAAGCCAGTCAAAATCTATTCAGCTTTCCACATCTAGTGGATCTAATCCTTCAACGTCTGCTTCAACGTGATGTCAATAATTTGAAATACACTGTGCAAAGGGGAAGTTTTGTGATTAAATTGTAAATACATTGATAATTGTTTTTTTACCCTTCTATCTGGCAACAAAACTGACACCTTTTTACAAGGAGTCATGTTTGCATAGACCGCAATACCTGCAGTCATAATACAAACAAAAGACATAACTCTGATAATGTGCACTGTCCTTGAAGTTGATTGGTCCACACCCTAGACAGCTTTCCTTAGAGCCTAGTCTCACATGGGTTGGACCAGATGGCACCTTTTGGCGTCATCTGGTCCAACCCATGTGAGAATAGGGACAGTGCACATTATCAGAGTTATGTCTTTTGTTTGTATTATGACTGAAGGTATTGCGGTCTATGCAAACATGACTTCTTGTAAAAAGGTATCAGTTTTGTTGCCAGATAGAAGGGTAAAAAACCAATTATCATATTTTTACTGGCAAATGAGGTTCCCATAGCGTAAATACATTGTAAGGAAATCGTTTTACGAGGTAATTAAAGTATATATTTATCTCAAGTTGTTATTATTTGCAGGATGTCAGATATCCCCAATAACTATGAATGTTCTTCGAAAAATTAGTCTGACTTTGGGAGGTTTTACTGTACCACAGAAAACTCTGAACTAAATTCCTCACTCACCTTCAGTCTCTGCAATAGCCTTATTGGCCTGAATATTTTGATGTAGAACTTGGCCCTTGCAATTCGAACCATCTCCTCCTTCAGAAGGGAAGCTATCTGTACCACCTGATGGTCCTTGCATGAGTCGGTCCTCTGAGTCCACTGTGTCAGACAGCTTCCCAGATGATGGCTTTGTCTTAGCACTGGCTGGTTTCTGGGAGGTACTGTCCGACTGTGAGCTGACAGCTGGACATTTTGATTTTTTCTTTGCCTTTGATATCTTCCATGCATCACCACCTAAGACGCCAAATGTAACCAATACTGATATTTAAGATACGCAATACCGCAATTATAGTACAAACCTAGACTACTAAACACTACTTTAGTTGTACTATAAATGGTGTCAAACATTTTCCCACTGCTACACAACCCTTACACCTGCAGCATCTGTAAAACTTGCAACACATTGTGCAAACCACATTGAAAAGCATGGAAACAATCTATTGCCATCATCATCAGCCATGATCTATTCACTGATAAAGGACCCTCCCTCCCAAACTACCACCATCTCTCATCGTCTTGTTATGCAACATTCCACGTAGTTCCAGCATACTGAGAAACACAAAATAAATTACTTGTAGATAACACACAAGCAATTGGGAGTGATTTGCTGCACAACTCATCTTATCTGTAAAACAAAATGTGCGGACAATTGGACACTATTTCATAGTAAAGGCATGGTTAAGGGTATATTAATAAGAAAAAAATAGAGCTGCAGATAATTTGAGCTTTTGTGCATCTTTTACTGTTCCTGCGGATAATAGGAGTTGCAGGTAATATGGCCGTGGATGAAAGAAGTACTGTATTACTAATACATCTACCAAACTCGATTCCTCACTGACCGTCAATTTCTGAAACAGTTTTGTTGGCCTTGCAATCTCCTTCGGAAGGGAACGTTACTGCAGCCCCGCGATGCTCCTGGCGCGGTGAGCTCTTCTGCGTTACACAGCTGCTCAGGTAATAGGCTTCGTTTTTGCAGTGGCTGGTTGCTGTGATGGTGAGGAACTTCCTGACTGTGAGCTGACACCTGGATCTTTAGGTTTTTTCTTTTTCTTCACCTTTGATTTCTTCAAAGTATCACCACCTTCAAGGCAAACATTTAACCATCGATATTCAAGATATGCAACAACACATTTACGGAAACAAAAGACTACTATATATAACGTTTGCACCTCTATCGTTCTGTGTGCACTTTTAAGTTTTTGTTCTATTTTATAGGTTAATGTGCATGTTTATTATCCAGAGCAAGTAATATGAAATTTTAAAACAAGTTCTTCTTTAGGCACAAAAGAACATGTCTTCTCTCCCAAGTCTCCTCATTCAATGCATTTAACTACTCTGTTCGTGGAATATCAATGTTGCTGTTACATCCTTGTAAATGGTTTTCACGTTTTGGTTTCTGAGAGCTGGGATGCATCAATTTTTACCCAAATAATTTTTTCATATTTTACAAAGGCTCAGCGTATTGACGGAACTCCTCTTATCGCTGTGATATGGGTGACCAATCGCATGAGAACCTATTACCCACGAATTGACTCCACTTATCTACGGTGAAAAATTGCAGATGAGTAATTTACCACTCCTGATTATTCACGAAAACATTGTGTCAAAGACGCACGGAGAAACACAAAATACATCATGTGCATATGACTCATGAGTAATTAAAAGTGATTTGCTGCACTACTGTCTGTAAAGAAAATTGCGCGCAATTGGACAGCATTCCGCATTAAAGCTGCACATAACGGCAGATATATATAATCAGAAGAAACAGAGCCGGGGATCATTTAACTTTTCTTGAAACTTATTGCTCCCGTGGATAATACAAATTGCAGGTAATAGAACCATGGATGAGACGAGTTCACCTATACTATATATACCAATGTACCAAACTAGATGATTCCGCACTCACCTACAATCTCCAAAACAATTTTGTTGGACTGAATATTTTGATGTGGCACATGGCCCTTGCGATCCAAACCATCTCCCTCGGAAAGGGACATTTCTTCGCCGCCTGATGTTGCTTGGGAGATTTGGTCCTCTGAGTCCACCACCTCACACAGCTGCCCAGATGATGGCTCAGTCTTAGCAGTGGCTGGTAGCTCTGATGGTGAGGTACTTCCTGAATGCAAGCTGACAGCTGGATCTTGAGCTTTTTTATTTTTCTTCACCTTTGATTTCTCTCGTGTATCACCACCTTCAAGGCCAAATGTAACCATTATGATATTTAAGGTATGCAGCAACACAATTACAGTACGAAATTCTGCTTGTCTAAATAAATGTAACAAATTATATTAATATGCGAATATTTGGTTTAATGTTTCTACATCAGCAGCACCATACTATATTTACAATATATGTTTCACAAGAGGCTATATGTTAAACTACACAAATGTAGCAGTACTATTCGTTTTAGTTACTCTAAAGGGACTATAGAAAATTTGAACGATGCACAGTACAGTGGAGGGGGGGAGTAATGGTGCAATTAGCATACTTCACTATGACTGACAAGTTGAATTTACAGCCACAGTTAATGTATTAATCAATGCTCATTGGCTCTTGGTCAGCAATATATCAAAATGCTTTCAGAATAAAGTTTGAAATCAGTGAATATTACCAGCTATGATGTATGCCTCACAAACATGGACAATAACAATGTCACACATTAATAACTTTAAACAGGTTTACAAATATGGATAAAAAAATAGTTAAAAGTGCACAAATAAGTAGAAAGATATGCATGCTAGGAATTGCACTGAGAGACGGCAAGGGAAAGCACTGGTCGTGGTATGTCAGTCAAAGAGTGAATGTGTCCAAGAGTATGACCACTGTGGAGACAGACCAATGATATAAATCAGCTCAAGTGCTGAAGTGAGATGGATTGTGGCATTGTAGGATCTTCATCTAGCAATGGATTGATAATTTGTAATGACGTGGTCATGCTGAAGCACTGTAATATAAATTCCATAACTTACCACGCATCGGTGATAAATGTGGACCTTTATCTTCAACAAAAGTTGTCTCTTCTGTTCCCCCTGATGCCCCTTGTAGGGAGACATTGTGCAGTGCATGCTGGTCACTTTGCTGCTCATCTTGAGACACAGAGGCCTGTCCATCTTGCACATTAGTGGGAGCTGAAACATTGTCCATCTGTTGTTTATTATTTGTTTTCTTTTTTCTTCCACCTCCTAGCAGACCTAAGCAAACCTCTATATTTGTCCCATTGCCCACTCCAAAATTCTGCAAGGGACTGCCCTGTAAAATCTGAAAAACAATAATTTTCCCATTACTGCATTGCATCTTATTTGCCACGATATTTTGAAATGTAAGTTAATCTAAAACTGATCAACTGTGTAGTTATTTTAAAGTAGTGTTTATTAAACAATTTAGTGAGAGGGAAGGTGGTTAAGCACCTTGCGCTATGAACCTGGCATCCAGAGTTCGATTCCCAGCTACGGATAACACCAGTGGTGAACGATTTACGAACTAACTTTGGGCCCTCTTTCACCATTCCATTCTGCCCAATACAGGTACCAGCATAATTGTGAATAATGAAAAAACAACCCCTATGACTGACAAGGTGTGGGGAGGCCCTCATCCAGTAATGGATTGAAAAGGAACTGTACATTATTCATTACAAAATTATAAAGTACTGTACTAACCATAATTCAATAAGGATATAATGTAAATGTCTATTACATTTCTGTAATGATGGAAAATCATAATACAATGCAAGTATTTAAATTAATTAATAAGTACTAAGCAGTAACTGTAGTACCTGTACTGATTAACATGAACAATCGACCTGGACTGTTTGCTCTTTTACCTTTCTGCAGCCATAAAAAATGATGCAATTGTTGGGATTTTAACTCCCTTTTCCCCAAGAGATTCAACAACATCTTCGAGAGTAGAAGCAGGGTTAACTGTTATTTCCCAAAGAAGGAGATCCACATTTCGTACATAAATGAAATATTCTGCAAGCCTAAAAAAGCAATTGTCAGCCAGAAATAAAAAGTCAGCATTAATCAGCAGTACATACTGTAAACAACTTTAGATAATACTATAAATAAAGCTTTGAACACAATCACATTTATCGTTCAGTCCTGATTACCTCTTGACCTTGGTTACACATTTAGAGACATGTAATGCAGTTAAAAAGTTAACATCACAAATTTAGGCAGAAAAGTCTCTCCCAGTCCCAGGACTTTATCAGGAAGGTCTTGCAAAGTTTTTACAGTTTGGGGCAAAGATTGTTCCGTGTATTCCAAATGAGAAATATATTTTTTTATTCAGACTATTGACACCAGCACACATTTACCTACTCTTGCAAATTACATCATGGATCTTAACATTCACGGTGAAACAGACGGCACATTTTCGTATATTTACGGTGAGTTCACACGCATTATTAGGCAGCGCAGGTTCTGGATTCAAACCGTGAACCCCTGCAACAAGCAGCAAAATGCACTACCACTAGGTCATGTCACCGCCACTGTATAATGTAGCATATGACAGTATCCTTTAAAAAAATGTGTACAGTGCTTTACTTACAGTAATCACTTTTTTTTCTATTTATAGTATGGAAATGTCCCTAGGCAACCATGGCAGTTACATTCGTGAAAAAAGCTAAACCGCGGTTGGCAAATAGAGGGTTAGGATAACCACGGCGGCGGTCACACTTGCCAAAGCCTAAGTTGCCCGAATTAGGTTTTGACGAATGTGTATTTTATCCACAAATAACATCCACAATAACATAGCTTTAAAAAAATACATGTTCAAATATTCCATGACTCAACATAAAAAAATGTTATTTACCTTTAATACTGAGCGTTGAATTTCATAGTGATGAAGATGGTGATGAAGATGACGTTGACGAGGTCATGGGGGAGGTGGTTATTAGAAGTGTCTTGATCTGTGGCCATGCCTATGTGAAAGTGGCTGGGTTACTTTGTGTGGGATTGGAAGGGTGAGCCGGTGTGTTGGGTATGTGGGACGCACACCCAGGATGATTGCTTGGGCTGTGTGGCGACCGCCCAGAGAGTGGGGTAATTGTGGAACAGCTGGATTTAATAACGGAATAATTTATTAATGGAGAGTTGTCTCTTTAAAGGGGGCTGAGCCAGAGATCGAAAAAGGTCTTGGGGGATGGTTGAGCTGGTGCCTTGGGTGCGGCTGGGTAGCGCTCTGCTATATTTTAAGCTGTTTTTAGGATAACTTTTACACTATTTTAAATCAAATAAAGAACACGTGATGGATACCACTCCTGCTGTGGCAGCTCCAATGAACTCTAAATGCACCACCTCATAACAGAAGGAAAAGGGGCTTTGCCCACCCTCTTGGTTGCACACCGAGAGGTCCATGTTTAAGGGCAAAATTAATGCAAATAATTATAATTGAAGGTCAAGAAACGTGGAATAATGCGTAGCAATACGACAACGTCCACACTACAACAACCACTATGCGAGAGAGAGTGTTGGTGGTGGGAAGGGAGCCCGTGGTGGGGGCTAGGAGATGAGATGATGCACGGAGGGGGAATACAGATATGGGTAATTTGAAATTACAAGTGGCAGCCGCCATGCTAAATCGCGGATACGCGAAACTCCATACCGTGGTGAACAAATTGTTATGCCGAAGGAAAACCGTGAGTAGATAAATACATAAATACCTATTCTTAGGTTTTTTCGGTAAAGTCACGTAGGTAAAACATTAAAATTAATAAAAGTAAAATAAAATAAAAATCACGACGTTTCGGAGGCAACACAAGCCTCCGTCTTCAGGTGGAACCGTCACAGCCACGACAGCTGTATCAAGTAAATGAGAGATTGCAGGAGCTACCACTCCGTTTATATAATGGTTGGAGAGGGGGGGGGAAGGGCCAAGTACAGCACACTTTTTATGCCCCCCCCCCTCTCCAACCATTATATAAACGGAGTGGTAGCTCCTGCAATCTCTAATTTACTTGATACAGCCGTCGTGGCTGTGACGGTTCCACCTGAAGACGGAGGCTTGTGTTGCCTCCGAAACGTCGTGATTTTTATTTTATTTTACTTTTATTAATTTTAATGTTTTACCTACGTGACTTTACCGAAAAAACCTATGAATATGAATCCTTGCAGTCACGAAAGCTTCAAATCTAGAATACATAAATACCGCGGATGCAAAAATCCGCTTTGGTGAGGGATTGCTGTATTTTTATGCACAAGTTATTGGTTTGCGTAAAATTAATTAGACCACTTTATTTACGATACAATTTATCCTCTAAACATGAGTGGATATACAAGGTCCTGCATCTAAGACGTTGTTTGGAGAACTATACAAGTATAACCCGTAAAAACAAAGTTTTTCACTATAAATCCTTTATATGCGTGGCATCGGGGCAGGCTAGAGTCCTCTCGTCCTCTGGCTTGAGATGGCTGCCACCTATGCGTCAGAATATTGTCTGGCAGCATTAAACAATTGGTAATTAAATATTTGTTTTTTTCCCTAAACAGTGTAAAATTTAGGAATTTTTTTTCACGAAAATGCATTGTCACGCACAACGAGTCTGTGTGCAAAATGTCAGCTCGATTGGATCACGGGAAGTGGGTTAAAAAACGACCTAAAGATTTGCACGGTCCTAAGCAAGCAAGCGAACTTAATATAAAATGATTTAAAAATGGGACAAAGGTGACGAGATATTCACTACCTCGCCAGGTATACAGGAGGCCGTGGGTTCGATCTAGACTGAGTTTATTACATGTGCAAGTAAGCTCTATTGTGATGTGCTACTTTTCTCGGACAAATATTACAACTGATCCGTATTTATTGGTGGGGTAGTTTTATGTAAAAAAAATGTTGGATTAAAAGTACCACGTGGCCTCACATGAACAAATATGGATCATTGTCTTGGCTTGAAAACCTACGTTTTAAGTTATCTTAAATATACAGTATTGTACGAATATGCAATGGTTGCAGTATCTATACTTTGTGGTATTTACACTTTGTGTAGTGCGTCATGGACCTCAAATTGAGCTTGGCCTCTTAAAAAAATGTTCAACGAAAGGTGTCATTGTTTACAGCACCTACCATTGTGTTGTTTCTTGCAGCTCCCAAACTGTTGATTGTTGCACCTTGCGCAGTGGAGCTGCAACCTCAGTCTGACGGTTATGTAAAGGTTGCCAAACACGTTCGGTGCAGGAACACATTGTTGGTTGCTGTTCCTGTACAGAATGAAGAATACATTTGTTATGAGACTTTGCTACACGGCACAGTAGAAATCCAATAATTAACAATTGGCTCCCGCAATTGGCAAAGCGGTGGAATTTAAACTGCTTCGCAGACCGCAAATCGCGATCCAAGTGGAGCTGCAGGGAAAGCGAAAAACGATTAACATTTGACAGATTTGCTCGTATTGAAGATTTGCTCCATTTGGATTTTAGAATAATACATTTATTGCGGATTAATTTATCAACTAGGCACGTACCGTGCATTCCCTGTATTCCGCAAGGTTTTTGCAGATTAATGGAATTTCAAGAATAATTCATTCCATAATCCACGACCCTACGCGTCGGCTAAAATTATTTTGTTCGTAATATAAGGTGAGCTTCCATGGTATGCATGCTTCGGATTACAGGATTCGTTCATTCTCCCCCCCACCCCGGATTATAATTGTATTCTCATTTGTATTAAGATAACATGGGACACCAGAAAAGCTGACTGCAGTGCCTCGAGTCTTCACCTTTCTGATGTGACATAGCTTTTCATTTCAAACAAATTCCTGCGGAGGGAGCTGGTAGGAACGTTGGGTTGCTCGGTCAATGGCCAGGGTCAACGGCGGCGTGGTGTATTCCGCAAATATGCCCGACTGTGAGGGCGGGCACAAGCCGGCGTGAGTAGGTTAAACGTTGAGTTTTATAAGGGCACCACGGGGTGACCAGCCCCTCCCCACCCAACCCCACCCCACCCAGCCCCTCCCCACCCAGCCCCCCTCCCACCCAGCCCCTCCCCACCCTCCCCTCCCCACCCAGCCCCTCCCCACCCAGCCCCTCCCCACCCAACCCCTCCCCACCCTCCCCATCTAGCCCCTCCCCACCCTCCGCTCTCCACCCAACCCCTCCCATTTTTGGATGCACGACGGACGGACACAATAATCCCCTGTGGGCTGGTGTAACCAGGAGGTTCCTACCAGTATTAACTCTGACGTGTACAATGCATCATCTTAATGCACAACACAGTTATTGTACAACTCAATGATTTGACATGACAATGTCGAAGACAAGTTGACATTAAAAGCACTGTACGTGCCAGAACATTTATTTTTATTTTAAAAAAAAATATTTAACGAAATAATTATTTGCCATCTAAAGCAACTGTCACCTTTATCACGTCTTGCAGCCCTGGATATTCATTATTCACAGCCAAAAGCGACTTAACCTCCCGGTTAATAATCTGTAATTGTACAAAATTGGCCAGAATTTAACACTCGGCATATCGCCTCCACCGACACCCCTCTATAAGAACGCTATATTTCGATTTAAAGCTTTCGTGACTGCAGGGATTCGTCTTCTTGGTTCTTTCGGTAAAGTCACGTAGAAGGGAAATAATAAAATAAAATATAAAAAATACAATTATTTTTATTTTAAATAATAAAATAAAATAATCATGTTTTCTTTTTATTACTTTATTATTTCCCTTCTACGTGACTTTACCGAAATAACCAAGAAGAACGCTACAATGCCTCTCGCTGTACAGATTTCGTGTAAACGTTTAAATCGCCACCCTACACAACACCTTTGGTGACATCTTTTGTCGTTTTCACAAATCTACCGACACGCCCCGAACCCGTGTCCAGAGGGACCTCCACCCCGCCGCTTTCTCGCTCAAGCGTTGCCAACACCGGGAGAAAAAAAATCACCAAAAAAACCTACACAATTGTTCGATAGATTTTGGCTCGATATAACTTATTATTAAAACATTTCGCTGGACGATGTAGCAACAACAAAAAATATCCTTAAAACATGTCACGAGATACTTTAACAAATACTGCACAAGGCTGGTTAATATCTTGTGACTCCCCAATTGACTACTCGCATTGTTTTTCCTTTACATATTCATGTCTGTCTTAAATCACCCTTACTCAAAAAAACATTACGCTTTAGGAGGGAATGAGATGGTGGGTCACGAGTCATGTGAACCATTTGGCTGACAGTAACAGCACTGTGTTAAGCACAGCAAACTCACACAGGCTAATCAATGCAGTCCAAACAATACGTACCTTATAGAATCCGCTCATGAATATACATAACAGTGTTATGTATATTGTGTCGCTCGGACAATTGTCACGGGGGGAAAGAAAGAAAAACAACCTCAAAGGTCACAAACAGCCACTAGCGACGCACCACCGAGTTTGCAACTCGCTGCTTCCGGGATTCTTATGACGGCAAAAAGGAAATCGCCTCCCACAAACTTCCCACCCATGGACACAGTCCTACAACCACTAACTAAACAGCACTGCCATGCCTGTCAAACCCTTGTCAGTGCCCTACCTTATTACAGACCAAGTCAGAACGTATTGGTCACCCCGTGCAACTTATAAATCTCAACGTTCATCCCACAAAGTCCCATCACAAGGAGAGAAACACAAACAGACACACACAAAAATGCTCTTATTGAAACGGCTGTACGCTGTATGGACATGAAAACTCAATTCCCTTGTGCAAGAATTCGGGGTAAACCGTATGGATTGACAGGTATGCTACTATACACTACACTATACACTATTATACACTACACTATATACTACACACTACTATACACTACTCTATACACTACTATGCACTACTTCATACCTGTCAAACCCTTGTCAGTGCCCTACATTATTACAGACCAGGTTAGAACTTATTGGTCACCCCGTGCCTCTAATAAATCACAACGTTCATCACACAAAGTCCCATCACAAGGAGAGAAACACAAACAAATAAAAACCAAAAATGCTCTTATTGAAACGGCTGTACGCTGTATGGACGTGAAAACTCAATTCCCTTGTGCAAGAATACGGGGTAAACCGTATGGGTTGACAGGTATGCTACTTTTCGATTTAAAGCTTTCGTGACTGCAGGGATTCATCTTCTTGTTTCTTTCGGTAAAGTCACGTAGAAGGGAAGTAATAAAATAATAAAAATAAAACATAATGTTTTATTATGTTTTATTTTTATTATTTTATTACTTCCCTTCTACGTGACTTTACCGAAAGAAACAAGAAGAGGTATGCTACTATACACTACACTATACACTACTATACACTACTCTATACACTAATATGCACTACTTCATACCTGTCAAACCCTTGTCAGTGCCCTACCTTATTACAGACCAAGTCAGAACGTATTGGTCACCCTGTGCAACTTATACATCTCAACGTTCATCCCACAAAGTCCCATCACAAGGGAGAAACACAAATAGACACACACAAATGCTCTTATTGAAACGGCTGTATGCCGTATGGACCTAAAAACTCAATTTCCTTTTGGCTGGTGATGTTCGACAGGTCCAGGTATCGAACTCGTGTGGCCAGGTTAATGGCACGATCGAGGACACGTGTACGAGGTGTGGGTACCACTTCCTCCTACCTCTTCCAAGACTTATGTGGTGAGCATTTATGAGAAAACCAAATATGAAAAAATAATAGGGGCCGTCCATAAATGACATCACGCGATTTTGGACGATTTTTGACCCCCTCCCCCCTCGTCACACGGCGTCACAAAAAGTCAGACCCCCCCCCCCTGAAATATGACGTCACAAAGCTCTGCCCCCCACCCAAACCATATTTCCATTTTGAAAATAAAACATGCTTCAAATCGCTTTAAACTATTGTCATTGTAGTACGTATTTAATGTGGCGCTGCACTCTGATGTTGTAGGAGTGTTGTTATAACAATTATTGTTGTTATAACAATTGCATATTTAAAGTTTTGCATTTTGATGTGACGTCACATTTCTCAGCCCCCCCCCCCTCGTCACACATCGTCACAAATGTCTGACCCCCCCCCCCCTAGGTGCGTGACTTCATTTATGGACGGCCTCATAGGCGTTTACCCTTTCTGAAACTGGTGTTGAGATGTTCAAACACCAAATGGATACATTTTACAAGGAATAAACTACTGCATTAACCAATTGTGGTGAACATGCACACACACACACATGCTGTGATAATAAGATGCCTTTAAACTGATTGGCCTGCACCAGAGACAAGAGCCTTCTCTTTAGGGCCTCGTCTCACCACCAATGTCAGAGCATAGAACAACACCACAAGGTCAAATATATCCTCTAAGAGGGGTTCTCATGAAGCAGTCGCGTGATCAAATTAATGACATCTTTGCCTTGTTTTACACACGCCACATGCACTGTGCAGTGCACGACTGTAGCCTTCTGAATTGTAAAAGAGGCTGACAAGTTAGTTTCGCATCCGATGTGCGTATATGCACCGTACATAGAAATGTAATACCGTATACTGTAGTAAAATATGCACCCGCATACTAATTATAACTCACAATTTTCACGAGCTAGGCTGGAACCATGACCGACACGATGTGGGGGGAGGCCTTCAGCGAACAGAGGAATAACTACAAAACGGTGCCGTGAAAGGAGATCGATTTGCAAGTTGTTCCGCCTCTTACAAATGAAACCGTACGCTCGTCAACACAATGGGATTCTTGTATAAGCAACGGTGAAGATAGCCGTCAAAAATACAAAATAACGTATCTACCACGCATCTAATAATGCTTTGACACGCGGACCTTGATCAATCCATGTCGCCGGATGGTTGCGAGCACACAAAAAGCCTCCGTCGTGTGCTCTCCCTGTCCACCGAGCAGCAGTAATAATAAAGCTGCCACAGCAGAAACTGCCCGACAGGAAATTCCAATCCCACACAGAACTCCCCCCACCGCACCGCCTCTCCCCACATCATTTCCCCATAATGATGCATTTGTTACGTTTCAGTTCTGTTAAGCCATTAGGGCGTGCACATCATCATCATCATCCGTTCGTCAATGTTGCACACTCGAAATGATGGACGTGGGGCAGGTGCTCCAAATCGAGAACAAACACATTTATTGTGGTTAATCTGTAAAAATGCAACAACACGTGTCACGGGATTTTTGCACACAGTGTTGGTGTACAGTGCTTTTTATGCAATATTTTGCTGTCTTTTCTTGGATTTTCTGTTTGCACATAGTCACTTTAAGATGTTTTCTTGTTCATGTTTTTTTTGTTTGTTGCGGTTGCACCCGATTCAAGAGCCGAATGGCTCACAGGGCTATACCTAATAAATGAAAAATGAAATGAAAAAATCCTCAACCGAGTCACCATTAACAAAGTGACAGATGTATACAAGTCTGGTTAACCAATAACAGTTTCACATTGCCTTTAGTGGAAAATACTGTATGGGTAAGAGGCGACTTTGGGGAACAGTGTGCTACGATATGTGCTATGTGTGCATTTGATGTGCCACGAAGAGAGGTCATTGCCCAAACCATCGCTGTATATTTCTTTCTGAGGCCACTGTTGTTGATGAATGCGTTTTGTTTATCCGTGCACCACTGCCAACGCAGCTCCAGCAAATAATGTGTTTAATCATCAGCCATAATCGATTATTCCTCCTTGGATTGCCACTTTTTCTCCAGATATTTCTCAGCCAGCCTTCTTGAGCCACTAAAATAGCTGCAGTAATAAAATAAGCAATGACCAAATCCACCACGAGACGAAGGCCTCACCACCTAGCCATTGCTAATTTCTCCTGATCCTGCAATGTAATAATCCACCTAACATCTGCACATTAACCTATTCCATTGCTGCATCTCCTCGGCACACATCCTCTAGGAACACGTTACATTCCTTGGCTCCCGGTCATTTTTTTGAACCGTGCAGTCACAGCAACGTGTCCTGCCCTAAGCCACTTAGAAATGTATACTGTACAGTACATCGCATCAAATATTAAATTGACCCCTAACTGGGAAGTAACTATTGAGCAGTGTCATCAAATAAATGAGCACGGGGAAGCTTTGACAAAGTGGCAGAATGATAATTGTTTTTCTACCCTTTTATCTGGCAACAAAACTGACACTTTTTTTTACAAGGAGTCATGTTTGCATTGACCACAATACCTGCGGTCAGAATGCAAACAAAAAACACAACTCTGATAATGTATGCACTGTCCTTAAAGTTGATTGGTCCACACCCGAGACAGCGTTCCTTAGAGCCTAGTCTCCATTGGTGTTGGACCAGATGACGCCAAAATGCGCACAACTCAAAGACAATGCACCATCAGAGTATGAGAGCTCGGGGTATAAGCATTTACACCATTGGAACCTCCTTTGCCAGTAGAAAAACATGCTACTGGCAAAGGAGGTTCCAATGGTGTAAAAGTGGCAGAACTTCCTTATTCCCATTGTGCCAATCTCAAACAGTCGACATCTTCTCAGCGTGATATAACTCTCACTTATCGTTTCAAACTGGATCTCAAAATAGGCCAAAACGTCGGCTATCATATACTTATCTTTTAAGGTAGTGTTATTGACGAATGTATTGAGTTTCTGGTGTGCTTGTGCACGACAGCCAATGGAGCATCGCCAATTAATGTATCGTCCGTGTGCTGCTAAAGAGACCCACAATGTCAAAATCCGTCCAGACTTTGCTTGCTTAAACAACGATCTCAACGCCAGTAGGTTAATGGACTAAAACGTGGTATTTACATGTGCAAAGAAAACAGATGTCTGCTTATACATTGCAATGCATGCAGTGTAAGGCACGTATATGCATTGTGTCTTGAGGTAATTTGGCTTATATGAGTGGCCAAGTGGTGTACAGCCATTCATTGTCACTCCACGACCGGATGAGGGCCTCCCCACATCGTGTGGGTCCTGGAGGTTATTTGGCCATACTTCTCCACACTTTTCATTGCGGGTTTCCCACGGGTCATAATATAAATACATTGCAACAATGGGTTTTGTTGCACGTTGATAATTTCTCAATTGCTAATGGAATTGGCATCACAGCAGTTATACTGTGCACAGGACTGCATTTGATAGAGTATGTTAATTTGCTCGTATACTTTATGCTGTGTTAAATTCGAACAAGTTACGAAAATTCATGCATGAATTTACAATGTGTGCACATTTTTTTGGGACAAAATAATGCATTACTTTAATACTCTGCCGCAGTACAATGAAAACAGGTGTTTTTGTACAATGTTAATTTTCATAACAAAGGGAATGTTTGTCTTACATGTTTGTGACAGGGAGGCCAGGTTACATAGTGAGGCCCTGCAGAGGCTCGGATTACACCCAATTCAGCAGAAGTCCCCAACCTGTCCTTTATTTTCAGCAGTGCCACAGTATACGAATGTTGGATACATGTGTAGTGTAACGGTGGATTCGAGTAATTCATGCACGGGGTTTCAGAGTTTTTTTGTACAACACTCCTCCTTCACGATCTATGAATGTAAATACCTATTCTGCAATTACATAGCCTGTAAAGAGTGAGCCAACTGTTAATGATTTTTTAATTCGTCATGCTTTTTAAGAGAACTCCTCCGATACCATTACCCTATTATCCACGACTCCGGTTATCATCAGGAGCAGTCGGGTCTGTGAAAAAAACTGTAGCCCTATTCATCTTCTTGGTTCTTTCGGTAAAGTCACGTAGAATGGAAATAATAAAAATAAAACATAATAAAATAATTCTCACGTTTCGGCCACAACGCAAGCAGCCGTCCTCAGGTGAAGACCATATACGCTCCAAGCGTGGTGTTGTTTCATTCAGACGCTGTCTCCCGAACAGACCTGGTCTTCACCTGAGGACGGCTGCTTGCGTTGTGGCCGAAACGTCGTGAGAATTATTTAATGTTTTAATTTATTTTATTATTTCCATTCTACGTGACTTTACCGAAAGAATCAAGAAGATGAATCCCTGCAGTCACGAAAGCTTTAAATCGAAATGTAGCCCTATTCTTTGGATTAAAAATGGATAAGCCTGCATAAAATAGCATCCACAATATTGGTCACCCACTTCACCATGGATACGATTCCTCCTGTATTGTACAACAAATATTTTATTTTGTTCAGAGGCGCAACTAATTATATCAACGGGCCTATGAAAAAAATGTATTGAAAGGAGCAATACTCACAAATAATTGAGTCCTTGCTTTCATGTGCATGTCAGTTCGCAAAAAAGCCTAGGAGTTCAGCAACACCAGTAGCGCTACGATATTTTACGCTGTATTTTTCGGAAATGTTACTTTTAAAATTTGTACCAATTGTTATTTTTGTCATTTATGGTGAATTGTTGAAACAATTATTCAAATTAGAAATTGTTCAATACTTAAATGTTTATCTGTTCATTCAGTGCCCCCTTGTGACCGACTAGGCCCCTAAGCGTCCGCATACCCCAAAGTTACGCTCCTGCTCCCGTGGTCTTAAATAAAAGGAAATATTTTCTTAACATGTAGGTCTTTCTTTGCTTTAGTGACAAAAAAACTGACTTTAAATTAACCTGCTTTATTCTAATACAAGTCATGCAATTTCAAAATCCTCACTCCTGATCTGGTGAAATGGCCTAGCAGTAGCACGACTCACTTGTTGCAGGTTAGCGGTTTGAATCCAGCAGCCTTCACGATTAATACTGCGGGTGTATTAGCCGTAAATATACGTGCCGTCTGCTCTAATGTACATTTAAGACCCAATTACATAATTCACAAGCCTTAAGTACATAATAGCTACCGTTTCAGACAAGGGCCCTGCTTCATAGGAGGCCATGAGTGTATGAGTTCGACAGATTTGGGGAAATTTTCATCCAGCAGTGGTAAAATGTTATTAAAAATGTGTTATTCGGGAGATAAAGCACATGAAATCCCGACAATTATTTAGTTTGTACGAAATATTCTATACATAACACATTGGACAGTACTATAAAGTCTTGCCTAAAAAGCCAGCCTTCCACATCTGGCAAATGGTTTGAAATGAAATTAGCACTTTTCTTGTCCTAAAATGTCAGAAATAACTCCTACATAAATTCCAGAGCAGATGTAGAACCTGCCGTGTGGAATCGTCTCCCCATCTTGTATTTATCAATGGCAGCTGAGGGACAGCGGTACGACTAACGTGAAGACTTTACTATTTTGTATGTTATTTGCTCACAAAAACCTTCCCTAGATCATGGAAAGTAAATAGGGAGTACTCCTGTACCTTTATTTTAAACATTTTAATAAGTGAGATAAATGACAAAGTAAAAACGTGACAACTCTTGAACTGAACTTTGAAAGTAAATTTCATGTACCGTTATATGTACAGTACTTCATTGTATGAAAATCTGTTACCAGATTTAATAAACGGTTTACAATCTTATTTTCTTGGTGAACCAACTGCTTAACCATATTGGAAATATGGTCAAATTACTTTATTGTATATTTAACTTGAGCACAAAAATGAAACCAGACAATAATTTTATTTTTGTCATTTTATTGTGGAGAATGTCCGGTGGTAAGAACACAGAAAGGACTCTTGTCTTCTGAGCACTTTCACCATTCGCAGCACTTCCTTGGAATGATGGAAATCATCATCCCTATGGCAGCTTGCTGAACCCTGCAATGGCAGTTACACACACATGTAGATTTAGAATAAACCTATTCAACACAACACAGGAAAGCTAAAAGTAATCAAATGAGAGCTGAACACTTGCTGCCAAACAGAAGTGATGTGACAGGCTACCTTGGCTCATTTAGCTCTTGAGTTCCAGGACTGTGGTCTTCTCGCTCACGTAGATGCCATCGAGGAACTTGCGGATGTCCTTGTTTTTAACAGTGGTGGCCTGCTGAATGAGGGCAGCTGGGAAAGACAATAACGCGTATTAAGCCTTCACGCACACAACAATAAAATCAGGCCAGCACTCACTACGTTTAACATTGGCAAATTATTTTATTCACGGTTACACATAATAGTTGCACATCCACTCACCAGAATTTGAGACGAGTTCAATGTCATTCCCTTCAAGAATGAGCTCATCCTTCTGGTTGGTGGAGAGGGCACATGTCACACCTGTGCAAAAGAATATGGTTAGTGGCATGTTCTAAAAATTAAACAGTAGCTTCTCAATACCTCCCATGCTTACAGACACTAAGAAGCTAAAAAAGCCAGCAGCTGTCATATCATTTTCACAATTCATTTTCAAACAACACATCATGGTCTGCAAAGTCCTTGTATTAGATCCGTATTTCGGGCATGTAACGATTGACCAAATTATCCATTAAATCCAATTATAATGCTCATGAGGCATTCATTGGATTGCATTATCATATTTTCTTAGTCAAATACAATGTCAAACCACTGTTGAATGAGGGTCTCCTCACACCCTGTCAGCCATAGGATATTTAAAGCAAACAATACAATGCTGGCAAGTGCAAGTTGGTGGAGTTGGGGCCCAGGACTGATGGAAATTGATCTCAGGTCAGCGGATTCATGCGCGGGAACCTCTGCCGCTTGGCTTGACGAATTTTATGCAATTGGTTTGTGGAAGCCTTACAGCCACTACTGATTCTACATGCACCATAATACAAATTAAATTGTGCCTCCAAATCAATGATTATGTTGAGCAGATGAATCATTGCCTGCAGTCTTTCAGCCAAATTTATTTGGTGTCCTTGTCTTCCAACATTACTTCGGTAAAACCCCTTTCACATTGGAGCCACCTGGTGGTTGAATCTAAGACAGCCATTTTCTTTCAGAGCATCCCATATATTTAGTGTGTCCCTTATGTTGGGACTCCACATACCAGGCCTCATCTGCACGCGTCGCGTGTACTTCTCGCCCAGGAAGTTGCGGATCTCCACCAGCTTGCCAGTATCTTGGACCACCACATTGATGGGGAAGTGGGCATACACCGAGCGCATCTTGTACCGGAATCCCTAATTATATGCACAACACGGGGGTAGCACAAGAATCAGGTCAACATTTAAGTTTAGTTGTACTGTTACCTGGTGGAACATGTGCACAGGTAAACTATGTAATATGAATCATACGTAATAATAAACTAGACATCCCAATATACGCTTTTCCCAAAATACGAAGATACGTAATGTCACATTTATCCATGAAAGCTTCAGTTTCAAGACTTATTCAAGATTTAAGAATAGGTTTTCCCCTTTTTTCTGGCAACAAAACAGGTATTAAGATGTTAAAACACCAAACTGAAACCTTTTGCAAGGAATCATGTCTGCATTAACCACATAAACTTGTGGTGAATATAAAAGAAAAAACATGCTGACAGTATATGCATTGTCTTTGAAACCGACTGGTCCACACCAGAGACAGCTTTCTTTAGAGCCTAGTCTCAAACAGTGTTAGACCAGAGGACGCAAAAATTATTCAAGATTGTCGTGAATTGGGATGTTGGGAGATTTGACAAATTACATTTCAAGGTGTGCTATTTTGGATTTTGGAGAAAACCTGCGACGAGATAATTTAACCAAGATGAACATTAGGTCCTACGATCATAATACAACCACATCTGTTGTGAACTTACCAGCGTCACCCCCTTCATCATGTTCATCACGTGGCTACAGATGGTCCGCACCGTGGCAAGCTCCTTGCGATTGCCCCACCATTTCTCCACACGCAACTGCAGCCAGGGAGGAAAATGTACCAAAGGCAATTTAAGGATATTGCCTTCAATTTTAGATTGTAATTACAATACTCTGCTGTTATTCAGATACATATCAACTGATATCCATGTAGTGACCCTGAAAAGCATATCTCTGCTATGTATTCTTGATACCCCCCCCCCCCCAAAATGCTTCCACTTATTGTTATAACAATAACCCAACATTTGTCCCTCTGGTTCTCAATGTGCATGTCATTTTATTCTGGAGAAATTTTAGTCTATAAATTTTAATTGTATTATGTTCATCTCAAAACCAGACCACACCATGCAAAAGTGTGTTAACAAACAAGTAATGTAATGGCTACTAAATAATAATTTAATGGCACAGAAGTTCCAAGTTCATGTGCCGCAAAACAAAGTAGACATTTTTGGATGTCAGGGATCCATAAAGTTAACCTAGAAGCCAATCAGGGTTGGGGTGGCACAAAAGGATGGAACCAAAGGGCCATAAAATTACGTAATAGCCATCACATGATCATTAAGAAGCTTTTGCACACCATATCAGCCGAATAGTAGTTTCTACCTGGGATGGCTTGAATACGTTTCACGTGAGGTAAGGCATGTTAAATTCACTTAACGTATGTCAATATTCCAATATGAAATTATTCTCAATGTGTTAAACACATGCACAAATTTGAATTGTACCCATAAAATGCACATTCTGCAGGTATGAGAATAGGTTTTCCCCTTTTTTCTGGCAACAAAACATTTGTTAAGATGTTAAAACACCAAACTGAAACCTTTTAAAGGAATCATGTCTGCATTAACCACAATACTTGTGGTCAGAATGCAAAAAAAACTCTGATAATATATGCATTGTCTTTTAAACCGATTGCTCCACACCAAAGACAATGCATATATTATCAGTGTTTTTTTCTTGTTACTGGCAAAGGAGGTCCCATTGATTCTGGGGGTATGTTAATATTATGGAAAGTTTTTCTAAATGATTAATCCAATTTTCTAGTCAATATTGCATTTACCCCCAAGTGAAGATTTTTTGCCAAGTGTGCTAACTCCCAATACGAATGGATTTTCCTGTATCCTACAGTTGACAAGCCTCACCTTCTTCTTGTTCTTGCCGAGCAAGCTCAACTCCAGATTGATGTGGTTGAACTCCCTCTTGAGGACTCCCCTGGGTCCTTTAACAGTCACTTTGCGCCCCTTCAACATCACCGTGACTGTGGGATAGAGGAAAATAAATGTTAACATTGCTTCACGGCAAATGCAATGCTTTTGTGCGAGTCGTTTTGGCGTACTAACTTCCAACTAAGCTGAAGATCATCAACGCATCGACATCTATCCGATAATAAAATAACTAAGGGTTTGTAAAAATGTTGTTTTCAAAAAATCTTCGGCTCTTTTGGACTATTTTTCAGCAGTTTGTCTTAGAAGGTAACGTCTGCCTGAATCGAATCCCCAACCCAGATAATATGCTCATGGACAATCGACAGTTAACTGTGCATTAGGCTTGGTTTCTTTTTGAACTGATTTTATATTGAGCTTCAAGAACACAAATGAAAATTGCAAGAGCCAAAGGGGGGGGGGGGGGTATCTCACCATTTTCGGGTATGTCCACGATCTGATTGCTCTGGATGGTCTTCATGGCTGCGGAACAAAACAATACAGACGCTCATTGATTTCACTTTGCAAAAGATACGCCCTTTTGAACCGTAGTTGAAATAACTTGAATTACATAAACATTTGTATACATAAGCAATTTTCTAATTATGATCACATCCAATGCAGGTTTTAACACCAACTATTTCATCAGTCAACCAGTGGCCAACATCATTGCCCGATTGGAAACGCCTAAAAGTTAAAATATTTTGTTCCACAGATTTTGATAGGAAACTAATCAACAGCATAGATATTCAGGTCTTGCCTGGGTCGGCTATGATCAATGGGCAACCATCGGAACCGAAGCAAACAGGTTCAATTTTATAGTGTACTCCATGACAAGCACGTAAAAAATAATTACAAATACTATAATACTATGAAGCACTTTCTCATTAAAGCCAAAATGTTTGTTTATACAGGGCAACTCTGAAACAGTGCCAAGTAAGCCGAATGGAAAATACGGTACAGTACCAGCCACCGTGCCGGTATCAACATCGCACGCGGCAGTCGCTAGGACTTGGGAGTACAGTACTGGGATGGTAACCCAATATAGGCCATTCTACTCAATACGCCTTAACTATTTTCCAAATGGATGTTTTTACTAGAAACCACGCAAACTTTATACACCCGAGTTTTATCAACTAAAATTACGAGTGTTCATGTATAACACTTTTGTCGATCAACTGCTGGATGAAGGCCTCCCCACGTCGTGCCGAGCCAGTTTTTTTTTTAATATACTTCAACCACGCTGGTCAGTGCGGGTTGACGACGGGGAGCATAGACGTGGGAGCATAGTATAATACAACGGATTTTGATGCACTGCCCTCTGCTACCCACAACGTATAACACATTTATGCATGATGGGGCACCCATACAAGCACCATCCCGGACTCAATCCTGCCAGACTTCCTAGACCTGGTCGGCCGTATTCGCGGTGATTTGGTGATAATAAGTTTGCTCTCTTTTGTAAAAGTTACGAGAAGAAACTTGTAAGACACAACTTGGGTTGCCCATTGAGTTACACGTACAGCACCGCACTGAACTAAGCCACGCAAGGCCCCAATCGAGTCCCCCATCCGCGGTCGACAAACATCGACCTACAATAAAGAGCTCGCCCATTCCACCGGCGGCCAACATATAAAGTTAGTCGTGAACACAGTAAGTCTCAGAATGCAACGCGGCGTGTAGATTATTCGCGAGAAGGTGTAGCGAGGAGGATTACCGCGGATGCGAAGCGCGCAGGTTATGGAGCCGGGGCCTCACCTCCTCCGGGTCCGAGAGAGAAAGGACGGGCGCGCGCGCTGATTGGCCAGTCGAGATCCCGCCCGCGCGCGTGTTCTCGCGAGAGTTCGCGCAGGCGGTGACGTCACTCGGAAGGGTTTGCAATCCGTGAGCCATAAAAGCCTAGATGTGAAGCTTTCGTGACTGCAAAGATTCATATTCTTAGGTTTTTTCGGTAAAGTCACGTAGGTAAAAAATTTAAATTAATAAAAGTAAAATAAAAAATAAAATACAAATCACGACGTTGCGGAAGCAACACAAGCCTCTGTCTTCCACCTGAAGACAGAGGCTTGTGTTGCTTCCGAAACGTCGTGATTTTTATTTTATTTTAATTTTACTTTTATTAATTAAAATTTTTACCTACGTGACTTTACCGAAAAAAGCTAAGAATACGATAAAAGCCATTGGCCATAAGGATGAGGAGTTAATCGAATTGTGATGTTCGATAAACAAACGTGAAATTAAAAGCGATTGCTTGATTGAACATTGAGGTGGTGCTTCAAATCCTGGCTTACAGCCCTGAGCCAGTGGTGGGAATTCCACATTCCTATGGCCGGGGCGAGTTCATCCACACGATAACAATTGTTGACTTCCTACCATTTGTAATGTTCACTTGCTTGTGTGCTTGCTTGCTTACGACCGTGCAAATCTTTCGGTCGTGTTTTAACCCACTTCCCGTGATCCAATCGAGCTGACATTTTGCACACAGACTCGTTGTGCGTGACAATTAATGTTCGTGAAAAACATTTTTCAAAATTTTACACTGTTTAGGAAAAAAAATATTTAATTACCAATTGCTTAATGGTGGCAATCATCTGACCCATAGGTGGCAGCCATCTCAAGCCAGAGGACGAGAGGACTCTAGCCGCCACGCATATAAAAGATTTATAGTGAACATTTTTGTTTTTACGGGTTAATTTTTTAAAACACTGCATTGTGTTGTATTATATAAATTACTTAATGTAACAAATATATGGTCTAGGTATACTATTTTGCCCACAACATTTACGATTCGAGTCCGACGTTTCGCTGGTGATTACAACCAGCTTACAATCTCCAACAAACCTGTCAACACCAATTCAGCGCCTAGCTTATTACAGACCAATTCAGATCTTACTGGTCACCCCGTGCCCTCATAAATCTCAACGTTCATCCTACAAAGTCCCATCACAAGGGACAAACACAAATTGACAATAAGTAATATTTAAAAATATATATTCTTTAAACACGCTTGAATGAAATGTACCGTAGTCGTAATGGCAGAACTCCAGGAAGTTTACTGTGGACAATTTGAGCCAAGCCGAAACATAACGTATACAAATGATTGTTTAAAACATGTTTTTATTTTTAATGATACAATATAGTCTTGTCATCAGTATGACATAAGTATACCAAGTTTGCAGTGGATACCACATTGGGAAGTGGGTTAAAATTGAGTTACAAGATTTGAGGATACGACAACAACAGAGTGATGATTGCTTGTGTTGCAGTCGAAACGTCGTGAGAATTGTATTGTTTTATATTTTTATAATTTTATTATTTCCCTTCTACGTGACTTTACCGAAAGAACCAAGAATATAACAGAGTGAGTTAAATAAAAAAAGCGTGTAATAATAACAAAAACACGTTGCCGTGTTATTGAAACGTCTGTACGCCATATGGACCTGAAAACGCAATTTATCTGTACACAATCACACAGTAAACCTTATGGGTTTAACAGCTACGAAGTAATAATCGATCCGCACGTTTTGTTTACGCGACAGACCTCTACTAATGTGGCGTGTCGCGTGGCGGTGGTTTTAACGACACATTTATATTTGACACGATCTAAACCCGTCCAAACAACAACACCAACAACACCACAACCCCCTCTTGTTATAGATGGAGAATGTATTTGCTATAACGCAGTTCAAGTTCATTGATTAGGTATAGCCATGTGAGCCATTCGGCTCTTGAATCGGATGCAACCGCAACAAACAAAAAAATGAACAAAAAAACATCTTAAAGTGACTATGTGACTAAGTGCAAACAAAAAATCCAAGAAAAGACAGCAAAATATTGCAGAAAAGGCACCAACGCTGTGTGCACAAATCCCAGTGGGATGCAAGTCAAACAACAACAAACAACCACAAGACAACTTAGATTAAGGCCATCAGTCTAACTCCGTGCTACAACAAACAAACATGGACAAACCAAAAAACTTTTTTTTAAATCGTCACCGGCGATTTGGTGGCCGTGAGTGGGAATTGAATTGTGGGGGTGGGTTCGTAGCGCTCACCGCGACTACAACACCACCGCTCCCCACCGGGGGCAGCACCACCAGCAACATCATCGTCGTCATCATCGTCACCATCGTCATCGTCGTCATCACCATCGTCATCACCATCACCATCGTCGTCATCACCATCATCGTCGTCATCATCGTCACCATCGTCATCACCATCATCGTCGTCATCGTCGTCATCACCATCGTCATCGTCGTCATCATCATCACCATCATCATCGTCATCACCATCACCATCGTCGTCATCACCATCATCATCGTCATCACCATCGTCATCGTCGTCATCACCATCATCATCACCATCATCATCGTCATCACCATCACCATCGTCGTCATCATCGTCATCGTCGTCATCACCATCATCATCACCATCATCATCGTCACCACCATCACCATCATCGTCGTCATCGTCGTCATCACCATCATCATCACCATCATCATCGTCATCACCATCACCATCGTCGTCATCATCGTCATCGTCGTCATCACCATCATCATCACCATCATCATCGTCACCACCATCACCATCATCGTCGTCATCGTCGTCATCACCATCATCATCACCATCGTCATCATCGTCATCGTGCCCCAGCAAGACCGGGCGAGTCGAGAGCCGATCGCGTGGCGGCGCTCGTCGCGAGCAATCGACGGCGGAGTTGATGGATGGCGGTGGTCACGTGTTAGTCGGCGGCGTCTTCGTCGGCGGCTCACTCCTGTGAGCGCGCGGTGCGGCCACCTCCTCTGACACCACCAACAACAACAACCAACAACAACAACAACCACCAACCACCACCCACCAACAACACCACTACCAACAACAACCACCACCAACAACACCACAACCAACCACCACCAGCACCACTGACCACCAACAACCACCACCCACCACCACAACCACCATCCACACCACAACCACCAACACCACAACCACTACCAACAACCACCACCCACCAACAACACCACCACCAAAACCACCACCATCCACCAACAACACCACCACCAAAACCACCACCACCCACAACCACCAACACCACAACCACCACCAACCACCTCGTCCCGTGCGACGATGCCGACCTCGTCACGGGCCCCCTTGGCGCTGGGCCGCGAGCTGCTGCTGCTTCTCGTGGCGGCGACTCCGAGGAGGAGGCCGCCGCTGCCGCCGCTGGGCCCCGCGTGGCGCAGCAGCAGCAGCAGCAGCGCGGACTCCGCCGCGACCTTGGCGGAGGGCGGCCGAGAGCCGGCGGTGAGACAGGCCTCCCTCTGTCTCTCTCTCTCTCTGCCTGGGATTCAGCCTGGCCACGACTGCCCACCCGGGTCCGTGGGTTCTCCCTGGGTTCTCCCTCCTGTGCGGTACCTGCCACGAGGTCACCCCCCTCTGCCCTCTCTGTCTCCCTCTCTCTGCCTGGGATTCAGCCTGGCCACGACTGCCCACCTCCACCCACCCGGGTCCGTGGGTTGTCCGTGGGTTCTCCCTCCTCTGGTGTTGACGTTGAGGTCCAGGCGGGTGTTGGTGCCTGACCCCCGTGGTCTGGTGTTGTACATTGAGATCCTCGGCTGGTGCCTGCCTTCATTGAGGTCCTGACTTTGTAGATACAGTGTCTTGTGTGTCTGTGGCGGTTACATAGAGGTCATGTCTGTTATATAGGTTGATGTCTTGTCCGGTTTCTCCCATCGAGTTTAATATCGGTGCTTATCCTTGAGGTCCTGGCAAGTAACGACAGTCCCTTGAAGTCTACTTCGAGGTCAACATTAACCTTCAGGATTTATATAGATGCTGCTGTGGGTGTTCAGGAGGTCATTGAGGGGACCCACGGGTCTCCAGGAGGTCCTCATCCGTCTTGAGGCCTTAAAAACGTCCCCTGTTGCTCATAAAAGTCCTGTATTGTATCACTTGAGTCCCCATAGATATCCAGAAGATATCTTCTTGGTTCTTTCGGTAAAGTCACGTAGAAGGGAAGTAATAAAATAATAAAAATAAAACATAATAAAATAATTTTCACGACGTTACGGCCACAACGCAAGCAGCCGTCCTCAAGTGAAGACCAGGTCTGTCGGGGAGTTGCTTGCGTTGTGGCCGAAACGTAGTGAGAATTATTTTATTACTTCCCTTCTACGTGACTTTACCGAAAGAACCAAGAAGATGAATCCCTGCAGTCACGAAAGCTTTACATCGAAATCCAGAATATACCTAACCTTAATGCTCCCTCCCATGGCTCTCCCAGGATATCTAAAAGACACCTTGCACTTGGGACCTAATTCAGTCCCTTTTTTTAGTTGCCATTGATCTCAATAGTGTCCTGTGTACATTACTTAAGTGCAAGTGTTTTTGTATTCCTTATATCCATGTCTGCAAGGCTGGGCAGAAGGAGAAAGTTGAGGCCAGAAAACTAAAGCCGTTGCTGGAGGACGGGCCCGATCTGAAAGAGTTCTTGTCAGGAGAGTTGGCAGATCGGAGCAAGTGGGATGAATATAAAGGGAATCTGATACGTGGCAAAGGAGAAAGGTAAGACTACTTGTGCACACAGAAGACGGCATCCACATTGTATTACAAAATAATACATTACTTGCATTTAACCCTCTTTTAAACTGATTCTATCTTTAAAGGCTAAGGCTGCCTCCATGGCTCAAAACGAAAATTCCAGTCGGAAAAAACTACAACCGATTGAAGAATACACTCCGGGAGCTGAATCTGCACACGGTAAATGCACTTTTTGTTACCGCTTACCGCTCTAGATTATAATACATCATTTGTCGTGACAAAATAATCACCCAGATCGGGCATCTGCATTTAAGTGATGTTCATGTCCGTGTACATTCTCTGCCTCCCCCATTGCTCTTAGGTGTGTGAAGAGGCTCGATGCCCCAATATTGGTGAATGCTGGGGAGGAGGCGAGTATGCGACAGCCACCGCTACCATCATGGTACTTTTGTGATTTTTATGTTAGCATTTACTGAATCTATAAGTCATCATTATCGACATCCTCATCTCCCACTTCTACTTCTCCCACCATCTCTTGTCACCTAAATCTTTCTCTGTTGATTATCACAACATTACGGCGGGAGTGGTAGGTAACACATTCCTGCGGAGGGAGCTGGTAGGAACATTGAGTTGCTCGGTCAATGGCCAGGGTCAACGGTGGCGTGGTGCATACCGCAAATATGCCCGACTCTTTGAGGGCGGGCACAAACCGGCGTGAGTAGGTTAAACGTTGAGTTTTATAAGGGCACCACGGGGTGACCAGCCCCTCCCCACCCAGCCCCTCCCCACCCAGCCCCTCCCCACCCTCCCCACCCAGCCCCTTCCTGCACGACGGACACAGTAATCCCCTGTGGGCTGGTGTAACCAGGAGGTTCCTACCAGTAATAATAATGTAATACAGCACGGGGAGGTCGTGTCGGCGTGAGGTTTATGTGGGTGTCGTGAGCGAGTGCACAACTCTTGACAATGATGGCACTGGCGGTGCGTTGCAGCTCATGGGAGACACGTGCACACGGGGCTGCCGCTTCTGCTCGGTGAAGACGGCGCGCGCGCCTCCTCCGCTTGACCCGGCCGAGCCGCACAAGACGGCGCACGCCATCGCCGCGTGGGGTCTCGACTACGTGGTGCTCACTTCGGTCGATCCGCGACTGGTGAGCGCGGTTGTTGAATGTGGTCTGTGGCTGTGGATGCATCGGCGTGTGAAACACGTAGTGCTCCATAGGAAATAGCAAATGGATGTAAGTTCGAATGTTTTGTCTGCATTGGGTTGTAGTGACTCGGCGATACCCTCATACGATTCCATTGCATTGGTTTTATGAATTGCGCATCAGCAGAGATTAATTAGGATTCATATTGTGGTCTGCTAAAGGAAATAGGAAGCAGGGATTACTTAATTTTTGTTTGCAATTTAACAACAATGTGTAAACGATTAAGTAATGCAGATGCCGGCGAGAATTTTTGTAACGTTGCTGTACTTTATATACTGAAACACACATGTATGTTTTTATACGTAAGTAAACATCCTTGGCTTGCATAAGTCGCGAACATGTACACAGTGCAAACGCCTACCGCTAATAAAATATTTTCTCTCCCAAGACATATCTGACGGTGGTGCCGCGCACATCGCTGAGACCATTCGGCATCTCAAAGAAAAGTACGCTTCCCTTTTGATACAAATCCCATTCACTTCCTTTTTAGTCCCAAGAACGGATTTTTTTTAATGAAAATAAACTTCTTCATTCCACGTTGGCTCATGCTCAGGAAGCCAGAGCTCCTGGTGGAGTGTCTCACGCCCGACTTCCGGGGTGACCTCGCGGCTGTGGCGACGGTGGCATCGTCGGGCCTGGATGTTTACGCGCACAACGTGGAGACCGTGCGGGAGCTGCAGCGGTGAGTGAACCACGCATGTTTTTGGAGCACAAGTGTTATCCCCTCATACACGTGTCTCTGGGTACTTTGTTTTCCTCCAATATGCAAAACATTCCTTATGTAATTGGTCAATTGTCCCACTGCAGAACCCTCCTGTAAAGGGTCCTGAGACTCAAGTGAGGCTTTCCTGTAAAATAAATTACATTTATCCGTGTTTTTGGAGAGGATGATAAAGACTTGCATTTGTATCAGTTGCTTTGGAGATATAAAGCACACCTCTGTACTATTTAGTACGTCTGACATAACCCTGTACTTACAAGTGAGCTCATTGCTGGAGTTTAATTTTGGAGCTCTATGCTTGTGTAATGTTTACCATTTACAGGAAGGCACGAGACCCCCGCGCCAATATCGACCAATCGCTGAGTGTCCTGAGGCATGCTAAGGCAGTGCAACCGAGCCTGCTCACCAAAACCTCCATCATGCTGGGCCTCGGAGAGACGGACGAGCAGGTGATTTCTACCATGAAAGGTGAGTGGGCAGCCCGACCAGACAGGGAGTACTTACGTGAAACAAATGTGACACATTTGGGGCATGTCGGGGCTGGAGGGAAAATGCAACCAAAAAACAAGTAGCTTATATATACAGTAAAACCTTGGATTGCGAGCATAATTCGTTCCGGAAACGTGTTTGTAATCCAAAGCACTCGTATATCAAAGCACTCGTATATCAGTTTTGATCACGTGACGCTCGGCAGACAAAGCGTATACACGTACTACTCGTATTGCAAGACCTCGCTCGTTTATCAAATTAATATTTATTTAAAAAATGTGCTCGTCTTGCAAAACACTCGCAGACCAAGTTACTCGCAATACAAGGTTTTACTGTATATAGAAATGCTGTGCCCTGGACTGGACGATGCAGGTTTTAAACTTTGTTGGTGAGAAAAAAAATCCGTTAAAATCACAAGTGCGTAGTTTTAGAATGCCGTGATGTCACTGACTTTGCACGGATGTTTTAATTAGTGAATGCATCACTTTTGCTAGAGTACCATGGGAGAGTACACAACCGTAATTTATTAACATCTTTTATTTTCTCACCATGAAATCTTGCCTTTTATCGAATATCCCGCATGTCACACAGCCAGAGTACGTAACTATAAGGGCTGCTTATGGGTTGCGTCTTCCCTTAATAGAGCAAAGCAGAACATGGCACAGCAAGGATCAGCACCTGACCATGCAGCATAGTTGAACAATATTTCTATATTGCGAGTGGAGAAAATTTACTTTATGACAGTGACGCATTACCTCTTGGCATTACATGTGCCACATGTTGTTGTGGCAGAAATCCGAGATGCTGGAGTTGACTGCCTGACGCTTGGGCAGTACATGCAGCCTACAAAACGACACCTAAAGGTATGGCTCTAGGGAGAGCTTATCAACAAGTCATGCATGTGCCTCTATCGAGCAGACCAGCTTTTTGCTACTTCCACCATTATTCATATGCAGACCATCACGTGTCACTTCCAATAACAATCAGAGAATACATATCGCATGCATGTCAATTAACTAGTAGACAATCGCTATAGATCACATGACAAAAGCTGTGCCACTACTCTATGCTATACAAAAATACTGAGTAAGTCATTGACCAAACATTCAACGTAAGTTCCATCTGAGAAGAGTCTTGAGGATAATTCAAAGGTTTCTTGAATAAAAGGTTATTCGTCTTTTAAAAAAACATGAATACAGTAATTGGGATCCCTAACTGAAAAGATGTAGCACAAACTGAACTAAGCAAGGGAGCATAGCTCACCTTGAATGGGGTGCACCTGAAATGGCCACATCGCCCTTTCCACTTGCCTTCCTTTTGGTTATCACAGACAATGCCATTGTTTGGGCAGAGTGCAGCCCATGCACTGTAGTGTAAAAGAATCCTGCAGCGAAATATTAATCCTATTCCAAACCCCAACTCTATCCATCCCCATAGTTTAAAAAAATATTTTATTATATTTCAATCAGAGACCAGTATAGAGCACAAACCGCAACATCCATCCCTATAGTTAACATGCATTACCCCCCATTGGGCCTCAAAGGGAAGTAATCAGCAGCAGTGTTTCACAGAGCAACCATATTTTTAGCGCCTCTGCAGTGCAGGCCGTTTGTGTGCGGGTGCCAGGTGGAGGAGTACGTGACCCCGGAGAAGTTCCAGCAGTGGGAGCATGTGGGGAAGGAGCTGGGCTTTCATTTACACGGCCAGTGGACCACTCGTGCGGTCCTCCTACAAGGCTGGTGGGTGCCCCACGGGATCGGAAAATATGATTGCGTTTCAAGAGCAGTGCGTCTCGATTGCCTTGTGCCAATGCGTTTCACTGAACATCGCCTTGTGCCAATGCGTTTCATGTACAGGTGAGTTTTTTCTGAAGAACCTTCTGCAGCAGAGGAAAGTGGACGAACGTGCTTAATGCAGGGCGGTGAAGGCGCTTAAATGTGAAGGCTGCCGATGGAAATGAAAATTTGCTGTCTTTACAGCAGTGCCTACAACACAACACCATTGTATAGCTGCTCTTGAGGGTAGGCAAGGACAACAATGTAAGTCATTGGTGCAATTTATCCTCGGAATAATCATTGCGTTATTGTTTTCATTATAAAGCTACTTGCATGTTTCATCACCCTTTATTATTTCAGGGTTATGAGTTGCAGGATATACATTGTTTGCTTTGTAAAGGTGGTAGGGGTGGAAATAAGTCAGTTTAATATTTTTGCCTATAAACTCCAAACATTGCACTGGAGCCTAAAACTCTACACATTATATGTTACATCACTTCTAAGCATGGGAAACTGTTCAAAAGCTAACAGAATTAGTTGAAGCACTGCGGGTTAATTTGTATAAATGTACCATTTTGACTGCTGTGTCAAGCAACTGAATTGTAATAGCTTTAAATAGTTTTTTGCTTAAGGCCAATGATTAATTGTCAGCAAGTCAATGAATGTTTGATTGAATGCACTAATATTTGTTGAATGAATTAACGTGACTCTTGGTCTATGATCAAAATAAACGAAAACGTAAACAATATTGCTTTTTATTGTTACAAAAACAACTACAGCATATTCTGATTAAATGCTTGGAATGGTCCATGATTATAAAGATAATAAACATTTAGGAATTAACATTTGACAATGTAATATACCATTATAGTGTTAAAGTACCAACTGTGCTAAACATACAAAAATATGAATTTAAACAAATCGAAAAATTATTGCAGTATATGAATGCTCCCACTAATTAAATTAAAACCATTCAGTAACATTTTCAAAATCGGAGCTCATTACTGTTCAGGTTGAAAAGACAGCACACAATTGTATGAATGTTTGGAGTTATTTGTTCCTCTGCAGCTAAACTCTGAACCCATGAACTATGAAACCACTGATTAATGTCAAGGTTGAACTGTGCCCATATGTAGAGACTAACTCTACTTCTCTCTGAACTAAAAAGTACAAAATACGTAAAATAATTCAAGTAAACCTTCAGCACACACGATACACATGGCAACCCTGGGAATACTCAACTTCAAGTGTTATGGTGACGCAGCCTGTTAGCTTAGAATTTCAGCTGTGTGTACAATAACATGTATGGCCAAGACATTTGATTTGCCATACAATAGGTATGGCCTTTCAACTTATCACAGCCAGGACAAAGGGCTTTAGATTACACTGGAATAGAGTGCTTGCAAACCCTAGCATTTTGAAAGGAGGAAATGCCTCATTGGACCATTTCTGACCAAAATTCTACCACTCATAAGACAAAAAATCTGATGCAACAAGGTACAGCCAGCAGTAATAACTGCCTTGTAATTGGTGCAAATACGTCGTGAAGGCAGGACACTATCCCACTCTAAAAACTACAAATATTTGTACCCAAGCCTCTGCCAATTCCCAACACATCCAACATTTAAATCAACTGAAATGTGCAGTGGTGCATGGACTGTGAAGAATCCAGTTGAGCATCCGCAAGGCTTTATGTAGGTACATCATGTCCTGTTTAAACCACAGCGAGGTGCCTCTTGAGCGGATTTCACATTGGTAATAAAAAATTCGTATGATCAATACAATACATTATCAGTTGTTGGACTTGTCTCTTGAATGATTAAACATGCGAGGATTTTGTCGTTTTGCCAAGCGCGTGGTAGGATTCGGGCAACGGCTCGGGCACCACGGCACATTTTGTCTCTTCCCTTCGCTCGTGCGGTTGGAGCTGTGCTGCCCGTGTGTCATGTGACTCGGAGCCCGGGCTCAAACCTCCTCCCCCTCAGACCTTGGCGCGTTTCGCTGGAGGCGATTGCAGCTCCGTGTTCACGTCGGCGGCGCTTGGCGTGAACGGGATCCCGTTCTTCACCACGCGTTTCCCGATCGTCTCGATCTGCTCCCTCCGACACGTGGAAAGTGTCATGCATCATACGGAGCGTTTCCAACATTTATTCTCAGTCATCAAGGCCAAGTGCCAATGATGTCTGCACGACTCACTGTAGTTTAATTTATACTGGCGGATCATGAAACTGCGACACAGTTGGCACAAGACCCCTACGGTCTGCGCTCAGTTTCGTCACCAACATCTGGCTTTAGTTCTTTGCCTTGGTCGCTGACCTCTGGGTGAGACTCCACTGCCACAATCTATTTTTGCTGATTGCATTTACAACGCTTTCTTACCATATATTCCTAAATTTCCAAGTTGCTTTCAGTATGAAATTCCAACCATCTATTGCATTTAGGTCCAGAGATTTCTTGACCTTATTTGGCTAAAGCTGTCCAACGAACGATCGACGCAACATGGCTCGGAGGAATATAACACATTTCAAGTGTTTAACCGGGAATTAATTTCAACAATTTGAATTGTGGTAGCACCTGGAAGCCGATGTGCTGCAGCTTGTTGTGCAGCGTGTCCAGGATACGGCGGCCGTCAAACAGGAACGCCGGCTTCAGCATCCCCCCGTAGATTCGTTCGTAGTCCAGCTCCTGACAGCGCGCGTCGACGAGGGCAGTAGCGACAGAAAAGGGGATGTCGTTCAGTCAGGTGCAACTGCCAGGATGGATGTCGCAGTGAAGCGAACGCAACCTCGAATCACTAATGCTGACATGAGGTAACTACAGGCGTTGAGTCACCTGTTGGCTTTTACAGTAGCTACATTACAGGGACATTTAGCGTGATACACTTTTTAAGTACAAAAATGTTGAACTTCCTTCACGCCGTACATAGCCAACCATGCTAATAAGAGGTGTAGGAAAAGAACTGGCAGCAGTCGTTAAATATCTACACTTTTATCCATGCATAGGTCTGTATCATTACCAATATAAAGTAATTGTTTTACTGTATATCCATCCAGATGGAGTTGGATGGATTCATCCAGCAGTGGATAGACAATGGCTGCTCCTGATAGTAACTTTTTCACTCTCACACTAGAGTAACTGCGCTATACAATGTTCTAGAAAGTCACATTTAATATATATTAAACAGCACTACTAATATCCCCGTGAATAACCGTGGCGAGTATCTCCTTGCCTGACATGTAGTTACTTCATCTGATTTGAGCTGTGCCATGTTTGTCAAGACAGGTTTTTTTTCTCACTTGGCTGCTGATGATCATGACAATGTCAAGCACAAGCACTTTCAATACTGCCGGTAAAAGCAGCAGTCACGTCGGCCCCACTGTATACACGCGCGCGACACTCGGCAGTCAGGGCCTGGCGCCGAGTAAACGGCGAGCCTGAGCCCCAAGACGAAGCTCACCTTGAACAGGTCCCACTCGGTGCAGATGACGATGGCGTGAGCTCCCTCGCACGCCTCGTACGGGTCGGTCACGATCGTCACCAGCTGCGAAACTGACGGCAGAGGAAGGGAAATCAAAGGGCGGCTTCAATCCCCACACGTGACACATCGAGAAGAAGTCAGCATGCTCCGTCAGCAAGCTCCCAGCATCATGAAACGGACCTCCGCTTCTTGCCGTGTTCGCTAGCCTGCTGTCGGACGGTGCGCGCGCAGCGATTCCTTGGCTCACCTCTCTCAGGCTCATCGCCGGAGATGGCCGGCTGTGAGAGGTCCTGCACGATCTGCTCCTTCCTCACTTTGGGGTCGTAGATCTGCAGACGTGCGCCCTCGTCCATCAGGTACTTGCTGATGTAGATGCTCGAGGACTCCCTGTGGCGGAGAACATGGCACAGCGCTTGATGGGCACGATGCCCCGATAAGAGTGGGACATTTGTACCCACGAAAGCAATACGCACATCGTGTATCTAAATCAATGAGAATGTAAACACAAAGCCAAGTTAATCGAAATTAAGGCCTCTGTAAAACGTTCATTCAAAGTTGATTTTTTAAATTAAATTTTTTTTCACGGTTCCCACCTTGTATCTCCCGTGTCCTTCTTGAACGCGAACCCGAGCAGAGCGATCTTCTTGTCTGTCACCGTGTTGAAGAGGCAGCCGATGATCCTGGTGGCGAAGCGCCGTCGCTGATATTCGTTGATCTCGATGACCTGAGCCGCCACAGAACCGGCGGGTTGAGGCAGCACGGCAGAACGAGTGCACGCAGGGAGGGGGATACGAGCAGGTACAAAGCACATCGGAGCAAACCAACTATGTTCACATGTCCTTTTCACTCAAAATGTGTAAACATGCCCATGTTTAAACTTAAAATATTCTGATAAAAATTACAGACTGCTGCCATGGCGCAATGGTTAGCACACTGGACTTGCAATCTAGAAGTCGTGAAACAATGGGTGAGTTGAAACAATGGGTGAGTTGCTTAAATTCCCCTGCCTTTCTCCGATTAGTAGGTTGCGTGCTCTCTCTCAATCTTTCTTGAATGGAGCCCCTTCTACCAGCGGGGCTGCTTTGCCTTTACCACCTTCACCCTTCAATAATAAGTCCTCCCCGGCTTGTGTCGGCCATGGGGATTATTAGGTTATATGTCAAAAAGCTCAACAGTGCAAGTGGGTCAACACAGTAGAGTCCCAAGATCGGTTCAGATATCACTCCTCGCTGATGATAGTGGCTGCGAATCAATCTCAGACCGCCGGGTCCTTGACGCAGTGCGCTCACCACTTCACCACTGCTCCACCCAATGTTTAAAACAGGCAATGCAATTTCACATTGTACCTAACAGGAGATCGTGCTAATACGTCAATAACAATCTAACCACACTGCCACCTGGTTAGGGTGAAGGACACGGATAAGGGAACACCTGATAGCCTATTGCTCAATACCGGTGGATGAAGCAGGAATAGAGTTCACTAAATATTCTAGCACGCGAGGTGTAACTGGACAAAAGTGAGTTAACGACCGTTTCAAAATTGTAAGGCTATGGACGGAGTGGCACTAGGCTCATGTGCGTGGCACATTGAGCTTTTTTTCCAGCGAGGAGTAGAGTGACGCACTCACCTGCTGCCAGTAACGTGCCACCTCTGGGAGGTTGAGTGCTTCACACAGGTAGACCAGATTGAGCACGTCCTTCTGGAAACAGCTGCCTCCAAAACCTGCATACAGCAGCGACAGCCACAAGACACACGAAACAGCCGCATGATACATTTCAGTGCACTACGCTGCCACTGGGCCTAGGACCAAATCACCCGGAATGCACGCCAATGTCATTAGATCTCTAAAGCTAAGCAGGCTTGAGCCTGGATAGTGCTTGGATGGGTAATCACCATCCACAAAACAGGTTGTCATTGGGCTTGCGGGGCTAAGTGGTGGGCAGCAGAGGGCAGAGTGGCAACATCCATTGTACTGTATTGTACTTCCACGCTCCCCTACATCACCAACCCACACTGACCAATGTGGTGAAGTATGGTCAAATAACCCACACCGTGTTGGCACCCCTCATCATTCGCAAATGACCGAATCAGAATATTTATACTGGAGGAATCCAATTAGCTATACAACTCTTTTCCACAGTCCAGTAGATGTGCCAGTGAAATGTGCCAATAAAGACAAGAATCCTGGGATCACTAGGACAACACGGACGTACGTGGGTGTGTGCAGACTCCCTCATCTACACCAGCCTAAGGGTGTGCATTGGCCTTGCGGGTGTGCATGGCTGTATGGTCTGGTCACTGTTGTTGGTTAATAGGGAGTGCAAATTCATGTACGCCTCAAGAGCACAGATGTATGGGTGAAGGGAGCTCCAAGGAAAAATAGCAACTTCTCACAGAGTGAAGATTGAATGGGAGCTTCAATAGATAGACTCGGCTGCTGGAGCAAAGATTGTGTGGAGAGTACAATGAGATGACGGTAGGGGTAGGAGTCAATTGAGGATAGAGTTGAAAGGGAAGGGTAGTGGAATGCATGGAGGGTAGTGGAGTGAGATGAGAGGGTATCAAGGTAGAGTGCATGGAGGAGTTGTCAAGTCAAGTAAAATTAAATTTTTGTTTACAACAGGAGCAAGGGGAGAGGTGTCACCCTGTCTATGGAGGCGTGTGTGGCCACATTCTCGTACCAACGCTGGCCTTGAGGAAGCAAGAGCCGATGCGCCGGTCGGTGCCAATGGCGTGCGCCACTTGCTCTACGTCAGCGCCCGTTGCTTCGCACACCGCGCTGATCGAGTTGATGCTGCTGATACGCTGAGCCAGGAACGCGTTGGCTGCCTGTGTGCACGCAAGGCCTTATCATTTAAAAAATCGCGTTATTCACTGTGAAAGTGTATAAACTTTTTGATAAACGTGTAGATTCATTGTAGATTTTTACCAAGCCATCGTCATATACCGTATAAAGATTACATATAGATCCGAGTACTGTGTAATGACTGTATATACATTGTAGCTGGAAAATGTTGGCAATATATCTGAAAAAATGAGAACTAGTCGAAGGGTTTCGGTGAATAAATTCACACAATTGACGATGTTGACAACCGAGACAAATATGACTTGTGATGCCATCGCATGATGACGGACGATAAAGAGAAAAATGGAAATTCGATGACAATAAAAAAAACAACCAAATCAACAAAACAATAACGTAACATGCAATACAAAGTGAGAAGCAAAAAACAGAAAAATAAACCAAATAAAAAATAAAGGCGCACAAGTTTGGAGAGCTCTGAGGACCAGGTGTTGGTGGCGATGATCTTGCTGCTCGGCACCCAGTGCAGGTAGACGGCACTCAGCGCCGCCACGGCGCGCTGGCCCTCGCTCGTCTCGTCACCGCCAATCAGGACGCGGTCCGGGTTCTTGAGGTCCCGGATTGCCGTGCCCTCCGCCAGGAACTCGGGGTTGGACAGCACCTACGATGGGCACGACGAAACAAATCGCAGCAAGTGTATGTGGTCCATTAACGGACACACGCGTGTACAGCGTTGAGTTAGTCCCTTTGTCCCTCGCCGGGACAGAGGGTTCTCCTTCAAGGGATAAATTTGACTTGTGCTGGGCTTATATTGAGCGCTGAACTAGGAAGAGATGAAAAAATAAAATTGAAGATTAAATCCATAAAAAACAAGCCATACTCAAGGTGAGTTTGGTTAAGGAAGTCAGTTTGTTTAGTTTGGTTTACGAAGCCACCTAGAGCTCCTGGTCATTAATCTGAGTCCCTATCACTTACATTAACTGTTAGTCACGTAACAATGTATTGATTGATACATGCATTACATGTTGTGTCAAAGAATCAATTATTTACAAGTTCTGCAAATCATACGTAAATATACCCTACCCTAAAGATGCAAACAAGACAACGTGATTAATATTTTTTTCAGCCGAACTCAAAAAGCAATGATTAATATTAACTGAGAAATGCTACAATCTAAGACAATACAATAGAGACGATACAAAGACAAACATTTATAAATTATTGAAATTAATTACCTGAAATTCGACAATCTACCGAATTTCTGGGGGGGAATGATCATACACGTCTATGGTAAGTTGCCAAAACACAGCAAAGACCAAGACGTTTTCTTCTTCCCTTCATTCATGTAATGTTCTGACTCGCCCCTACTGGGCGTCTGTGAAAAAGAGCTTCATAGCTCATCGGATTCCTCTAGTATAAATATTCTGATTCTGATTCACTGTGCCGGTAACATGGCCGAGCGGTAGAGTGTCCTAACTTCCCAAATACGAAACATTTCCCGCATATTACTTAATTGGGAAATCACATAGCAACGTCGTTATAGTGTTAAACTACTGCAGACTGCGCGGTGTCTGAAACAACATAGTGCCTTCGTGATAGGCTAACAATATAAAAATGGGACGAATTGATTTGATTAACCCTTTTCCGTTCCGAGACGTGTGCAAGCTCTTGGGTGGGTCCTGTTAACCTCCGAATCTCGGAATGTGCAAGCGGTTCAATGTTAATTTTATTCAGAGACACAGCGCCGCTTTTTTTAAAGACATCGTACTCACCGCAGAGAACTGTAGTGACACGATCGCACTCTCCGATAACGAGTGCCAAACTGTTTCCGCACGCCCCCCCCCCGCATGGCCTTTTTACTTCCGATTCCATTCCGATGATGTACATGTACGTCATTGGAACGGGAGGGCAGTGAGAGCCACTGCTTGGACCTCCACTGCCACCACGAGCAACCCCGTTAAAGCACCTGCAGGTGCAGGTCGGGCTTTGTGTTGGCGTCGAAGATGCGCTTGATGCTCTCGGCAGCGCGCACGGGCACAGTGCTCTTCTCCACCACAATCTTGTAGCCGGTGGAGAGGCCCACGATGCGGCGAGCGCACGCCTCGATGTACTTGAGGTCGGCCGCCCGGCCCTTGCCAATGCCGAAAGTCTTGGTGGGAGTGTTCACCTGTGGCACAATGCAAAATGCTTTTAGATTAACGATTTAGAAAGACTTCCCTTCCCCAACCGGCACGAACCAGCATGGCCAAATATGGTCAAACAGCCCCCCTATGACCAGCACTGTATGGGAAGGCCTTCATCTCGCTCTGGGATTGACAATGGGATGTGATTAATATAATTATTATGAAATTTCACTCGGGATTTTACTTTTATTAGCCGAGTAAGGCAGATATGAACAATCTCCAATTAGGATTTTCTTTTCCCAGGTAGCTCCTATGCGTACTGGATAATCCATCGGACTATGATTTCTCACACCAACAAACCCACCGAGATGAAGATGAGGTCAGCTTCTTTGATGGCCACATCGATGTCCGTGGAGAAGAAGAGATTCTTGCCACGGCACGACTCCACCACCTCCTGCAGCCCCGGCTTCAAGCGAGGACAAGCCCAGAGCGAAAACAATGAGTCATCATCGGCGATTGTCTATCCAATGCTGGCCTCCCCATGTCATCGCGAACCCTCACGGTCCTGTAAAGCCACAATACATCCCCCACTCCTGCACTGTTCTCATCAGTCTATCTCTATGTAGTCATCCATGCAGCCACATTATTTCCTTTGGCTGCCATTCCATCTACCAGTTTAATTTTTCAGTCATTATCGCTTCCAGCGAAGTGTCCTGACAAAACCCACTTACTTTGTTGTGTCAGGGATGCTGCCGTGTAATAATTAACACACTGGACTTGCAATGCAGAGATCATTGGTTTAATCTACTGGCGTGACAGTTAAAAGTGGGCAAAGTTGCTTAAATCCCCCCACCTCTGTCCACCCAGCAGTATAATGAGGGATGGGGTAAATTGTGGGTACTTGCTTCTCTTCCAAGACGTCTGGCCAGCGTAGAAGAGTAGGATAAACGCCCTCTCGAGGGGCTTGCCAAAGCTCCCCCTAGCTGACATCCTTTCGCCAGCTGCGGCATGAGCAATCAATCGTGGGGCTGCACCCTTTTCGCTCCATGTTTTGTCACCCACTTACTCGGCATTAGTCGTTTTCCCGTTATGTAGAGCCAAACAAGGCCGATGGATACTGTCCTTGGGGCGGGCGGGCGGGGGGGTGGACGAGAGTGGCATCAGGAGAGGGCATTATGAGGGGGCAGCGTCTCACCTCGAAGATGGGCAGCGTGGGCGAGTTCCAGGCATGGATGCGCTGCTCGTTCACGTCGACCACGGTGACGCGCACCTCGGGGCACATGTGTGCGATCACGCTGCACGTGGGGCCGCCCACGTAGCCCGCGCCGATGCAGCAGATCTTGCGCACCACCACGTTCTCCGCCATCGAGTCGCGCCTGGTGCGCCGCAAGACAAACATATCCCCAAAGTGTGGCATTCATCAGACTCAAAGGATGTTATTTCAGCCGGTAAGGCCCACTGGGCGAAACGGCTCTTAGATTGACGGCGATGGTGGCAGTTACAGGACATTGCAGGGTAGGAACGTGCAGGCTAACGGGAATAAAAACCAAAATTACTTTTTATTTCTACGAAACTCACGCCAACAATTGGCGCAAAAAGAACAGTTCTCTAAAATAAATCAAACACAGTGTAAACGATTTAACGGAGTTTTGGATCCAATGATGTTAGCGAACACCTATTAAGGTCAGCACGAGTGGTGTGGCCAGCACCACATCTGGTAGCCTCTGTCCTCCCTAGTGCTGATGCGCACACACCGCACCAGGCTGAATCAACCGAGTGGAGACCCCAGGATCCGTTCATATATTTGACAGAGATGATAGCTGTGGCAGGGAATCAAACTGGGGCCGCCGGGTTCGCAGAACTATGCCATTGCACCCCACACACGATCCATACACACACACATACAGATGTCCACGTTTTTTTTCCTACCCAAACGCGCAATCCTGTCTCTATTGGTTGTCATGTACAAAAGAAAAGTGAGCTCACTGCTGGATATTCCGGGGAGGAGGCAAGTGTGCCTTCGTTCTTACCAGATGTTAAGTCGGCTTAAGCAGAGCTGCTATTCTATTTGTGCGTATGGCAATACGTCCAGGAGCTAAATGGCCAGTGTCCACGTGTTGATAGCCACGACGAGAGGGCCTCAAACTGGAACACAAAAACGCACACGAACTCTCCTTTGTGATGCTACGAATGTGGCCACATGTGCGGCACCGTGTCATAAAATAAATGACATTGGCCATGCTAATCTGTCCGGTCAGCCCGAATCATCCCTGTGTTAATAAAATGGTTGTAACTTCCAGAGTATCGGGGTGCACAATTTCAAACATGCAGAGAGTATTGCCAAATACTCGTGTGCTACGTAAAGTCAAAGTTTACGTAATTTGAGGAACGTCAAAAAATCCTCCATTTCACCGACCCACACTGACCAGCGTGGCGAAGTATGGCCAACCTCCCCCATGACCGACACAACGTGTTGGAGGCCTTGGGTTGACACAACACTGTGTACATTGTGCTTGACACTCGCATAGCTGTCAACCCATTCGGTTTACTCCGTATTCTTATGCAGGGGAATTGAGTTTCCAGGTCCATAAGGCGTACAGTCGTTTAAATACGGGCAAAAAAATGTGCTTTAATCTATTTGTTTGTTTCTCTCTTGTGATGGGACTTAGTGGGATGAACGTTGAGATTTTCTAAGGGCACGGGGTGACCAATATAAAGGTCTGAATTGGTCTGTAATAAAGTTGGCGCTGATAAGGGGTTGACAGGTTTGTAGTGGTGAGTGTACTCGTGGTGAGTGCAGTAGTGTACTAGCGGTGAGTGTACTAGTGGTGATTTGTCTATTTGTGTTGGTCTGTTATAAGGTAGGCGCTGAAAAGGGGTTGACAGATATGCACTCAGGTCGTGAGGTTTGATGCTTTCCTGTGCACACAATAATTATGATAATTATTCCAATGCTCTCCACAATTCACTATCCTCCCTATCGCATTGCTGCTGTTGTTGTCAGCCTGTAGCGTTCTCCTGCGAGACAAACGCAACCCACATTTGATTACATTTCTTCCTTTTAGTTGTTATTGTCAAGTCGCGACTTCCGTACTCTTTAAATGAATCTGATACTCTTGCCTGCTCTTGGTAACCACTTCGTAATGAACGTGACTGGTGCGTTGGCTTAACCATGCATACAAAAACGCAACACAGGCGTCCAATAACAGCCTCAACATACATACGGAGCAAGATAACTTCAACACGTCAATAACTGCCTCTAATGAAAACATGTATGATATATTATTTTAACATAAACTATTACATGTTATTTAAAGCCAGTGTTGTAGACCGTTTTGTGCTAATTGTACACCATGACCAACGCAGAAGCAACCATCGCCAAATAATGAGTTTAATACGGAAGAGCCGACGTTTCGGGGCTTTGGCCATTGCTAAAAACAGGTAGCTAATGCCGATACATCTCCGATTAGTAAGTCGTGCTCGTCATGTGGCGTGCCCATGTCCGTCGCCTTAACAAGCAACAGCATTGAAGTGCGTGTCAGGCGAGCGGAGGTGTGCTGCAACGTACTGTCTGTCTGTCTTCTGCTGTTACAAGACGTGGAATTCCACCCTCGTTTCGTCGCCGCTGCTGCAGCTACAAGACGTAGAATTCCACCCTCGTTTCGTCGCCGCTGCTGCTGCTACAAGACGTAGAATTCCACCTTTGCTCCGTCGCTGCTGCTGCTGTTGATGCTGCAAGACGTGGGATTGCACCCTCGTTTTGTCGCTGCTGCTGTTGATGCTGTTGATGCTAAAAGACGTGGAATTCCACCCTCGTTTTGTCGCTGCCGCTGCTGCTGCTGCAGGACGAGACGCGGCCACGTGGACTTCGCTCTCAGCTGATGGGGAGGGGGCGGGCCGGCGGGTCGCGGAGTGATGACGTCACGGCAACGACACGCGGAGACAACACAAATGACGTCAAACACAAATGACGTTAAACACAAATGACGTCATTTTACGCGTAGGCCTATCGCGACCAATGTGACTGTGTCCGTAATATAAGGAGGACAACTTATTCAGTTTTTAAGTTTCATTTATTTGGTGTAGCCCTGTGAGCCATTCGGCTCTTGAATCGGGTGCAACCGCAACAAACAAAAGCAAAATGTCACAATTTTTGTGAAAAATTTCACAATTCTGGCTCATTAAGCTGGTTTGTAATCAACAGCGAAACGTCGTACTCGACTTGTCAATGTTGTTGTGGGTTTACTCTCCGGCGCACACATCCGATGAATCTAGATTTGAAGCTTTCGTGACTGCAGGAATCCATACTCTTTGGTTCTTTCGGTAAAGTACTCTTGCTGATACTCTACCTGTACTATGTACTTCCAAAAAAAAATCTGCAGACTACCTGCTGGATATCCTCACTGTTTCGAAGAACAAATGTGACCTAAGGTCTCATTTACCAGCTTCACATTCCCTATTGCCGCACAAATACTGGAGGAAGGGCCTTTGTGGTTGATGCCCCCATGGTCTGGAACGCTATTGCCAATAAACTGCAATTCTAGATTTGAAGCTTTCGTGACTGCAATGATTCATACTCTTAGGTTTTTTCGGTAAAGTCACGGAGGTAAAAATAAATAAGAATAAATAAATAATAAAATAACAGAAATAATTATATTTTTACTTCTATTATTATTTATTTTTCATAATAGAAATATTAATATTATTTCTAATATATTTGTTATTTATTTTTACCTACGTGACTTTACCGAAAAAACCTAAGAAAATAAAAACTGCAACTTGAGTCACTACCTGTGAGATCTTCACTCAAAACTGCTCTAGAGGAGCTGTACACCCCTAGCTGCCACTGCTATGGGGTCGTTCATAAATGACGTCACGCACCTAGGAGGGGGGGGGGTTCAGACATTTGTGACGATGTGTGACGAGGGGGAGAGGGTTTGAGAAATGTGACGTCACATCAAAATGCGCAACTTTAAATAAATATAGACAACACGTTCTACTTAATTAAATAGACTTTTAATAAACGTTTTCTCCTACAACATCAGAGTGCAGCGCCACATTAAATACGCACTACAATGACAATAGTTTAAAACGATTTGAAGCATGTTTTATTTTCAAAATGGAAATATGGTTTTGGGGGGGGAAGGGCAGAGCTTTGTGACGTCATATTTGAGGGGGGGTCTGACTTTTTGTGACGCCGTGTGACGAGGGGGGGGGGGGGGGTCAAAAATCGCGTGACGTCATTTATGGACGGCCCCAATGCAGAGTGGCCTGAAATCAAATGCATCGCTCCGGATGACCGCTGCAAAGTATGATCTTGAGTTTTTATTACAGTGTGCTGATCTTTAAAGGTGCATTGCAAATTTTTGATACTCTTGCTGATACTCCTGCTGTTATGGAGTGACTCATGCTGCCAGCTATGGCTGCAAAGTTTGGTAGTACACGTTATGGATATCGTTTATTGTTAAAATTAAATCACAATTCCTATGATCACTGTTACATTGCTTTTATAGCTTTATTTTGGTGACTTCGAAAACGTATAGTTTAGCCATGTTTGTTGAAGTACAGAGCCTGATAATTTTCATCTAAATTGTCTCATGGTTGTTATTGTTTGACTTGCATCCCACTGGGATTTTTGCACACAGCGTTGAAATACGGTGCTTTTTCTGGAAGACTTTGCTGTTTTTTCCTGGATGTTTCTGTTGCGTGTAGTCACTTTAAGATGTTTCTTGTTCATGTATTTGTTTGTTGCGGTTGCACCCGAGTCAAGAGTCGTATGACTCACAGGGTTATACCGAATGAAACTGAAAAAAAAATTGGCACGTTTTGTTTACACGACAAATCTCACCAATCGGCTGTGTCGGGTGGTGGCGGGTTTAACGACACATTTAAGTGATGATTTAAAGCTTTCGTGACTGCAGGGATTCATCTTCTTGGTTCTTTCGGTAAAGTCACGTAGAAGGGAATAAAATAATAAAAATAAAACATAATAAAATTATTCTCACTTCCCTTCTACGTGACTTTACCGAAAGAACCAAGAAGACATTTAAGATGATCTAACTCCCCCTACCTTTTTATGAATAAATGACGTCACGCACAAGAGAGACAAGTCACGGCACGGAGGGATGGGACCCATGAACGCGGTATGGCGTCATGTAATTGTGTGCAGCGTGACGTCATTCTCCAGAACACGCCTTGCATGTGACGTCACCAGGCGGGCGTGGCTTATTGCCTTTTGACGTCACTCCCGGCTGGACACGCGAGGCGGAATTGGTACGAAGCGGCGGCGGCAGCAGCAGCAGCGCACGGGCATCGCGATTCGTTTAACGATCGATTAATTATTAGCACAATCGATTGTACCGTTTTATCTCCGCGCGATATGTGAACTGTTAATCGATTCGTATGCGATTATGATTAACGATCGATTTTTCCGGATCGTTTGGATTGTGTTGGACTTCTTTCGCACCACCATTGGATCCTCCTTTGCCACTAGCAAAATATAATTGTTTTTTTTTACCCTTTTATCTGGCAACAAAACTGACATCTTTTTTTTACAAGGAGTCATGTTTGCATTGACCACAATACCTGCGGTCGGAATGCAAACAAAAATCACAACTCTGATAATGTATGTGCACTGTCTTTAAAATTGATTGGTCCACACCCTAGACAGCTTTCCTTAGAGCCCAGTCTCACATGGTGTTGGACCAGATGACGCCAAAAGGCGCACAACTCAAAGACAATGCACCATCAGAGTATGAGAGCTCGGGGTAAGCATTTACACCATTGGAACCTCCTTTGCCAGTAGCAAAATATAATTTTTTTACCCTTTTATCTGCCAACAAAACTGACACCTTTTTTTACAAGGAGTCATGTTTGCATTGACCACAATACCTGCGGTCGGAATGCAAACAAAAAACATAACTCTGATCATGTATGCACTGGCCTTGAAATTGATTGGTCCACACCCGAGACAGCTTTTCTTAGAGCCGAGTCTCACATGGTGTTGGACCAGATGACGTCACGTCGCCGACCGTGCTAATCGAAGGTGCGGGCAGAAGGACAACAAACTAAACACAACAACAAGCAGTTATAAATAAATTTGTTTTCTAGATTTAAAAGCGAATAGCTCCAGTGGTCTCATAATATCAGAATATTTATACTGGAGGAATCTGATGAGCTTTAAATCTTGCCTTTCACACATGTCCAGTAGTTTCACAGATGTCCAATATCGGAAGGAAGAGCGTTCCAGACGGCCGCGGAAGCGCATCCGAAAGCGCGCGATGCGGTATTTCTGGACAGCTTCAATCGATGAGTGAATCGAAGAAAAAATCGATTCGTATACGATCTGTTGCATGCATTTTTTGGGGCGTAACAATAGAATGTGATCGATTATGATTAACGATCGATCAACCATTGAATGTCAGATCATCCGCGACTGCGAGGTTCCGTCTATTGGTCTGAACGACCCACGCCCACTGTTATCTGTGCCATGCTCGCAGTGAAAAGCTGCTGCCGTGGTTGCTGATGGACAGCACACTCGGCTTGCGATTCAGTGGGCCGTCAATTCCATTCAATTGAAATAATGGCGCTATTTTTTTAAATAAATAAAATGCTGTACCCCAAGCAGGTCGCGTGTGGCGGTGGGTACGCTCACCTCCTACCCTTCCACTTTGACGAGATCAGTATCTTATTCTTGGTTCTTTCGGTAAAGTCACGTAGAAGATAAATAATACAAATAAAACAAAATTCTCACGACGTTTCGATTGCAACACAAGCAATCATCAGGTTTGAAAACCACAGCAAGACTTTTTTTTTTCAAAATTTGATAATTTTATTGCTTAATTTTTTATTATTTGATGATTTCCCTTCTACGTGACTTTACCGAAAGAACCAAAGAGTATGGATTCCTGCAGTCTCGAAAGCTTCAAATCAAGATTGGAAGAGTCAAAGTGGAAGAGAAGTAAAAAATACCCTCTTGTAGTAGAGTTCGCTTTGGTGGAGACCCCTTGAGCGAACATTTTAATGACAGGGGCTGCACTTTCACCATTATCACTGTAGCCAGGGTGGCAGAGAACCTCCTCGCGATCCAGGGAAAACTCTTTTAAGTTATAACCAGATTGAGGCGCTTAAGTCTATGACCATATCACCCGGATCACGCCAGATCTCGGAAGCTACACGGGTCTGAGCCATCAGCGGCTCAATATACTGTATACGTACACATTTTGTTGTGATGCAGTGGCTATGACCCAAGTCACTCTTGATGTCTCCTTTGGCAAAATAAATACACGTTACCCGAGTGCTTAAGGTGATGGATTTAATTTACACCAGTAGCCACGCAAGACGCTTTATTTTATTCCTATGGTTATAGTACTATTTAGTACCATACTTTTCACCACAAGATTTCCGGTGTAAAAAAAAAATAGACTTTTTTGTCAATCGGTTCACACCTAGTTATAAAGTGTGTTTGTACCTGTGTTTTTTTTCTGTGCAAAACTGCCGAAAGTCCGGAAGTTTGACTTGGTCATGGAATCGGGGCTGATGTCTGTGTGTGCAGATAAAGGCCGGGTCTTGACATTTGACCAGACTGGTGGATGAGGCTCTATGACTTCAGAACTTCAAGCAGATCAGCCAAGTCATGGTGACCCGTTTATATCTTCCCACCCCACTCCAATCTTATCCAGACTGTTATCGGTGTAATTTCATGAAAGGAATCCATGTGGCACGATTACCTGCTTCGTGGTTATAAATATGCATAGCCGCTTTCAAAACAACCTTAATTGTCACAATCTCGCAGATAAGTGTAACCATTCGTTCTAGTATTATTTGGGTCTTTCGGTAAAGCCACGTAGATAGAAAATAATAAAAAATATATATAAAAATATCACGTTTCGATCGCAACACAAGCAATCGTTATCAGGCGAAAAAATATAGCGGAAGAGCTGCTGAGGCAGAGAATGGCCCACAGAAACAGACATCACAGAATTACTTCTGCAATCCCAATAGGGGGCAGCACTTTTCCACCATCTCTGGTGAAGTGAGGTTCAACGGACGACGGTCAAAGCAATATTTGTAATTTTCAAAAGCTGGAATTTGGCGAAATTAAGTGCAAAACTATTTATTTGTGATTGTTTTTTGCGTGAAGTCATTAATACCTTGTCTGAGACTTGAGAAACCCAGTCTAATTGCTTTGAGATAATATTCTGCTATTTCTTTTAAAGACTCGCAGACCTGGCATCACTTGGGCTCTGCCACAGAGCTGGCAAGCGCGAGAAAGAAACGAGTTCGTGTTGGTGGCCGAGACATCGCCGTCTTCCACCACAAGGGACAGTTTTACGCTCTGGACTGGCGCTGCTACCGTGCGTCTCTTTGCTACGTTCGTGTGCACTGTGCAGCCAATGGGTCATCGTCACTGATGTTGGGGAGGCTAAATTAGTTATATCTGTATTTCTAGGGCTTATATTAGAGATATATATTACAACCACAATTTACAACACTTGAAAAGTAAATATTGACTTAAAGCTTTCGTGATTGCAGGAATACATATTCTATGGGTCTTTCGGTAAAGCCACGTAGATAGAAAAATAAAAAATATCACGTTTTAATCGCAACACAAGCAATCGTCTTCAGGTGATGACGATTGCTGAAACGTCGTGATAATTTTATTAATTTTCTATCTACATGGCTTTACCGAAAGACCCATAGAATACTTGAAAGGTAGCTCTGCTATTAGGCACGATTGACCTGCTACTAATGGTTATAAATACTGTATGCATAAGAATAAGGTGGCCCAACATTTTCAAAACCTTAATTTGACAAGCAGGATGTTATGGATTAATCTGCTTCCAAAACCATTGGTTTCATACAAGATGATTTCATATATTTTTGGAATCTGAACAAATTTTAACTGTGACAAGGAAAATACTTAAAATGAAATTTAAGGTATGGTGCTAATCACTTGATTTATTTTCCAGATGCAGGAGGACCTTTGCACCAGGGAGACATTGAGGTGAGAACGTCAAGTTATGACATCAGGTTACACACGGCTCCAACTCAGGCAGCAGGTGTACTACACAATTTAAGAGTCAAAATGGAGGTTATAATCGTAAGAGATGTGGAGGAAAATAGGGTAGTTAAAATTGTATGAAAAGGCTACAGGTGGAAAGTGGAAAGCGTTGGAGTGAAAACAAACTATTCTTGAGAGGTTTTTGGGTTAAATTGCGCAGATTGCGAGATCTAACCCAAAAACCTCGTATGGATAACATTGGTCATGAAAGTTACGCATTAAACTAAAAACTACAAGATCTTAGCCCTTTCCCATTCAGAGACGTATGCAAGTTTCAGGGTGGGTCCTGTTCACCTCTGAATCTCGGAACGCGCAAGCAGCTCAAGAGTTAATTTTAGAGGCATATCACTGTTGTTTTAAAATACATTTTACCCACCGCAGAGAATTGGAGTGACATGACCGCACTCGATGATAGCTGGCGCCAAACTGTGCCACATGCCCTCCCACATGACCTCCCCCATGACCTCCCACATGACCTTATGGGAGCCTCAGTACCGATAAAGTTATATCTTAGTTTTTCTTCCGGTTTCGTTTTCATGATGTACACATACGTCATCGAAACGGGAAAGGGTTAAGAGCTAGAATGCCTTTCAGAAAGGTCACTCGTAGGCAGAATAAACTTTTTTTTACCAAGATGTGTTTATCTACAGGAGCTTCCGGATGGTACGGCTTGCCTTATCTGTCCCTGGCACGGCTACCGCATTGGGCTGGCATCTGGCGAGGGATTCTATAGGCCCGCAAATCCCACGGGTTCGGCGCCCACCAGCGACTGGTGCTCGAAGGGCGTACGTCAGCGCATGCACCATGTGGAGGTGCGGCCCGACGAGAGCGTACACGTGGCTCTCTCCGACCTCAAGTCACCCCGCGAGTCCGACCGATATGCTTCCCGCAAGCCGAAGAAAGCAACATTCAAATAACGTGGAGATATCTTTTAAATGACGAAACTGCTTTGATCAATTTTCTATCAAAGTGGGCCTTTGAGTCAAGACAATCATGCTCAACCTCTGTGCAAAAGTGGATAAAAGGTTTAGACATACATTTTTTCTATTTGTAAATTAATAATGGATGGAAAAAAGTCAGGGTTGCACTGCCTGAAAGGAAATGGACTTAAGGATTTTACATAAGCAATTGCATTTATTAGGCGCTTAAATCCCAGGACATCTCAAAGCATCGTACAAAGCGCAAAACCACGAAAATACAAAGGATAAAGTGGACATAGTTAAAAATCTAAATATATATTTACATCCATTGTCAATCTGTTGTAGAATGCCTCCCCACATCATGTTGCGGGTTGTTTGACCGTACTTTATCACGCTGATCACTGGGGCCAAGGCGACACTGACTGGGAATCAAACTCAGGTTGCTGGGTTTACAGCTCAATGCCCTAACCACTGCAACCATCAATCCACCCCACAGCTCAAAATGTTTCTGTATGTACTGTATATTGCTAGGTTTATCATGCAGATTGTTGCCTGCATATGGACCGAAATGGCACTTGAATTTCTTTAAATACTGGCAGTTTATAATGCATTACAATATGTCACTTTAACTGTATGACATTTAAACAGTATAATGCTAAACATGTTCATGACAAGTGGACATTCACGGGCATGATTAAGTTTCACACTTAACTATATCAGTGATAATTTTTTGTTAGATATGTGTTAGAACAAGTGAAATAACATATCATATTTTTTGGAATGAACATATGAAGGTAAATAGTTAATGTAGACCATTGCCATTTACCTGTGGTAGAACGAGCAGAGAACCAGTGGCATAGCATTATTCAGGGCCAATCAGATCACAATAGCACGCATTAACCGACACACCGTACGAATGATGCATTGCTCAAGTGTTTATTGCTCATCTTGACATGCATGTTGAGCTCCAATTTTTTTGTTCACTGCAGGCAAGATGCCAAGCGAGACACACAAGTGACAAATGCGAATTTTTGTATGCAAAAGAGTCTTGATATTTTGACATTCCCACTCATAAAAATGGACTGGAGCTTTAGAAACAATCGAACAACGTGCTGTGGTGATCCTTAGGAAAATGTGTTGTTTGAACAAAAGTTGGTTTTCTTAAAATGTTAATGGGTTTACTGGAGGTTGATTCTATCAAAAACATTGTTTTACAAAAATAACACTTTCTATCGGTCAGCTACAATACAGGTTTTCTAATAAGAAAATTTATTTTTACCTAAAAAACCTTGTTACAGCTTTCACCTAGGAAGAGCATACCTTTGTATAGTATGAGCTTATATGCAGAACACATACTTATTTACAAATTTGCAGCCTAGGACATGGTTTTAATGTATGGATCATGATGCACTGTGGAAAACCCATGAACCCACCTGCATCGTAAGACAAAGCAGCAACCTCAGTCCTATATACAAACACTACGAACTCCACAGTTACAAGTCAAAGAAAACAGGCCCAAGTGCAAGGATGAAACTGGGACAAACTCAACACCAACAGGAGTTGACTTTTACTTGTTCCTTTTCAGAAAACTGAAATACAGTCGTGCGAAACCTTAGCGATTTACCCAACCAGTGTAAATGGGTAAGATGTATGGTTTGTCAATGTCAAGTGATTTGGCTTCATAACGTTGATCGTAAAAGTCACGGCTCTCATGTGTTTCTGGGTTACACTGCATGTTATTTGGCACGATGTCTGAAGTTTCACCTCACATGCTGGGAGCTTCATTTTGCTCCATGTGGTGCGAAACGTCCAACATCGTGTTGAGCACATAGGTATCAGCGAGCTGTACAGGACAACTGCAAAAAACCTACGGGGGGTTGTATATCAAAAACATTTACAGCTCAAGTGTTTGGGAACCCACTAGAGGGTCGGGAGGATCTTGAGAAAATGCTGTGTGACTTTTAAATCCCAAACATTCCTGTAAAGAAAATCCAGAGGCATTCTAGTGAGCACCGCTCCTTCAACACACACATATCCCAGTGGACCTCCGAAAAAATTAAACACCACTTCTTTAGAGTTGATTCAACTGCATCATTGTGTGGGCATTTGGGACCACTCAAAGCCGCTGTGGTGCACTCATCATCAGCCAACTCCGGGCCCTGCGGTTCATCGTTATTTACAATCGGAAGTGACTCTGCGAGCGCTACTTTGTCTTTTTACCCTTCCCGGCCCTGCTACTCGCCCCAGCCCTGCTACTCGCCCTGCTACTCGCCCCGGCCTTGCTGCTTGCCCCGGCCTTGCTGGGGGAGCTTGTTTCCTTGGATGCTTTTTTCGCTGGCTTCTTCTTTTGCTGTGGATCGACGTGAAAGTAAACGAGCATGATCACAGTGAGAATTGCTTTGTTACTTCAAAATGTACAATATCTTACATATGTTAGCATTAATGTGTAAATATACAGCCCGTTTGTCAAACCACTGCTAGATAAGGGCTTTTGCACACCGTGCAGGTCATGTACAATACTTCACCAAGCTGGTCAGTGTGGGTTGATGAAGGCGGGGAGCACAGATGGGGGAGTATAGAATGGCTTTTTCTGTCCTGACCACCACATAGTCCCACATCCTATAACAACCTACTGTATTCTGAATGGTAGTCACCCATCCAAATAATATCTCAGGCTCAACTCGATGTAGCTTCTGAGATCTGTTAAGATCGGGCGAATTGCAAATGATTTGGCAATTAGCCTGGATACTATTCTTAAATGTTAATATTTAAGTTCGCTATGTTTTATCGTAGCATGTCTTCATATGTTTTTTTCTTGCGCCTCTGCACGTTCGGATTTTAGCTGTTGTCATCAAGATTAACATGCTGCCTCAATGGGCACCCACCTAAAGTAGCTGTGATTGAAATTTTATAACGAAGCATTTGAGAAAACAACTGACTCTGAACATAAGCCAAAAACTGCCCGCAGGCCAGCGTGACCTTGTTAAAGCGGGGGGTATACAAAGTCAGGGGGACAAACAACACAGTTAATGTTAGAATACTTTAAACAAATATTAAATGTTAAACAGAATAAATAAAACCGTTGAATGAATAAAAATACCACATGCTTCTGTCCATGCATTATGCTCTAGCTGTCACACCCCTTGGATATACGAAGAGTATGCGCGATGCCTATCGCTTATATGTACCAATTGTAACGTCTTGTCTAGGCCCCTCAAACTACTGCAGACAATTTGTTTATCAAATGAAGCTCACAACTAATAATAAAGGGGTGCGAGCCAGGGCTCGGACCCCTCTAGTCCCGCCAACGTCACTAAGGTTACTGCCGTCACGGTAGGGGGCGCCACGGTGGTGACGTGTTAACTCCCTTGCCTGGTATACAGGAGGTTATGGGTTCGATCCTGACCCTGACCCCGACACCTGTATCTTTGGAGTTTGCATGTTCTCCCTATGGTCACATGGATTTTTCTCCGGGTCCTCTGGGTTTTCTCTCCACATTTAGAACATGTGTTTTAAGTATTTGGCTGCTATACATTTCCATATGATGGGCCGCTTCATTGAGCTATGATTTGTGGCTATGTCGCTTCTGAAAAAGAGCTATATAGCTTCGTGGGCCTTACCCGGTGAAATAAACATAGTTTAGTTTATAGTTTAGTAAATGCCCCCACCTTAATCATGGCGTCGGCGGAAATGTCCATGTCATCCTCGTGCTCGCTGGCCGAATCCGGCACAGCTGCAGCTCCATCGCCCTCTGCTCCGTCGAATCCTTCTCCCTCCTCGTTCGATCCACCCCCTCCAGGGCCTCGCCGCCCCTTCTTGGGGCCCACGGCCAGCGAGTACGGCGTGAGGTGCGATTCTTTGTTGTAGGCCCGAGTAAACGCCGCCTTGACCTGCGAGCCCACACACGCGTGGGTGATATTGGAGATGTTGGCCGAGCGCCAGCGTACAGCCCTTGCTAGGTCTATGGAGTATAACTAAAATAAAAATATATGGAGTCACTGCTGCATACCTCTCCCCACTGTTTGTCACTCTACTCCCTGCCAAGCACTCTCCACTCCACAAACCAAGACTTTTTATAGACGATCTGCATATACAGCACTGTCATTGAGAACTAATAAAAATAACATTCCATGCAGGTAAATAACATGAAATAACTTTTAATTATTGGGCAGTAAGCTTGATGCAATGATTTATCCATTAAAAAAGTATTCAAGAGGAATGCATCAACCGTGCATGTGAGATTACTTAATATACACAAATGTTCCATTAGGATATTATAGATGAACGGCAGCATAGACAAAGCATCTGCAAAACAATACAAAAAGATACAAAATAAATGACAAAATAAATCGTGAATCATGACAGAATTGTGACATCCAATGAATTGAAAGAGGGGGGTAAATGGTCACATGCCTATGAGGTTCATATGCACATAGGAGTGGCACTGGTAAATAGAAAGGTACCAATGGCTGTAACCATGGGCAATGGAAAGAGAGCCGAGTCTTGTGTTGCACTGGAAGAGGAGCTCTGGAGGCATACAGCGCGCAATCTAGGTTCTTGTTAACTTATACTGAAAACGCATTTCTTTAGAACTGCTTTTTTCTGTTTTTATTGTTGTCCTTCCCCCGCACCTCCGATTAGCATGCTTGGCTACGTACGGTGCGAAGGAAGTTCAACATACATGACATCCAGACAGTGAGTGCAGCATAAGGTAGAAAAAGGGGACTCCCGGGGGGGGGGGGAGGTAAAGCACACAGTGCCAAGCACACCTTAGGGTCAAGTTTGGCGAGAGGGTCGGTGCTGCCGTGGTAAGATGACACTTCCATGAGGCTGTCCACGTCCTCCTTGGTCAGACAGTAGTCATCCATGAGGCTCAGTGTCTGCGCGACGCCCTCCGAGCCCCGCGTCTGCAGCGGCCGCGCCAGCTCGTTGCGCAGGGCACCCAGGTATTCAAGGTTCACGGCGCGTTGGCACGAATGCGTCCTGCGCGACACGGCAAGCGACGAGACAGGTAATTGCTTGGTGAGGCTCGCTCACTCAGCGCAATGAGTGCTGCTGATTGACGACAGACGAAACGAACAAGTCTGAATGAAGACGCAAATTAAAATAATTTAAGAATGTTATAAGAGACATGAGTGCACTGACGACCAAAATTGGAGAATCATGAATGTTTCCTTTACTTAACCAACAAATTAAATAAACCCAATGAGACACATGAAACATTGCCTCTTTTGACCTAATAATTAATTTGCAATATGTTTATGAAAATATTTATATAATTGGCTGACCTGATAATATTGCAGAGGGGTGGGAGAGAAATTGTATGACCCTCTTACCAACATTTAATAGGAGGGCACCACACTTTTGATGGCTTTAGTCGACTAGACCAAGATAATAACTCGATGAAGACTTGACTAAAATTCCGTAGGCTGTCGCCAAGGAGACTAAGACTGATTAACATGTTTTTTAAATGCTGTCTAAACACCGCGACAGAGGGAGGGTGGAGGTAAGGGGAGCAGTGATGGTGCCCGTACCGGAGGCTCATGTGCATGGTCAGCTCCTGCAAGATCCGCGCGTTCTTGCCCGTTGTGGAGTGACGACCGAGCCAGCTCGGGAAACTGGGGAACTGCGACATGTAGCCCCTCATGAGCTCTCCCGGGATGACGCTCGCAAAAATGGCCTGTCCCGGGAGACGCGGTGGGGCGAACCAGACAGCTGTTCCGTTACAACTTCACAGTCAGATTTTTAGTGACCCTTGCCTTATCTGCTCAATAATAGCATCTCATCTCATTGCATGTCTCTGGAATTCCTGCCTTTCCCTGGCTGTATGCAGAAAGCAAGATATTTTCCCTTCATTCAGGATACTTTCTCTGTTCTTCTCTGATTAACTGTCGCTCTCCATGAAGCATCTTTCCTCTGGGCAAATGCCACTTGGCCACTTCTGAAAAGAACTGAAAATGTCTTCTCTTTCCCAAAGTGTGCATGTACCCCCCTGTCCAGTTGTACAATATCTGGAGATGAAGTTGCATTTAGATGCTATTTACATCCAAATTATACTTTTTGACAGTGGCCCCACCCCATCTACTGCTCTGACAATCACACAAACTACTCAGGCAGCCCAGTGAGATACCCTGTATCATGAGTCGAGTGTGAATTCAGAACATTCTTAGGACAAAATCCCAATATCTGTCAATGCTTCAGATCACCGGGATAGCCTTTTTGTAACTGATACTGTCCCGGCCAAACCAGGATGTTTGGTAACTCCTTAACAGCACACTCAGTAGCATTCTCACCTGTGTGGGCAGGAGGCCCCACGACTGATTGGAGCGAATCTGCCTGTCGACGAGGTCCCCCTGAGCAATGCTGTCGGCAGTCTTGCTCAGCAGGGTGAGGTGCTTCTTCATGTTGCCCCTGGTCACGCGTCAGAGCCATGTTACACACGGCAGTGATAAGATGGTAGGTCGAGGCATCCCTGATAGAGGCTCCACATAGCAGCAGCTGCGGCAGTACCTGCAACAGTACCTGCAAACAGCCTATGGGCGCAGGGTTTAAACACATAGGCAGCAACATAATCAGAGTGGCCATAAGGATCATTGAGATATACTTAATTTGGAGCTTTCGTGACTGCAGGAATTACTATTTGGTTCTTTCGGTAAAGTCACGTATAAAGAGAAAATAATAAATTAAATACTAGCATACGACGTTTCGATTGCAACACAAGCAATCATCATCAGGTATAAATGAAATAGGAAGAACGTAATCAACCAGGTAGGGTGTTGACTGTTATGTTATCCGACTCTCTGTTGTATTACATTACATTTCTAAGTATACTAGATTTGTGTTTCTATTTCATTTATACCTAATGATGATTGCTTGTGTTGCAATCGAAACGTCGTATGGTAGTATTTAATTTATTATTTTCTCTTTATACGTGACTTTACTGAAAGAACCAAAGAGTAATCATTGAGATAGTGAAATTGCATGATGCTCATGAAGTCAACTCAGCCACTGTTAACAATATAAAACAACAAGGGGAGCCACTTATGACAGCTTGGGATGCTTATTCCACCACTACTCTTCGAACTATATTATTAGTCATGGCTCGACTCTGACTTGGCCTCGAACACAACACAGCTCAGGTTTGAGCCGCTCAGTTACGTGGTTGGGATCATGCTAAAAGCCCAGCTCAAGTCAAGTTTGAGCCAGAGCCAAGCCTGAGGGAAGCTGTGACAAACAAGCAAACTGGAGCAGCTTCAACATTCGTGTCTCATAAGTAGAGCTTGTGCTGAACCAATGCTGCTGAAATTACGCACTCCCAGAAGACTGTGTGTATGTATGATGAATTTCTTTCGCACCGTACGTAGCCAACTGTGCTGACATCAATGCCTTTTCAATATCTGACTCATTGATGATCCTGCTCATGTTTACCAACCTGCACTAATCATAGCTGTTAAGTATGGTCAAACGACTTCGACCAAATATATCAATATCTCCCTCCAGAAGAAACGAAAATCTACCGAGGTGCAATGGAGGCTGCTGATGAGTGATGCGGTGTGTGTTTGAGCGTGTCATCCAATATCCCAGCATGCTTGTGCATCTGTGTCTAAAAGTACATAACCATGCAATCGCCGGGACATATCGGTCCGGGAACAGATATTTCCAAATCTAAATGTTTGCATAAACATTTTTGCACTTTTTTTTTTGTTTTCTTTTACAGGCAACTTTGTACTACAGACAGATGGCCTTGAACAGTTTCGAGAAGCACTCGGGCAGCATGGGTGGCTGAGTGGGGAGTGGGTGGCGGAGTGGGTGGCGTGGGTGGCTCGCGAGCTCACACGCGCGATGTGCGCTGGCTCACCCTGCGGCCAGCGGCCGGACATGCACGTAGTTCTCTTGCACAAAGAGCGGCGCGATGGAGTAGTCGTGGAAGAAGAGGTCGGACTTGTCCATGAGCGACATGTGCTGCGTCTCCTCGTCAGCAATGAACACCTTGCGCGCCACGTCAAAGGGGCCCTGCGAATGCGTGCAAACACAAAACCAAACAAAGACAAAGATCCTCCTTGTAGCTTTTACAGGCTGTTGGGGCAAGTGCTGTTAGCGAGCACCTATGAAGGGTTGGTACGGCACATGAAAGGTTATTGTGACCAGCATTACGTCTGGCCGCCTATCATTCCGCTGGTTTGATGTTTACACACCATGCCAAGTACTCGTTTAAGGATTTGTCGACCTGGGGGAGGCCTGGGGCCAGGTTCACATAATAGTCACTGATGTTGCCAGTGGGACTAACCACTGCACTACCACTCCCCACCGACAGGCACAAAGATGCACACACACACACAAACACCGTCATCCACACTCATATAGAAATCGTCACAAAGTGCTTATGTGATATCACGCTCACTTGTGGCTACAGCTGAAAGGAATGTTGCCCGAACAAGTGACGCCAGAGCAATGTTCCGTTCAAAGTTTGCACCTGATAGTTATCTTACATATTTTAGAATAATAACTATTACAGTTCCAACAAAACGTGTCAGTAGAAAAGCAACAACGTGAATCGTATTGCGAGTGACGGAGACTCAAATGTGAAGGCAAAGACAGGCAGAGTCGATGGGCATACAAGCGAGGCTCGCTATTGCGAAAGTCTCAATCACCATTTTAAGGTCCTTCTTGGCACTTTTGGCGTCAGACTTGGCCTGGTCGTATGTGAGGGCCTTCTCTCGTGCTGACCACACGCACAGGTTGTGCAGCACCTGTCCAAGAAAACGCACAGTGCGTATTATAAGCACATAACATTACTGCATAACATACATACAGGACAGCAGTACAGTGGTATGGGCCGTGCCACGATTAAATGGATGGTTGCAAGTTCAAATCCCAGTTAGGGACAGAATTCATCCCTCCAAGTATTTATGTGTACATGTTGCCTGGGACATAGCCTCGCATATACGCAGGGTAGCTAAATATGTGTATTTATCTCTGGATATAGCCTAGCATATAGACGGGGCCGCTATGTGTGGATGGCTACCGACCGGTCTCCATGAGGCCATCCAAGCCTCAAGGGTCTTCCCCTTCCCTTCTTGCCCGAATGCCACACTCGAATCTGGGTGGAATCTTTCCAATTGTGTGCACGGAGCAATGGTATTACCCACCTGTAATCAGTCAGAATTGCCATTCTGGTCAGGTAAAACTAGCAATGTTTACTTAGCTGAGCATACCAGAAGCTCTTAAAATCCAGTTTTATAACAGAACTACAACAGCATCTCATTCTATTGCACAAACCTTACATTGCAGTATTCCTGTTGGAATCCTATTTAACGTAATAAAATACTTTTACATGGGATTCGCCCATAGAAGAAACATGATTTCAGCAGGAATTGCTCAAGGTAGATCCATAAAAATCGAATACAATTTCTGCAGGAATCGGTCAAATCTCTTTGTCCTTGGGATTGTGTGAATGTCATGGCAATGTTGAAATTGCTAATACTGGTGAAGTCTGTAAACATAAAATTAGCACTTTCTCAGGCTCATGTGTGCAGGTATTTGCTGACTTGCAGCACCGTACGGTTTTATTATGCAAGTACTAAACCGTGAACGTAGCAGTATCTGCAGAACATATCAACAGTAAAGAATATTTCCACAGCTCCACTATGAAATAATGAGACGACAGCAATAAAGGGCTCAGTCCAATTCATTTTCTAGTTTGATCTACACAAAGGGAGCACAGACACACTAAACTTATCACAATTAACATTCTTTAATGGCTCACTTTATGCTTGTGAGTCAACCTTTGTAATGCAATAATGTGATTATTGCATTAACCGTTTATAATGGCATCATGAGTTTGATAATCCCAAAATATTTCAACACTTGCACCCGAGACGTTACGCAATATAACTTTACAGTGCCTCTCATGCAGTCCATCTGACCTTGGATTCTAGATACATAATTATTATGATGCAGAGCTGTGGCTATCAACTACTGAAATAATAAATTAATCTATCGATTATTATATTACTAGCACTGCCAGCACATTTGCATGCCCACAGGTCAGACAGCCAGCAAATCGTTTTTATGATTTGGTATCACATTTCAAAAATATTACATCCAATATGTACATCATAAGTATTAATAAATTCTAGTGGTACTCGACCCAGGGTGGGCCGGGATTAATGATATCATCGTGTCACTGCGCCACGCTCGGTGTGAACTGCGGTGAGTTTCCAGCATTTTGCAGAAAAATCAACGAATAATTTCAGCAAATTATTATCAATAACAATGTCAAATAAAAATGATATTATTAACTTGCATTATAAACTTTAAATCAATTGTATTACCAACACTGCTTGCAACATTAGAAACCTTTTACACCTGTGGGAACAACTGTTCTGCAATTCTGTAGACTTTGACTACAGCTGCCTAGAGTTGATGCAGTTTCCCAAGCAATGCTGCTCCATCAACCGCGATTTCAGGCTCGAGAAGTGAGAACACAACTGCGGGCATGGAGTGGCTACCAGACCTGCCGGATGTCCTGATTTGCTGCCAGGATGATCTCCTGCATGGCGGCCGGAGGGATCTTGAGGCCTTCCTTGAATGCCACGGACATCATGGCTCCCTGCCCCCGACATGCGGCCAGCAACAACAACAACGAGCACAATTCACGCGTTAACTGGGTCGTAATAATAACAATAATGTACATGTACAGCGCTTGTGTCAAACCCCTGGTGTCTGATGGCCTCCCCACACGTACGGGTCATGGAGGTTATTAGATCATTCTTCACCAAGCTGGTCAGTGCGCGTTGCCCACAGCGTAGCCACCCAGGCCAAACACAAGCCTGTTTTTGCACTGTGGTATCCCATCCAAGCACTATCCAGGATAATATGTTCAGAGGCAATTTATGAAAATAAGAATAATGTAATTTATTAAATAATTATTATGTCTCTTTTTTTATCCAGGGAAGCTTCAATGCCTTTCAAGACACCTTTTCTGGAGGGCCCTGCAGTGGGATGTGTGGCCAGTTCTTTTTAAATCCTTTATATTAAGTTCACTTGCTTGCGTGCTTACGACTGTGCATATCTTTCGGTCGTTTTTTTACCCACTTCCCGTGATCCAATCGAGCTGACATTTTGCACACAGACTCGTTGTGCGTGACAATTTATTTTCGTGAAAATTTTTTTCCAAAATTTTCCACTTTTTAGGGAAGAAAAAAAAGTCATATTTAATTTAAAATACCAATGTGATAAAAATGAAACTCTTACTCAAGAAAAACAGAAATGAATAATAAAATAAAACCGATGCCACGCATATAAAGGATTTATAGTGAAAAACTTAGTTTTTACGGGTTAATTTTTTAATGATTACATTCAATGCAGAACAAAACTGGTGAAATTCCATGCAGACCAGAAAAAAAAACATTCAAAGGTCTGCCATTCAAAAGGCACTGCCATTTTCTGGCTACTTCACAAACTATGGGAGTCTTAAAACTCTGCGTGAGCCACCCAAGCGCTGGGTTAAAGTCACGGTCCACGACACCTAACTCGTAGCTACACCAGGAAGAGATGACAACCAAAATGCCGATCGACTAGGCGGAAGCGGGCACCTTGATCTGCTCGACGCGTGGTCGTGGGAAGCGGAGGTCGAAGCAGTAGTTTGCGAGCGAGCGGATCTTTGCGTGGTTCCGATCGTTGCACATGCAGATGACGGGCACTTTGCTCTGCTTGATGAGCGCAATGAGCTCCTGTGAAATCACACGACAAAACACAGCACCACCCGCAACACGTGAAGGATGATTCACAGCCCGAGGCAACAATTTGACCTTGCAACATGTGACAGTGTATGCTGGTGTGACTACAATCTCACCCAGACTAGATTGGGGTGGTAGTTGTTCACTGCTAAACCTAGATTGTCATTTCATGATTAAATCTGGGTTTTATTGAAAAGTTATTTTTGTTCACAAGCAGATGAGACCCGCAATCAGTTAATAATGAAAACCACACAAGCATGGTCGAAAATAATCTAAGCTCTAATTATTACCAAACTATATAATTTTGATATAGTATATATGGAGCGGTGGTACATGGGTTAGCGCAAAGTACTATGAACCCGGTGACCCGTGTGATGTGCCCGCTCACCTGCATGCCCCCCCGATCCTCGTTCCCAGCCATGCCGTCCACCTCGTCCATCAATAGCACGTGGCGGTCGCTCACTGTCTGTGCCGTGCCTGCACGCGACACCGCCGCAACCAACAGACATCGCTTGCCCCATGAAGAGCTTCACACGAAACCCAGGACCAGTGATTTTATCTTACTTTTTTGTCTTTTTTCCCATTTTAAAGAACTATTTTCTATTTGACCAGGTAATGCCCACTGAGCTATATAGCTCTTTTTCCCCGAAGCGACCTGGCCACAAATGACAGCTAAAGGAAGTGGCTTATGTGGATATTTATAGCAGCCAAATACTCTGAAATGGATGTTTCTAAATGTGGAGGGAAAAACTGGAGGACTTCAAGAAAACGCCACGCAACCACGAGAACATGCAAACTTAAAATATACAGGCATCAGGGTCGGGATCAAACCCACGGGCTCCTGCATACCAGGCGAGTTAGTTAACATCTCGCCACCATGCCGCCCTTTTCATTCCAATTGCGCTGTAGATGTCAAGACACAAAGAATCCAATTGGATCTTTCACAGAGCAGTGTAGCCCTTCGTGCAATAAAATGGCCCACAGAAGCAGATATCACAGAACTACTTCTGAGATCTAATAGCGACAGGACTCACTGTGCCTATGACCATAAACAGCAAAGCAACATGCTTGGATGCTCTGTCTCCCGCGCACTGCCATGCAAATATACCGGGTACATTAGCACTGGTAAAAATGAAAACAATCGTTGTGGTACTGGCCACATAACTTCTGCGTGTGTCACGCTGACCTAAATAAATATTGGCTCACAGCAACAAAACACATCATGATTTGCTGAACAGGAGATCTTAATATTTTTATGAAATTGTATTTGCTTTTAAGTGTGTGCTCCAACGATGACGGAAGCACATTCTCGGGAACAATACATCAAAGCTGGTGTTTGTGAGCGAATACATGCCGTGGTAGAAGCCTTCAATGCTGGTGTTGCGCAAGCAGGTCGAGACCTCATTCTTCATGCTGTTCTTGCTGCGACGGTCACTCGCATTTAGCTCCACGAAACTCAAGCCCAGCTCCTGCCGCCAACACGTGCATACGCACACGTATAAAGATCGATCGTACAGTCTTGAGACTGTCGGGGCAAGTTCTGTTGTCAAGCCCCTACTAATCCCCCTCATAGCTTGAACATACTGTTGGGGCAAGTGCTGTTAGCGAGCACCTATGAAGGCCGGCATGGCACATGAGGGGGTGGGTGGCCAACACCACTCCTGGCCGCCTTTGTCGAGGCTGAGTGGCGATATTTACCCACTACCCTAGGTACTCATTTGAGGCTGAGTCGACCTAGGGAAAGCCCATAACCAGTTCAGATAATCTTCACTGGTGTTGGACGTGAGCGAGAATTGAACTCTGGTCACCGGGTTTGTAGTGCAGCGCGCTAACCGCTGCACTACCACTGCCCACGACTAAACATACAAATCCCCACAAACACAAATTCCCACACCCATATGCACAAACACAAGTACAAATACAAAAGCACACATAGACACATGCACACCCCACACGCAGGCACCATTCACCACCCACCACACATACATACATACACACACACTGACCACCATCACATTCCATTGACCACCAACATTATCCATGCAGATCTCACCAGGCAAAATACACGTACATGTCCACAGCATCATGACACGGCCGAATAAATGCGGCATTCTTGGTGTCGCGGTCTATCCCAGGTCGCAGGCAATTGTCACTTCTCATAACCCAAGAGGGTTCTTACGCAGAGAAGAGTGACATCACCTCCCAAGGGAGGCAGGTGGCTAGGACCTCTCACCTGGCACACGAGGGCGGCCGTTGTGGTTTTGCCTACGCCGGGAGGTCCTGACAGCAGCGCAGCCTTGAAACCAGAGCCATCATCCTTCCCGCCGAACCTGAACCTTCCTGCGGTGTCGAGAGCAGGGCCATGTTTGAAGAATAAATCATCTCATGTTTCGAGTGACCACTACGAGGATTAATAACATTATGGTTCTCAGTGTGATTTGGGAGGGAGCAGTGGTGCAAGAGATAGTTCACTGCGCTACAAATTAAGCTACCTGAGCTTTATTCCCAGCAACGGCTAACATCAGTGATGAGTTGTATCTGAACCCAATCAGGGGCCTCCTCCACCTTCACCGACTCACACTTATCACCATGTTGAAAAACCCCCGTTGTCCAGCAGTAGATTGAGGAAGAGCTGGATATTATTAGTTTCTACTTGTCATCATTGTTAATTTTCAATCTTTGGCTCTGAAAAAAAAATTCGATAAGACAGTATTTGTTCATGGTAAAAGTGGAAGGGACATTTCAGCCAGTTCTTCACTACTGGCAACAGATGGTATGTAGAGGTGAGTCACGCCTCCCATAAAGTCATGTGCGTGAAAACAACGCAAGGGGTCATACCTGTCTCAAACTTTTGGACAAGGGAAGATTTCTATACACCTGTACCCACTAAACTAGCCACACGAGATACCTTAGCTATTGGACTTGAGTCTCCATGGCTATCAACGTAGAAATTCCTTCTAAACAGCACACAAATCCTACAGATGTAACTACCCTCTGCTGGCAAACCATCTGAGATCTAAGGCTCCTTGGAAAGCACGCATGGACTCCTCACCTACGCTAGGGGCGGCCTTCCTTCCACCGCCACTTGCGCCTCCGTGGTTGCTGTGCCAGGCGCGCAGCCAGCGCAGTAGTTTGTTGGCCGGGCTCTGGTCACCCTGTTGCCCGATGATGTTCTTCAGGGACTGTGGCCTGTAGCGGTCTACCCACAGCAGGCTGTCCCCTCCCACTTCGGGGCCACTGCCCTTCTTGGGGCTCCTGGTCTCAGCCGAGGGTCCTCTGCCCGTCACCCTCCCAGCCCAGCCAGTCTCCGTCCGCTCTGTTCTCCGCTGCTGCTCGGCAGCAGAGAAGAGCTGCTTCCGGGTCACGGTCGAGGTCTGGTCGGTGCCGCCGGCCTCCTTCGTGGGCTTGTCTGGAGACGTGCTAGTTGGCTTGTCCGGTGAGGTCTTGGTCGGTTTCTCCGGTGAGGTTTTGGTCAGTTTGTCCGGAGATAACTTTGTCGGCTGGCTAGGAAACTTCTTGGCGGCGAATTTAGCCTTGGAAGCCTGCGCGCACGAGAGATAATCATGCGCTAGGGCTGGGAGTTGAATATCACCGCGCCTATCAAAGACACTTCATTTGCCATCAGCTTCACCTTAAGCAAAAACAGAGTGTAGTTCATCCCGTAGAGACCTTGTGGATGTTATAAACTGTGAGCACAGTAGTGCGTGTTTTATAAACAGCAATTAGATCACAAGAACCTGCTAGAAATGTAATAAATGCGATTGTAAAGAGGATAATGTCTATTGTTACCGATCATTATAAGACAAATAACTTCTTTGTAAATTTAGATCAAAGTCACGGCAGTGCAAGGCTGAATGTCATAAGTCGGACCTCCGTCTCGGCGGCGATGGTGTACTTGCTCTTCTTTCCGGGACGTGTGCGGATCAACTCAAGCAGCCCATCCTCGTCCAACTGCTTCACTCGGCAGCTCTCGGCCTGGATCGGGGGTGACGGCACACACGGGCACACACGGCCACCCACACAGGCACACAAGCGCAGCCACACACACACACGGGAATGGACAGGCATGCAAGCACAGGCACAGATTCATACAATCAGAACGATGCAGTCACATACATGCACAGACACACATGCACACATGCACACACAGGGAAACAGAAGATTAGCTATTATGGCCAATTCAGCTGAATCATTAAAATCCAATAAATCACAAAAAATATTCATGTAATGGATACGTGAATGTGTACAATATTGTTATTAGCAAATAAGTGTCCTGTCCACTGCAGCTGAGCTTTGTTAATCATGGGTTGCAGTTTAAACTCGCAGTGACGGTAAAATATCGGTAAAATATCCTCTGCTGGTGATTTCAAAGTGGTAGGCCTCATGTAGGCTACCGTCGGTTCCCCATCCCTGATCCAGCGCATTCGCGTTTGTGCGTGCGTGGTCATCGGTGCCCGTGTGCGGATGAGCGCGCGCCACCTTGTCCAGCTTGGAATTGCCGGGGTCGCGGCCGACCACCAGGTAGTCGGTGCGCTTGCTCACGTTCCCCGTCACTTTGCCCCCGTAGCGCTCGACGAGCGAGCGAGCCTCTTCCCGCTCCAGCGACTCCAGCACGCCCGTGATCACGAACGTCAGCCCCTCCAGGCAGTTCTCCCCTCCCTTTGGCGGGATGGCAAACAAATAGCAGCCACACTTAAAAAATGGTGAAACGCCCCACCTGCAAATCTACCTCGTGAATTGATTAAATGGCGACAGGTTTATTTCCTGTAATTCATGTTGCTATATGCTCCTTGTACCGTTCCTGTTCTGCTGTAATGTGCACTGGTGCCTACTTTATTGGAGGGTGATATTGGCACATAAAATAAATATTGATTGAGAATTCAAACGGTGAGAAAAATAGACTTCTTAAAAAAACGACTCCGAAAGGCACCTCTCGATGCCCTCCAAGTGTCCCCCAAACAGACAATTCGAGCTTTATACGTAATCCAGAACCTCAGAGTTGTGCTGGTTCTGTGTTTCTGACCCTGCCACCAATCTACCGGATGACAGGTGCGTATCATTGCCACGGCGCATGTGAAGAAGCTTCTTTCAGGAGTCGGCAAGGAGTGAACCAACTGCGAGCGGAGTAGGGTTAGCGCAACCACTGTGAAACGCAGAAACTGCACTTGTCATGATTCACAACTTTAACTATTATAGATTAAATGTACGCTCACAATACAAGCAATGATGCCTGCATGTAAAAATAAAGCATTCACAATTCATGAAAATAACATTTCTTTCAGGCGAGCAAATAAACAAGGCAGAACATTCCAGGCAGATAATGAGACAGAGAGTACTAACAAGACAAAAAAAGAACCGAATCTCAAATAGAATGGTGTCCCTGAATCGTGACAATTCATCGTATCACGCGGGGCATGGGGAATAACTTGTTATGTGCCGAGCGAACATTACATGCCTGTGGGATCTCCTTTGACCCGAGTGCGCGCGGACCATCCCGGCTGAGGTAGTGTCTGTATGCAGCCACATTCTGTCGTTTCTTCTCAGAGTCTTCCAGGCCTTTCTGAAAAACCAAACGGGGAGGGCGATGGGCGAACCTAAGCCAGCAGCGCCGTGCTCGCCAAATCACTTGCTCATGTCAAATTCCACATCCGGCGAAAGTGGCATCTGTGTCGACAGTGTCACCTCAGACTTGGGCGAGGTCTCCGTGCTGCCCGTCCTGGCAGGAGAGCCCATGGCGGCACCCTTCGAACTCGGAGAACGGTCGATTTCCCTCTTAACCGGAGATAACTTCACCGTGGACAGAGGTACCGCTTTGAAGGGTGACCTTTTGGGTGCAACTTTTGGCTCGAACTTCACCAACGGTGGTGGAGCCGCCGCTTTGGTTGGCTTCACGGGTGACCTCTTCCTCACTAAAGGAGAAGCACAGGGATTAGTGTGTGCACAGATAAAAGTATACCCGTGCAAGGTGTAAGGACTCGCGTGGACACATGGACTTACATCACGGAGCCTACTTTACAGTCCTCCTACAGGGTCAATAAGAACACATGCAAATTAAGAACATTCTATGACAACAACAATTAGCTACATGAAAAACATGCTTATTATGTCTGCGGGGATGCATAGTTTAACAAATGCCAAGGTTCCTCTGGATATTCATCAAATGTTTATCTAACAGCTCTTATCTGTTTTTTAACATTCGCCAACAATTCCCCACTGCAACCTAATGTGGCTCGAAATGTGAGCAAATGTTTTGAATGCGGGTATCAGATTTGCTATTCAATTAAGTGCCCAGCAACTATCCTGATATCACTATTGCCAAAGCTACATTACTATAGTTATCAATACCGTAATTGTTTGAATTATCATACCATTATATCATCACATTACGAAAATCCAGTTATACTAACCATAGCATAGCGTAGTGGCCGATGGACAAGACTGGTGATAAAATGGCAGCCCAAGGAGAGAACCCATTTAAAAAGCGACTGCTGCAGAGATGGAGCGATGAGATCAATATCTGTGCAGGAGTGACACGTATGGTAGCAGCACTGGACTGACAGAGATGGTAAAGGTGTGGAGAGGTCTTCATCCAAAAGTGGATAAACAATGGCTGATAATAATGATGAATCTAAAAATCACCTCGTGAGACAATTCCAGTAAACCAAACTCGCACTCCACTAGGGTGGAGGATGAAGTCTCACTGAGGGCCCGTGAGCGTGTGAGCGTGTGAGAGTGTGTGACGGCGCGTCTCGTACGTGCAGGTTGTTTTTCTGGCGTCTTGCTGCTGCGAGCAAATGACTCCACACGAGCCTGCGACAAACACAACACAGTGCGCGCATTTACTCGGTGCTCCAACCGAACGCATTCCTCCACTAATCGTGTAACACGTGTCCCTTTCATGCATGCTAACACCAAGTGAATGTGTTTCCCCCGCTCTAGCACAGCTCATCTCCATTGGCGGACCTGAGCCAAGTGGAAATTCCACATTCCTATGGCGAGGGTTAATCTATTCACAAAAAAACACCGTTGACTTTGCACGAAAGTGGTAGTTACATTATTTACTACAGAGGGATGATGGGCTAAGATGACTCTTAACTCGTATTTGAACCAGCAAATTTTCAGCCGAGCGAGTTAAGCGATCTAAGTGCAGCACCACCCGGCCAAATTAACATACAGTACTTCTTACTGCAAGTAGGAAACTTTTAAGCGTTTATGTGAAAAAGATGTTCATCGGGAAATTTTCACTGGTTCATGTAACCGGCCACAGAACACTAGCCACAGGATTTGTTCGCTGTAACACCACCCTACATATGCGTATCCATATTGCCGTGAAGGTCTTAGTCAGTGAGGCGGTACCTTCTTGTGCTGCGGAGCGACCTCCTCCTCATCCAACATGGCGAGCGTGCGCGCAAATTCCTCATCCTCGTGCAGCTGCTTCTCCAGCTGCTAAGAGGAGGGGGGGGTAGGGTTCAGAGGGGTCAGAGGCCAACACACCGCCTTCGTCAGACAGCATGGACAAGCCCTGCGGGGAACACGTGTTCCAATGGTCGGATAGACGCAAGCACGATGTGCAGCGTGCAAAGGAAAGCCCGCTAACTTTGCTGCTATCTGTCCTGTGCAGCACAGCGTCAGTTTGATCCTGTTTGGTAACTTCCAACACTGGGGTTAGTAAAGTAATTTAACACCGAGTCACCAACCTGTGTGCAATTAACTGTGTGTATCAACTCCATAAGTGTAAAAACTTTGCCTTTTAATGCAGTCCTGTGTATGTATATATATATTTGTATTCATAATTGGTGGCAGTGTTATCTGAACCGGTTTCTGGCCCCCATCCTACTCCTTAACCTACCCACAATGGTTAGCATGATAAAGTACAGTCAGAAAACCCCCATTCCCAATATGGCATTGAGAGGCCTGTGTCCAGCAATGGATTGACAATGGGCAGTACAAAAATGCAGTAATATAATGCATAACTCTTTTTAAGGCTTAAGAGCCATACCTTGGAAACATCCTCTTGTGCAGATGTCGGCTCACTGGGGCTAAACGATTCATCAGTGCTGTCTGATCCCTGCAATAGCACAGTAATTTCATACAATTACATAATATACTTATCATTGCAATTGGATTCATAACTCGGTGAATATTCCATGTCATAAAAAATTTCATGATGGCACAAATCCTGGTTTGCTAATTTCAATCATGGTCTACCTGCAATACACAAAGCATATGTAAAAAACAAGGCAATCTAAATATTGTGCCCTGGCTGAGTAAACTCAACAGGCATTATAAGTAGATGCAACTCAAATGTTCTCAGGTATTTCCTTTTATGTTAGGCTCACAACATTTTGTACTGCTCTTGTATGTAATTTCAGTTTCAAAATTTCCACATTTTTTTTACATCAACGCTTTTTTTATTGTTTGACGCATCTGTTTTGCTGTTTATCAATTTAGAGCCAGATCTCGCTTGAAAAAGAGTGCTCTTACCTAGTTTAAACAGTCAATAACCAATTTATTGATCAATTAATCGGTAAAACACACCACCAGTGACACTTAGGCAATGCAGGCACAGCTTACAATCCAGATATAACGTGAGTTGGTGGACACGGTAGACATGCAGGATAGAAAAATACGCCGTCACGCCACCCAGTTTTAAACAACACAAGCACGCTGCGATTGGAAGGCAGCACTCACTGCTTTGCGCTTAGCCACAAGCGTGCGGTTGGAGCGCTGCACGGAGGTCGTGCCGAAGTATTCCGATACGGACGTGGGCACCAGCTTCACCGGCGACGGCTTCTTCTCCTCCACGTGCCGGCGCGATGCCGTGGCAGCAGCAGGCGCCGGCTGGGGTTTGTCACCGCGGCGGGGAGACCGCGGAAGAGCCCTCGGCTCGCTCGGCTTATTCTTGGGGCTCGATTTGGGTAGCCGCGCGTGCCCGTTTGGGACTTTGCCGGATGCCGGTTTCGTTTTGCCCTTCTTCATGTCAGGAGAGGAACTGTCTTCATCTGGCCATGGAGAAAATTTCACGTTACACAGTGGGCGCTTTTAAACGGGATCGTCAGATAAGCTGCAGATTCTCACTGGAAGTGTAATGTTTGTAATAATGGGTCTTGACACAATAAGCGAAGGGCCATTGATGAATGGATCGGATGGCGATAATACTCTGTGATCCACATGGTCACAATTTTCAGCCTTCCTATCTTACTCTGCTACGAGGACCCAAAAGTGCAAACTTTTATCGGTTGTGTAGACAATGAAAGCAGCTTTAATAATTAAAAACGCTTATTCAATGGCATATGTATTAGAGACGTTATATAGTTACGTATATATTCGTTTGCTAATTTCCATACAATCTAATGAAGTTGTTACATTTGTTTTTCCTCACTTTTGAACAAGGCTTCAGAGACTATTCCACAGCACAATACTGGCAGCCTGCAGTTTAGTGAGCAGCGCACTAAACAAACAACTAAGGTTCAAAATTCAGGGCTGTGGCCTTTTCTTTTTGTTCACGAGCAAAACGTGAACGCCTTTCAGTGCAGCCAGACGTCTGCTGTAATCCTCAGTGAGGGCCTTAACTCCCTCGACATCATAGCTGGTTTGGCCGTGAGAAATTGCAAAGGGTAAGTGTCCCTGAAGGTTTGATCATCCCCAACAGCCCTGGAAGCAAAGAGTTCACGGCCACTATCTGTTTGAGCCCACGATAAAGGGGTGCCCACGTTTATAGTACCTGCACTTTGTACTTTGCAAAACAAGACAATAAACATTTGCATTTACTCTGTTCATTTTTGTGAAGGGGTACGCACAGGGTGGGGGGAGTTGTGCAGATTTCTGGGACAAAGTCCACCATATTGACGCTTCAATAACAGTGGCTTTCACAACAGATCAGATTGCAAATGCTGCCCTGGCTCGGCATGGTTCACTCCAAATGAAATGGAGCCAAGCAAAAATAAGGAGTCTTCTTGATCTCTCTTAACACACATTCACTCTTCCCACAGTGATGGTGCAAGCCACACCTGACTGCAAAGATTATATGAAGCAACTACTTAATTACATTACATTTGTGTGAAATAGTTAATGGACTAATTACAAAAAAATTCTGAGCGGTATTAGAATTGAGCTTTTAGGTGCATCCCCCATTTTCTCATGAAAGTGGGACCCCTTGGGACCCTCACCTTTTGTTTTGTGTGCTTATTCCTCATGTCAAACAAAGACAAAGATCCCCCGTATAGCCTTAACAGACTGTTGGGGCAAGTGCTGTTAGCGAGCACCTATGGAGGCCGAAATGGTACACGAAGGGGGTGGGTGGCCAGCACCACGCCAGACCGCCTTTGTCTCCCAAGTGGCGATGTTTACACATCGCACCAGGTACTCATTTGATGCTGGGTCGACCTAGGGGAGGCCCAGGACCAGTTCAAATAATCGCCACTGGTGTTGGCCATGAACGGAAATCGAACTCGGGTCGCTGGGTTCATAGCGCAGCGTAGCGCTAACCACGACACTACTGAGCTTGTTGGTGCATTCCCCATTTTCTCATCAAAGTAGGACCCCTTCAGCTATTTGGGACCCTCACCTTGTGTCGTTTGCTTATTCTTCACGCCACCACTGCTTTCACATACAATATTTGTATTTACATGGTCTTCAAATTCGACTGCATCTCAAGACATTATATAGAAACAGAGGGTATATTTATCATGTAGAGAAAGGGTTTAGTATATATTGGGGTATAGTGGCCGCACAGTGGTTAGCACACTAAGTTATGAATCCGTTGCACTAAGTTTGAATTCCTGATGATGGCTAACCTCAGTGGCGAGTCATATCTGAAGCAGTCTAAGGCACCTCCTCTTCACCAATCCTGACCAGTGTCAAGGTAAAAAAAACCACCACGACAGGCACAGCATGGGGAGGGCTACATCCAGCAGTGGATAAAGAAAGGGCTGAAAATTATTGTTTTAATTGTATTACAATACATTAATCGCTTTTCAAAACAAACAATACCAGATCCTTTCTGATACATCTGTGGTTATTCAAATGCATACGTTCAATTCGGCAGTCAGAGCTAAGTCCTTCATTTGGACATCACGATTATAACCGCGTAATCAATTGCACGAACGTAGCATGAACATCACCTTCAGACTACACAATCAAGTGTCAAAGTCAATCGTAACCTACAAATGGCCAGATATGTTAAACCAGGCGTGTGCGCACATCTACATTGTGAGCATACTCCAAGCGCACTGCTGCAGTGCCCGAGCCCACAGCAAATTAGGCAAGCAAAGTATTCTTATCAGTCGGCAGCCTTGAACTTAAACTTCAGCTCGCACACTCAAGCTGAACATGCCCACCATGACTGCCCAATCACAGTTTAAGGCATCCGACCGTAGACAACTGTAACCAATGGTGAGTATCGTAGCAACGACATTTATGTGAACTAAACAGAGTGTTTTAGTAATATTCCTATTTGCAATTCAATACGTGTTCTTTGTGTTACAGAAAGAAACAAAATTAAGCGGTCATTTCATTTACCAGAGTTACTATTTTCCTTAAAGTCCTTCAAATATTTCTTGTAACTAGACTTCATTTCCACCGATTGTTATCACGACGATATTATCCGAAAATGTGCTTAAAGTTCATAATTTATACATTGTTTTGTACAATCCAATTTTTGGAGACTTTTTTTTTAAATACCTGGAGATCTGTAGTGAGAGTACCTTCTTGCACAACTTCCCCTCTGATACGAATTTGTTACTTTATTCATATAATTTCAGGGTATATAGTGGTATATATATATGTTCCTTTATTTAGACTTTAGCTTGTGACAGCTTGCATCAATTTCCACCTAATCAAATTCCTCTGCATAATACCAAGAAGTATGTACCACATTTTTGTACATACTTGGTATTTGGGCTCAACATAAATGAGCAAGCGAAAAGTCACGTGCAACAGGTTTTCAAAATAAGTTTAAATATTTGTTGAAAGAACTGAACTGGAAATACATCAAGAGTATGTGCATGGACCTTTAGCAATTGCTGAAGGTGTGGCCGGGGTTCAGAATTCTTAAATGAAGCAGCAGACGAGTGCAGGTTGTAGTGCTTTTACAAAATTTAACTTGATTTTGAAAAGCAACATACCTATGTGCTCAAGGAATAACGTTTTAAATCAGTACATATTACCCGCTGTGATAGATGAATCACAAACATGGACACTGATGAAGGTTATAGAACAAATTTTACGAGTGCGCAAATAAGAATGGAGGATGTGTGTGCTTGGGATTACACTGATAGAAAACGGGTCAAAGGAAAAACACATTTGGGATGTAATTTTAGTGGGCTGAGAGAGGACTCATCACGAGAAGGGATGATGACTGATAGTTTTTATGATTACATCAACATATATTAAGCATTAGGGATAGCATGAATCAAAATAGTTGTGTATGTCCAAACATTTTGTAACTGACATTTCATACATATGAAAGTGCAGGCAAACAGCACGTAAACATCTCCTGACTGGAAAAAATAAATTAAATATACAAACAGGTCATTTAAATCATTTACAGTCTTTGCTTTGGCCTTGACCTTAGTGAAGAGGGAGTGAGAGTGGGTGGCGTGGGGTAATAACCATGAGATGACTTTTCTTTTACTGTAAACCCAGTTATCAACGTCGGCCTTGACCATGAAGCTCCGATGACGTACTTAACCCCGACTCCAACAACGTAGGTAAAATACTCTGTGCGTGATGAGGCCAGCAGCGACAACGTGGCAGACACCCGAAAAAATACGACAGCATTATTCACATCCCTCGCTGCCAACTAAACAAGTCACGTTGCAGGCAAAAGCCACAACAACGTATATATGTAACTGCATACTTTGACGAGGCAATCAATGTACAGGATTCCGTTTAAGTCTGGTCCATGAAGGCATTATAAACTGGGTGTTGCAGTTGGATAGTATACATTCTGCCCATCACTCGTTAACTCAAATATCCCACAATGTTATCCTCTACAAAGCAAGCAGACACACTATTCTAGATTTGCAGCTTCTCGTTACTGCAAGGATCCATACTCTTTGGTTCTTTCGGTAAAGTCAGGTAGGTGAAAAAATGTTAAATAAATAAATAAGCCACCAAAGGTGTCTGAAATAAATAAATAACCCCGCTATCACAAATACAATCACAATTTTTTTTTCACCTACGTGACTTTACCGAAAGAACCAAAGAGTAAGCAGACACACCACAAATAGATATACTGTAGCTCAGTGAAAGATCTCTTTGTAGACAAGTCGTATGGCCTCTTCACACTGCGATACGTGCAAAAGTAATGCAATTTGATCAAAGTTGTGCCTACCAGAATCGGAGATGGTCACCACTTTGCTCGTCTTGGAAGTCTTGGAAGTCTTGGTGGCAGCTGAGGTCTTGGTGGTGGATGAGGCAGAACTGTGGCTTTTCTTCGGCGGGGGAATCTCCTCCAAATCCGAATCTACACAGCACAACGTGCGGGTGCATTTTGCTTTTCAGAATATACAGATGACAATCTTCAACCTTGACGTAAAATTAGTGATTATAACTTGAAAACCCCTTTTCCACTGGTTCATCCAAACCAAGCCAGCACGGGGCCCTCATGGTACAGGTGGTTTTCCACTGGCTATTTGCCATGCCAAGTTGGAACCAAACCATGATAGACTATAAACTAAATTATTTTTTATTTTACTAGGTAAGGCCCACTGAGCTATACAGCTCTTTTTCACAAGCGACTTGGCCACAAATTATAGCTCAACGAAGTGGCTTATCACATGGAAATTTATAGCAGCCGAATACTCTAAACGAATGTTTATAAATGTGGAGGGAAATACCAGAGGACCCGGAGAAAAATCCACACGACCACGGGGAGAACATGCAAACTCCAAATATACAGGCGTCAGGATTGGGATCGAACCAACGACCTCCTTCATACCAGATGAGGGAGTTAACATCTCGCCACCGTGAATCAGGCATCTGAATCTAGCACGGGGCCAGCCAGGGGCGTGGCTAATGACAATCTCATTGTATGTACGTTAGTCAGTACACTGAAAGGACACAGTGTCATCCCACATGTGTCTTGACTACTTCGTTGCATGTGACGTCAGCAGCATGGCTTGGATTCTGCAGTGGAATTTTTTAGCAACTCCTGAGCTGCGCTGGGTTGGCTCAATACTGCCATGGCACAGCTCAGTTATACAATGAAAGAGAGAAACAAGGCAACATCACGGAGCAGCAATTTGGGAAGACGCATTTTTGAAAATGATTATGATGTTCCAAAGATCATGTGACTCGAATTCCCAAATATATGACGTATTTCACACAGCTCATGACGAACACATGACTGAGTACGTCTATATTGCTTCGGCCCATAAATGTTTCACCATCTGTTTGGCTATGCCAAGTAATAACTCCAAATATGATTTCACGATCATCTATTGAGCCTAAAATAAAACCTGAATTGCTAATAAAAGTAAATAAATTAATGTCACGATAAAACCAGCAAAGCGTGACAATGTTTAACTAAAGAAAGGTTCATGTGAACATTGTAAATGTGCCAAGATAGTTTTATTTAAACATGTTGCGGCCCACCAACAGAAGCAAAAAGGAATGCAAACACAGCCGTGCAGCTCTGTTTTATTTACACGGCCTCCTTTAACTCAGCCCACCACTTAATCTCGCCTTCCACTTATTGAGGACCAAGGGCAAACACTTGTGAAATAACATGCTTGAGGCTCTCAGCAGAGCCACTGCTAATTTCGGGGATACCCTATCTCATTGGGGCATTCAGTGTTTGGGTTGAGCACTTTAAGCTCCCACACGCCGAGGAGTCTGTAAATTATGATCAGATTGCTGGGCTCCGAGAAAGGGGAAATGCCGTCATCCATAGTAGTGTATTTTGGTTTTCGTAGGTTTGCGAAAAACACTCCACATCTTCCCCGCACCTCCGATTAGCACGGTTGGCTACGTATGGTGCAAAAGAAGTTCAACATACATGCATATATACAACAGAAACTTGATTTCAGTACGTAAATAACCCTGTAGAAAATGTGTTTAACTTGGATGGGAAGTTGCATTAGTGAGGGTGGATTTTAACTAATTAAATCCAGTTCATGTAATCATTAAACAAAGTTCTCCTTAATTAGTCTTCTAAGGAACAGCCAAAAGAATTATCACGGAATTAGAAACATTGTTTAAAAAAAACCTGTAATTTTCAGAGTATTTTGACCAATGACATTTCAATCATTCACGGAAGCCACAATGCAATAGGATTTTCATTCATATAACTTCTAAATGCGACCGTATCTCTAAGGCGCGAGATACAGACATAGTGGTAGACATATGTTATAGAAAGAGGCAATCAGTCTTAGGCAAAATAAATATCTGGTCCCTGAGGCCCAGTATTTAAGGACTCAGGATCCGGTGAGAAGCTTACCAGAGTCTGAAATGATTCCACGCTTTTTTCTGGCCTTCTGCTTTTTTGTGCCACCCTTTATGTCGTCTTCATCATCATCATCGTCGCTGTCGTCGTCATCACTTTTGTCGGCTTTCTTTCCACGGACGCGGCTCTTCAGCTGCAGAGCGACACAAATCGGACGTTCGTGAAACGCTGCCCGTACAGATCAAATGCCATAAAGAGGCAAGTGCCGCGCTAGCATCGTCCCAAGATAATAAAAAAAAATTAGCGTTTTTTAATTTACACTACCCAATTCTAGTTTAGCTAGGTGATCATATAATGTGGCATGACCATTTCATTAATAACAATTTCCAGCGGGAGTTTTCCAAAATTGCAGTTTTTGCTACATTGTTCAAACTGCGTTTCATCACCAGATGAATAAACATTTAATGGAGACCTCGGTTCTTAGCTAGCTGCTAATACTCATCACAGTGTGAATAGAGAACAAATACCTGGTGTATTTTTACTGCCTTCCCTCACTCGCTTAATCATTAAGCACATTTCCTTTAAACCGATAGGACTGTTTGAAAAATAGTGTAAATATTAAAGGCTTCTCGCCGTTTCTATCAATGAAGAGTAGGTGCAACGGTTTCCATTGACATAACCCACATGCACAAAAGTAAAATGTCCGAACTTAAATTAATGTGAAAACATAAACATCCCATTTCCAACTGTTTTCCAACCTTCCTCAAACACTAAGGTCCATGTGTCCTGGTTCCAGTAAATGTCCCTTCAATATAATCAGGCGTGTAACAATTTGGGGTTGCCATTCAGTTCAAGTACCGATTATCTTTTGTTTCAATTTAACCACCTCATTTGTATTTGTACGGTGTTGTTCACTGTCCACTTAACAATGACACACCATATGCTTCAATAATAAAGAATCAATTCTCACACTGCCGATTCGATGCAAGTATCGCAAAATAGCAAGAATTTATTTTACTCCATGAATTGATACATTCGTTACATGCTTTTACCAATGTTACTATTTTCTCTATGGTCGCATCTAATTTTACAGCCGTTTGTCAATCCACTGTTGGATGATGGACTCCTTAAGCCATCATAATATAGGTTTAAGCCCTGTCGCTCATTGGACCAGACCTCACCACACTAGTCAGGGCGAGTTGGTGACGGGGGGGTGCCTCGGACAGGTTCAGATATCACTCGCCACAGCCATTCACGGAAAATGAACAGATCATAACGCAGGGTGCAAACCACTGCACCAACGCACCATCCCAAATTGAATTCACAACGGAATATTTCTAACCTGACGTTCAGCCCCATTTGTCTCTGGAGTTTTGATTTTATTATGACGCTTCAGACAACCGAATTGGAGTGTATTGTTTAAATCAATCATCACAATCCGCCAATCTAAAAAGCCACTGCCAGAAGACCTTCCCGCACACTGCCACAGATATAAAATTCTTTGCCAAAAATAACACAGTTCTGTGGTGTTTTTAATGCCGTCATCAAAAATAATCATAAATACACGACACATGTTCTGCAGTAACCTGACACAGCAAACAATGTGGCAGAGCCTAGAGATTAAACATGCCACTTCCCTAAATCGCCCTAAAAATAATTTGTTTTGAAAATTTTACCCAAAATGCCAGATGTCTCAGACACAGCTGCCGTGGAACAACTCTTCTTAATGTGACTCTGGATACTAATTCAAATTAAAGGATAATACTCCGCAAAACTCAAATTTAAAAAGTTATATTATTACCAACTAATTTTATCATCATCAGAAGCCATAATGAATCCACCACTGAATAAAGGACTGCCCAAACCACCGCCATCCCTCACCATCCCATGAAACAATAATCCATAGAGCACCTGCACATTAGCCAGATCTCATCACTCCATCCTCGCAGTGGGATGCTACTTTTGGCTGCGTTGGTTTGTAATGCATTGTCCTCCTTGTGATTCTGAATCCGTATTTATCCTGGAGAAATCCGATGAGCTATGAAGCTCTTTTTCACAGATTCAACGAACTGGTCAATAATGCACGGTCACAAATCGATGAAATAATATTTTTTTTATCTTCAGTATCCCAGTGACTGGAGAGGTCATGTAAACCCATTATACAAACATATATGAATAGAAAACCAAAAACACCAATTTGCAGACATGTTCAATGCACATGAGCCCATGGATGGATATTAATCGATAAAATAATGCATGGTTACACCATTAAGAGTTATTATCCAGCATCAGTAGCTGAGTTGGTAGAAAAGTTGGGATCTCACTGAAAAGAATGAGAGTTAATATCTAAATTACTTTTTGCTTCTTTCGGTAAAGTCACGTAGAAATAAATTAAATTAAATAATAATAGAATACGAGTTTCGATTGCAACACAAGCAACCATCTATCAGGTACAAATGAATGAGAAAACAAACATAGTAAACTTGGAAATATAATGCAATACAACACAGAGAGTCGGCCAACACAACAGTCAACACCCCACCTGGTTGATTGCATTCTACCAAAGATTGCAAAATTTGAGAGACAAAACATAGACACGGAGACACACAGACAGACACACAAGCAGAGAGAGACTCACACATAGGCACACAGTGTATCTATGTTGTGTCTCTCTCTCTGTGTTGTCTCTCTCTGCTTGTGTCTGTCTGTGTGTTTCCGTGTCTATGTTTTGTCTCTCTCTCAAATTTAGCAATCTTTGGAAGAACGCAATCAACCAGGTGGGGTGTTGACTTGTGTTGGCCGACTCTGTGTTATATTGCATTATATTTCCAAGTTTACTATGTTTGTTTTCTCAATCATTTGTACCTGATGATGGTTGCTTGTGTTGCAATCGAAAGTTCGTGTTCGATTATTTAATACAATTTATTTGTACGTGACTTTACCAAAATAACCAAACAGTAATTCCTGCAGTCACGAAAGCTTCGAATCTAGTTTAATATCCAAATCATGTTTCGATTTAAAGCTTTCGTGACTGCAGGGATTCATCTTCTTGGTTCTTTCGGTAAAGTCACGTAAATACGCTGCCAAGCTTAGCAGTGTTCTTTGGAGCGCTGTCTTTCCGACAGCTCTGTTTCTTCACCTGAGTATGGCTGCTTGTGTTGTGGCCGAAACGTCGTGAGAATTGTATTGCATCATGTTTTATCTTTATTATTTTATTATTTCCCTTCTACGTGACTTTACCGAAAGAACCAAGTAGATCCAAATCATGATCAAGCTAGCCCCATCATGACTCCTAGGTACATTAATATGAGTATAACCGAGTGAACGATAACTTAGTCGGACGTCAACAGTAGATATTCTGCCATAGAAATATAGAATATCTAACACTGGCTCACAACAGTCAACAGAAATGAACAATGCTCGGCACTCGTTTGAGGATGGGACAATTAGACATTTGAAATTTCACCAACACCATTTAAAAAGCAATAATTGGATGCTTTCTCTAGAGGACTGCGATGGTGGGACGGTGGTTACCAAGTGTATTGAGGAGGCAGGCGGCCAAAATCCCTTCGAGGTTTACCGTTTTCCACCGCTGATAACGTCTACCTAACGGACTGCCTTATCGCTGGGGGTCACAGCTGCGTCACAGCGTCAACAGGTCTCCTTTCATTTACGGCCGCAATCATACACGTGCATTTCAAGCCAAAGCCGCTTACAACATTCAGCCCGCGCACACACACTGATGTGCAAGCAGTTTTTGGAATGTGGCTAGTGGAGGCATTCCTGCACCACTAGTGTTTGAGGTAAATAAACACATATATGCAGGGCAGACAGGCAACACACAAGACAGTTCTGCTGAAATTCAAGAGCACACTCGTTATGTTGTGATGAATAACAAATTCATAACTGTCAACGGAGCTGTTCTGCAAATCACTATGGTAGTTTAACCATCCTCCAGTATGATCTAGGTTCTACAGCACAGGTAGGTGCATAATCTTCAGTCAACATGTTCTAAACTAGGTACATGGTAGTAGCACAACGGAAGCCATCAATCTAAAAGCTCAGGATTTACTCACCTGGTCTGTCCACACACTACTAAGAGCAGGGTTGACAAGCACCATGAAAGCCTGTAAGAATACACAAATACTCTTCTATTCATCCACAGGGTGGGGTGGAGCGGTGGTGCAATGGTTTCACGCACTGCATTATGAACCTGGCAACTAGAGTTCAAATGCTGGCCATGGCTAGCATCCGTGATCTGCACTGGTCATGGACAAAATTCCCTTCATCAACCCGCACTGAGCAATGTGATACAGTATGGTTAAACAACCTCCATTCCCAACACAGGCCTTTATTCACAAGTGGATTAATAATTGGATGTAAATTATTGTTATTATTTTTATTCATCCACACAGTAGTCCTCACCTGCCATAGGAAGCCCAGTGGGGCATCACTCGAGTCTCCGTCGGAGTCTACGATCAAGTCATCCCAAAAGAAGGCACGCTCGCTCAGAGCTTGGCTGCAGTACCTCAAGCGGTTGAGTTGGCAGCAAACGCCTATGCCACTCTCCATGGCTCGCTTTGTTTAATATCTATGCATCTGCCACTTACATTAGCCCACCAATTTGAACCAACTCCAACAAATTTGGCTTCCCACCTTAGGACAAACAATATCGTATGTGCAGCTTAAAATGTGCCGCAACAGCTCCACAACTCCGTTGTACTGCGAAGTACGTTAAAATGTGGGCAGGGCAGATTTTTGCCCGTGGTTTTAGGCGATGGGGGAGCTGACAACATCTCTGTGGTTGCTGCTGGCTTCCTGTATTCATAATGTTCATGCCTTTCCCATCTTTTTCCAATTGGCACTGTGTTTAGATGTAAACTACCACTTATTTAATACTATAGCATCTACCCTCTCAAAACAGCTTCCCTTACAAAGGATAAGATATTTTAAGTAATATTATTTACTATAATTTAGTGCACTTGACTGTGTTGTAAACAAATGATGATATTTGTTGGGAAGGATGCAACTGGAAAACACATTTATTTAAGGTGGACCACAATTTTTATAAAAGTAATGAAATATTCAGACTACCAAGAGCAACCTCGAGTGCTTTGAGGAAAATTTACTTTATCATGAAAAGCAACATCAACATGCCGAAAGAAAGTTTTCAATTATTGAATTTATCAGAATCTTTATTTTAGAATCTTTAGAGTGGAGGAATCCGATCAGCTATGAAGCTCTTTTTCACAGCTGTCCATTAGGCTTTACAGATGTCCATTAGGTTTCACAGATATCTCTATATATGTAAAAGGTAAATTTGTGATTATATGTGTCTGTTCAAAATGTTTAGCGTACTTCCCGACATTCAACAAACTTGAAATTTGGCATGTGTGTAGCTTCCAGACTGTACACAATGCAAGAAGTATAAAAATAGACTTTTGTATTTTGGGGGGGCGGGCGCAATAATGGATATATTTTGGACGCAAGTGAGAGGTGACGTCACATCTGTGATGTCACCCGCATGCGGCAGCATCACGCAGTGTGCCTGCTGATGTCACTCCCCCCCCAACCCTCCGCGTAGGCCGTGTATTAATCCAAGACAAGAATCCAAGTCCCGGGAGAAGCTGGGTAGTAAAGCTAGTTAATGTATACTACCTGCCATAACTTTATGAATCGGAAACATGGATATTGACAAAGAAATGGAATAGAACCTGCAAAGTGTGCAAAAGAGAATGGACAGGTGTGTGCTTGGATTTGCAAAGAAGACAAAAAGAAGAATAAGTGCAATAATGGACAAACAGAAATTATAGACACCACATTGACTGAAGAAAAATGGGCTTGGGCAAGACATTGCAAGAAGTGATGATGGCCAATGCTCGAGACTAAACCCCGACAGAACAGCCCTTGTGGATACGGCGCAATGAGATCTGCTCACATGCAGAAGCTATATGGATTGTTGCATGACAAAACCAAAAGGAATGATGACGACTTGAGGCTTTCATCCCACAAAAAGATAACTCACAGTTCATGCCGATGATGGCTGTGCTATACAATTAAACCATGACAGGTATTAAACCACAATTATAAAAAAAATCCTCTCTCACAATTAATACCAGCTTCACCATCAAAGGAATTCGCATGAATACATTTAGGGATTATTTTTGGCTTCGTATTTAAATAATGAAAGCCTCACAGCTATTTTCCATCAACTAAATGTGACAGGATAATAATACGACAAAGTAGATTTTTTGGTGATCTTCATACAGAGCATGCCAGGGAAATAATAAAAAAAACTTAAATCTATCGGCCAATAAATCCAGCTTAAAATAAGCTAACTCAAAGAAATATGTCACGACTTCAAATTTCAATACTGTATATATTCCCAATATGCAAGTGTTCATGATGGAGTAATGAACACAGAAAATGCTACGATGCCTGTCACCTTATGGTAATTACACTGCTGAAAGGATGCATCTCGTGTGAAAATGTGTTTGCAAATGAACCCCAACATTTACCACACAGCTCAAGGAAGCAATAATGCATCTTTCTTCAGTAGCAACCTCGATACAACTTAATGGAACCACCATGTCTCAGGGTTTTACTTAAACCCACTCTTTTTTAAGTCCATTATATTAAGTTCACTTGTTTGCTTGCTTACGACCGTGCAAATCTTTCGGTCGTTTTTTAACCCACTTCCCGTGATCCAATCGAGCTGACATTTTGCACACAGACTCGTTGTGCGTGACAATTAATTTTCGTGAAATTTTTTTCCAAAATTTGACACTGTTTAGGGAATTTTTTTAAAATATTTAATTACCAATTGCTTAATGGTGGTAGACAATCATCTGACCCATAGGTGGCAGCCATCTCAAGCCAGAGGACGAGAGGACTCTAGCCGCCCGTTTCATGATGACACAAATGTTGACTAACCACATGGCATGAAATCCCTGCCCCCACGCTGTAAAATGGAGACTATTTATAGAGCAGTTACATTGAAGCCGCCAGGTTCTTGAAAGTGGTAAAACGGGTCAACGCTAGTGCCCTTGGGAATATACGGGGCATGTCAAGGTGAGCTTTCATTTTTAAATCCTTTATATTAACTTCACTTGCTTGCTTGCTTGCTTACTCAAGAAAAACAGAAATGAATAATAAAATTAAACCGATGCCACGCATATAAAGGATTTATAGTGAAAAACTTTGTTTTTACGGGTTAATTTTTTACCACACCAATTTTCCTTTTGTGATGCAAAATTTTAAAAGCCCCAGAAATAAAGGCTATAAGGGTTCATACATCTTAGGTTCCAAAACAAGAGATTGCTAACAAATGATGCCTACTTTCTCAAGACAGGCACCAGGCTCGTAGGAATTATTTACAATTTATACGAAATATACACTATTGTATTGAGGCTAATTACAAAGACGCGGCAGTACAAACAAGACAGAATTGAAAACAATAAAAACTGGGTGGTACAAATTAGACTATATTAATCGATTCTTTAATTGAATCGCGAGCCCAAATTGAGACAATTCATCTTTTCGGGTGAACGTTCATACGTCCGATTAGCACGGTTGGCTACGTATGGTACGAAAGTTCAACATACATATACAGATACCTAGCAAGCAGGACTAATTAATTTTCAACACTACACACGACCAACAAGGGTCAGTCACAAGCTGTACTATGGAACTTTTACTAAGCACACTGCACACTTGACCGCCGTGTTCTTGCCAATCAATATGAGCACCTGCAAGCACACACATCCGCAAAGCACACACACACCGTCTCCTCCTTGTGCCTCTTCCCACTGGCTGCTTTCGTGGCCATCTTCGTGACCGCCTTCGTGACCGCCTTCGTGTCTGCCTTCGTGGTCGCCTTCGTGGTCGCCTTTGTTGCCTTTGCCACCGGCGGAGCTTTGCCTTTCACTTTTGCCGCCGCTCGGCTGCCACCGCCACTGCTGCTGCTGCTGCTGCTGTTGCCACTAGCAGCGAGCTTCGCAGCTTGCGGTGCGAAAAACTTGCGGATGTCCTGCAATCAAGAGGTTCCCCCCACAATGGGGACTGTAATTGAGCACCTGAAGGGAGCGCTGAGTTTACTCCACAGCATTTTAGATTTTCACTTTCTTTTTTAAGTTCCTCAAGAATCGATCCATCAGTGGACAATAACTGTACGACATTATTGTATGTTTTGCTGTTTATATTTAAAATAGTAATTATTGCAGATAATGATTTGAATTACCGTTATGCAGGGCTTAATTTTTCAATCAATATTTTCTGGTTTGCCGGTAGCCCTGGAGATTACACTTGACCAGTAGGCACTGCCATCGTGAGAAGTACTGGATGGGGTATTCCAGAAGTGTAAATTTTACAGGTCCCTGACCCAGGCAGTCCCAGCTGAGACTAAGCACTCACATTTCATTGAGGCCATCAATCAAAACAGATGAGCTGAAAAACATCTAACCTTGTTAAATAATGGGTAAGAACCAAGTAATCACCTGAAATGGTTAGCTCAGATGGTTGAAACACAAACTATAAAAGGGAAAAAATTAACCCGTAAAAACAAAGTTTTTCACTATAAATCCTTTATGTGCGTGGCATCGGTTTTATTTTATTATTCATTTCTGTTTTTCTTGAGTAAGAGTTTCATTTTCATCACATTGGTATTTTAAATTAAATATAAGGAAAGTCGTATATAAGGACATTGGTCTTTGAAACGGGCGGCTAGAGTCCTCCCGTCCTCTGGCTTGAGATGGCTGCCACCTATGGGTCAGATGATTGCCTGCCACCATTAAGCAATTGGTAATGAAACATAATTTTTTTTTTCCTTAAAAGTGTAAAATTTTGGGAAAAAAATTTCACGAAAATAAATTGTCACGCACAACGAGTTTGTGTGCAAAATGTCAGCTCGATTGGATCACGGGAAGTGGGTAAAAAAACGACCGAAAGATTTGCACGGTCGTAAGCGCGCAAGCAAGCAAGTGAACTTAATATAAAGGATTTAAAAAGCATCACTACGGGCCCTCATGTAAATTGCTGGAGTCCGTGGTCATATCATTGTAATTCGAGGATTGGTGGTACACGACTCTTCCAATAATCCATAGGGACATTGATCCAGTAATCAAGATTTTTTTCTGGAATTCTTCCAGACTACGCCAACCTTATAATTCGTTAGGTTTCTAATGGAGTTGAGTTGCTCTTTAATCGCTAAATCCACGGTACACTGGGGCCGATTAAAAACGCTTTTGTGGCCCGCAAACTGTGATCTATAGAAGTGAGCCAGGCTAACACGGAACTGCAGGACCAGTTACAGCGAAGGGCGGAGTTTAGTTATTTTTATTTAGCAATTTTTTGTTTCGTATCAGCACGGCTATTCTGCAAAACAGACTAGCCGTGCTGACATTATTTGTTTTGTAGAAATTAATTTTGCATTTAACGGACTAGAATAAACCATTTTGAACGTGCGAAATATCCTTCAGCATACATTAATGTGGCAGATGAGTAAAAAAAAAATTTTTTATAATCCGCAAGTTTATCGTGGATGAATGTTGGTGCTCGTCACGTGACCGTGCTTCGCATGTTTTCTGCAAAATGTTGGTGGATTCATGGAGACATCCGACTCTTTCGTCCCATAATCCGCGGCACACCGCATTGGCGCCAAGACATGTAAGCGCATTACGAAACTAACCTCCACGGCGCTTCGCTTATTACAGGACCTGCTATATGAAACCCCAATATCACCGCGGATTAATGGAGAACTGCTGTACATCAGCAAACAAAAACACGACTCATTGACAACCTCACATGGTTAATGGCCCTTCCCTAAGCAGCGGCGTTAGTAAGTAATTGTAGGGCTGCACTTGTAAACGCCACCGCTGATAGCGTGCCCTGGAGTTCTAGAGCTTCCCTTTGGCCAGACGTCTTGTTTTGAGATGGTGGTGTGGGTGAACAGAGGTGGCGGGCGAGGAGGTTTAAGAAACTTGCCAATTATAAGGGAGATATAATCAAACCGGTGACCACTGCATTGGGATACAAACATCAATATTGCCAAACGGTTAAACGAATCTCAACAGATTCTTACGCGATACACAAATAGCTTCATCCATAGAGAATAACGACTTATCCATACCATGTCAAATTTTGAAAACTATATATAATTGCCTAAAATTAAATAATGAATCTCATGTATTGCAATTAAGGATCATATTCCAAATGGTATACACGATTCTAGATTTGAAGCTTTCGTGACTGCAAGGATTCATACTCTTAGATTTTTATTATTTTTTATTTCTATTATTATTTCTATTACTTTTATTATTATTTTACCTACGTGACTTTACCGAAAAGCCTAAGAGTAGGAAGGAATACACGATGTCAATGTTATTAATCCACGCGGGAAATGGATATCGTCTGAACGCGAGAACTAAAACTCGACCCACGCCAACGTAGCCGAAGCAAAGTACTTCACCTAAAACGATGGCGCAACAGATCATCTCATAGCAGTGTCGTACGGTCACAGAATAACATCTTAAGAGGAGAAGGCGAATCTCAACTCTCGCGTGATTGACACTAAAGGACTTCCGAGCAAAACGACAGCCCCTCGACCGCAACTCGTTGCTGCAGACACGGCCTCGCCACGACACCTGCCGCCACAACGATCACAACCACACCCGGTGAAACGCTAATTGCAGCAATTGTAAATGATTAAGTAACAAATACGCCAACAATAATCTGTCGCAGACATGAACTCGTGTTGCTAGCAAGGGGCGCGCGTGTCACCAGAAGACAGTAACGAGCGCTGAGGCTCCGTTGGGGCCACGCAGCAACCACAACTGCTCCCCTGGCTGAGAGCGTTGCTGTAGTTGTGTGTATAGCCGCCTGTGTGTTATTCGCTGTAGCTGTGTCTGTATGTTGCTGTTGTTGCTGCTACTATCGTTGTTGATTCTCACCATGGGCCCAGCTGACGCGGGTGGGACCCTTGCCCCGGTTCGCGCCAAAACCACCTCGACGCGCATGCGCAGATGGGCGTGTCTACGGTGGCGCGGAGGCGCGAGGGCGCGTCTGACGCACGTGGAACGCGTACGCGTAAATGGGCGCCCCCTACCTAATAGGGGCTGTTGTATGTACGGTATAAATATTAATTAATGCGTTGATTTAACTTCCCACGTTTCTTTTAATATTGTGTTTGTAATGTTGGTATCTCTATGTAGTGATACGTATTTTTTAAATATAGTAAATTACGTTTTTTGTGTGAAAAAGGGTAACTTTCGATGCTGTCGGAACGAAATAAGGCTTTAACGTGTATATTCGTGGGTCTTTATGTAAATTTACGGAGATAGGTTAAAAGAAAAAAAAACTACGAATTTTCGATCGCAACACAAGCGGTCGTCTTCCTATTATTTTCTTTGAACCTATCTACGTGACTTTACCGAAAGACCCAAGAATATGAATTCTTGCAGTCACGAAAGCTTTAAGTCAACCTTTAACGTGTATTTCCTGTACTCGCTTAACGACCAGATCACTTAACGACCGGTTTCGTGGCACCAATTGCCGTCGTTAAGAGGGGTTCTATTGTAGATGTGGGCATTGGAAATACAGATCCGTACGTAGAGTCTTACGCTAAAGCTTGCTTGTGCATTTGGATAGTGCGATTGAGAATCGATTGTTTGTCAGATACAGAATTTATACATGACACACAATTTCCATTAGCGTCGTTGTGTAGAATATAAATTAACAAAATGTACCCTGTACTTATCCGTCTTTCCGTATAAAAAATAGAAAATAATTTTTTTTACGCAAATCATCGGCCCACGGCCTTCTGGGGGTGCATAAATTCAGCAACATTTATTCACAACTAAACCATGGACCGGTTTCGACGCTTAGAGTTGTATCAGACTTGTGTCATTACCAGAATCATCTGGCCGTTCAGCATCGATTCAAGCAAGCCTGACTCCGCTGATGAGACACTGAATATCGAAACCGGTCCAGAGTTTGCTTGGACACTATGTATTGTAGCTATGAAAGATGGGTCCCCTATTTAAGCACCCAGCTGAATGTATATGTTGTGCTACTCGTGCCAAAATAAACCTTAACCTGTAGAAACCAAAGCCCATCACGCATTAGATAGCATGACACTCCAAGGTCCGCACATCAGGCAGTTTAAACGAACCCAAAGCGATTGAATGGCTAAATCACTTATAACTTAATCTTTAATAGTTACTTCATTTGGCCAACCTTCAACGCTTTGTCAATCAAACCAAGAGCAGGAAAACCCGCTCTCACTTGGACTTAATGAGCTGATGCGTCGGATAAGACGACGAGCAGTCAGCATTGTGTCCTTAACACGCTGGCGTCGCTCTCTTTTCAAGCCGCATAACCAGTTGTGTGTGTATGCAAAATCTCAACTTAAGTCCATTCATTGATATTGGCCAGAGAATCTGATCATGTGTGTAGTGTCAGTACACGCACGAGGTTATTGTGGGACTGGGTAACACCAGCGTGCGCGCGCCCTGTTTGTACACAAGACTAACCTGTTCCACTGTTTTCATGTTTGCCCTTCAGCTCTGACGGATTTCGATTTAAAGCTTTCGTGACTGCAGAGATTCATCTTCTTGGTTCTTTCGGTAAAGTCACGTAGAAGGGAAGTAATAAAATAATAAAAAGAAAACATAATTTTTATTATTTTTATTATTTTATTACTTCCCTTCTACGTGACTTTACCGAAAGAACCAAGAAGACTCTGACGGATAGCAACGTGTGTACGGGGAAGACGAATCCTAAACGTCTCAGCCGAACCTCGCTTGACACACGCTCTCTGCTTGACAATAATGGGATCACGAGATTCCATGCGATAGACACAGCTCGGCGTCAAAATGCCGAGGTGGGTAGTGTTTTTAACCTGTTGCTTCCGAAACGTCGTGAATTTTTTAATTTGTTTTATTTTACTTTTATTAATTTAAATTTTTTACCTACGTGACTTTACCGAAAAAACGTAAGAATATGAACCTACGGCCCCTTTGGGCAGAAGTTGCCCAGGCGAATCCGCTTGAGAAAGCCCCACCGCCACATGATGCCCAACACTTCGAAACGAATCGTTCATCCGTCACCGCAAGGATTCTCAGTCGCACTAAATCGATTCCTTTGCATTGCACTCTCACGGTGCTAATCTCTCGTTAACACTGCTGTTGTGCGCATATGCGGGCATGATACTCTTATGGAAGCTCATTCATGCTAATCTCCCTCCCTAATCCACCTCTCCCTCTCCCCCATTAACACAACTGACGTGCTTGCGTCCGTGGATGGAATTCCTTTTCCAGCTCAGACCCCACCGGTTTGCCCATCGCCACATATATAATCTTCATCTTCTTGGTTCTTTCGGTAAAGTCACGTAGAAGGGAAATAATAAAATAATAAAAATAAAACATAAAATAATTCTCACGACGTTTCGGCCACAACGCAAGCAGCCGTTCTTCACCTGAGGACGGCTACTTGCGTTGTGGCCGAAACGTTCTTCACCTGAGGACGGCTGCTTGCGTTGTGGCCGAAACGTCGTGAGAATTATTTTATTATGTTTTATTTTTATTATTTTATTATATCCCTTCTACGTGACTTTACCGAAAGAACCAAGAAGATTAATCCCTGCAGTCACGAAAGCTTTAAATCGAAATATATAATCTTTTGTAACAGCTCTCTCGCTGGTTCAGCAGTTACACTGCTGGATTATATTTTTTTCCGCCTGAGGACGAACGCTTGTGTTGCGATCGAAACGTCGTGATTTATTTTATTTTATACCTACGTGACTTTACCGAAAGAACCAAAGAGTATGGAAACTGGACGTTTATAATTTCACACGTGCTCAGTCACACGGACGCCACTGCAATGCCAAACTTGTACGCGCGATAAACGAAACGTTATTCTCGCATTTCGATTCGACGACGCTAATGTGTGTTTATGTTGTGGCCCCCAAAGGTATAATATTAAAGTCCTGTTTCGTCCCTCCGTAAGGGTAAAAGGCTCCCTCCCACCCCTTGTCTAAATTCACGAGGTAGAGGGGACCGATTGTAATATAAACTCTATCAAGGCACGCCTTGTATGTCGAGTTGCCGTGGCGTGTCATGTTACAAACATTATTATCCATCAGCAAGACTTTTAAAACGAGCCCGTCTCATTGACGCCCGTGAGTGACTCGCTGTAGTCTTTGTTATAGCACCTCCAGTAGTTTAAAGTTAACATTTGTCTTGTGTATATATACTCAACGCAGTGCATAGTTGCACTTACTGCCTCGGCACATGCCCGTGCGTGTCTGCCGTTGCTCAATGGATATTGCTTAGACTGAGATTGGAACACAAGATTGACGAATGCTACGGTACATTCAGTGCAATATAATTGTCAGTAGGTATTAGGCACATGCTTATCTTGCACGTATGAACACCTGGCAATTATATACGGCGTGCTTAAGACGTCCCCGTCCGTCTGTCCTTCCCTCCGGCCAGCCAGCAAATCTTTAAAAAACTACTGTTGTATGAAATTCCAATAACAATGCACACCCTTTAGTCTATTCACTGCTGAATGAAAGCTTCTCTTTGCCGTGTCGGCCATGGGGGGGGGGGGTTGTTTGACCATACTTCACCACGATGATGAAGGGAGGATAGCGAAAAATGTAACTCGCTACTGATGTTAGCCGTGGCTGGGAGTCCAACTCAGTTTTTCAGGGTTCATAGCGCGCAGTCTGCAAGATGTTTCGTCACCGCTCAACCCTCGGTGTAATACATAAATGCTATGAATATAAAATTTCGATTTAAAGCTTTCGTGACTGCAGGGATTCATCTTCTTGGTTCTTTCGGTAAAGTCTTGAATTGTATTTTATTATGTTTTATGTTTTATTATTTTATTATTTCCCTTCTACGTGACTTTACCGAAAGAACCAAGAAGATATGAATATTGTATTATTCTTCTTTTTATTTTCACCTACGTCACTTTACCGAAAGAACCAAAGAGTATGGATCCTTGCAGTCACGAAAACTTCAAATCTATAATTATTGTATGGTGATGAATATTAACGAACGTGGTTATTGTAAGACGTAAGTTGTGTTTATTATTCATAACGGAGCGAATGATTAAGTTATGCATTACTATGTGATATTGCGTCGAACTAAGACCCATATCGTGAAGAGACGTCCTTGCCTATCAGTTCAGCAGTTCACCAACATTGATGAATGCCAGGTCTGACCGCTGATGAGAAACCGTGTGTCGAAACCGGCCCTAAGTTTTCTTTTCTTGAACCAATGCTGCTGATGCATTAGCAGAACACCGTGCCGCTGATGGGTTGTGTACAACATGTATCTTCTTTCACGTGGAGACGGATATGTGAACGAGACATTGCAAATGTATTCATTAATAAGTAGGATTATTTAAATACGAGTATTCACCATTCGCCTGTATCTAAGCACGCTTATGAGTTGATTATATCAGTTAAGCCACGACGCAGCGGTCCCACACAACGCTGTGTTCAATTCCCCGACCACGGATAACATCAGTGGCGAGTGACATCTAAATCGCTCATGGGCCACTGCCCTTCACCAACCCGAACTGACCAGCATGGTGAAGTATGGTCGTGTACACCAACAGCTCGCACGACTAACACGACGTGAGAGGCCTTCGCGTCAACGCCGTAATTATAATATAATTATAACATATATTCAAATATGTTCAAATATGCTGAAAATGCCCCCCCGCCAATATATTGCTATAAAATAGATTTCTGTTTATATGATTGTGGTTATGGTTGTAGTTTATTAATCCCTAATCTCTGGCATTACATACAATGAAACAAGAAAAGGTTAAAAATAAAAAAACAGAGCAATGTAATACAATACACTATTAGACATTATTGTAAATAAAAAAAGCCCATCCTATGTGTTACTGGATTTTTAAATATTTTAGGCAGGAAATTCGTTTTCAATTTTAGATATTTTTTCGGGGGGGGGGAGCCTAGACCCCCTGGAAGATTTGGTCCCCCCCAATGTTGACTCCATGGCTACGGCCTTGCTTCGCGTCCAGCAGTGGATTGACGAAGGGCTGTACGTTATCATGAAGCTGATAAAAAGATAATGTTCTGATGTTCTATCAATTACGTTGGCCATAGTATTAATGTACGACGTAATTCTTACCCGAAATGAACTGACTATAGACTGTACACGTACATTTTCAACTTGTTTAACCTAATCAGCATGCATATGCATTGACATTAGATTTCAATTACAGTAATTGCTCAGGTTTACCAAATCAGATGCGATCCCATTGAGATGCATTGCCCTTTTTGGCGAGGGAGTTCCCTATTTACAAATAAACACACACCCCGATCTTGATAACATTTAAGAAACACAGCAGTGGCAGACAGGTCGGTGGTAGACGAGGTTGAAAAGCAAAAGACAAAGATCCCCCGTGTAGTCTGAATAGAGTGTTGGGCCAAGTGCTGTTCGCGAGTAGCACCTATGAAGGCCGGCACGGCACACGAGGGGGTTGGGTGGCCAGCACCACGCCCGGCCGCCTTTGTCTCCCCAGTGGCGATGTTTACACCCACACACCAGGTACTCATTTGAGGCTGAGTCGACCTAGAAGATGCCCAGGACCCGGCTCGCCGGGTTTGTAGCCGTAGCGCGTTAACCACTACACTACATACTCTTAGGGTTTTTCGGTAAAGTCACGTATTATTTATTTTTTGATTATTTATTTTTACCTACGTGACTTTTCCGAAAAACCTAAGAGTATGAATCCTTGCAGTCACGAAAGCTTCAAATCTAGAATCACTACACTACACACAGATCTAGAGGAGGTATTGTGTGCCAGTTCCACGCCCGGCCGCCTTTGTCTCCCCACTGCTGGTACAGTATTCATACCTCGGCAGGTATTAGGGGAGGCCCAATGCCACGTTCTGACACCACTTGTCACCGATGTCAGCCGTGCTAGGATTTGAACCCAGGTGGCCGTGGCTTGTTGCGCAATGATAGAACCACTGCGCCACAAACAGATGCGCAGAGCCTTTACAATTCTGTTGGCGAGCACCTATTAAGGCCTCTCTCTCTCTGTTGTCCCCATTGCTGATATTGTTGACGCACCGCACCAGGCACTTGTGTTGTTGTTGCAGACCGACGATCGATGTTCAATCGATGTTCGGTCGACGCGTTGATAGTATTCACCGTGATTTCTCGCTTAGCAGAGTTGGCCGGCAACGATCACACACACCCACACCCACACACACCCACACACCCCACCTTAAACGCTCATTAACATTACAATAAGCCGTTGCTTTGCATCTCTACATCAGCCACACGAAAGAAAGTCATTTGAGACGAGGTTGGTTTTCGAGAAAGTCCAGGACCGGTTCAGGAATCACTCGCTTCTGATGCTCTCCGTGGCCGAGAATCAGAGGCGTGCAAAGACAAAGACCCCCCGTGTAGCCTTAACAGACTGGCGGGGCAAGTGCTGTTACCTTACAGCACCTATGAAGGCCGGCACGGCACACGAGGGGGTGGGTGGCCAGCACCACGCCCGGCTGCCTTTGTCTCCCTAGTGGCGATGTTTACACACCGCAACCAGGTACTCATTTGAGACAGAGTGGACTTTGGGGGAGGTCCAGGACCAGTTCAAATATTCGCCACTGTTATTGATCGTGAGCGGGGAATCGAACTCGGGTCGCCTGAGTTCGTGGCGTAGCGCGCTAACCGCTGCGCCACCGCTCACATACATACACACGCACACGCACCTGTTATCAACTAGCGGGCAGGGGGGGGGCGAGATAGGCTTTTGTGGGGTGACGGGGGATAGTTTTGGGGGTTGGGGCTCGCTGTGTGTTTGCGTCAAGAGTCAATAACTGGGTAATAATTGATGGAGCAGAGCGCCAGGGCGGGCGACCAAGCGGGTCCCTCCTTGCGCGCCGCTCAGTAGCGGGGAATGCGCACGCGAGGTGGAGGTGTGGGCGTCAGGTATTGGGCACTGATGTTCACCTAACGTTATCTTACGAAGGGTTATGGTGGCAGGTATTTTTACAGGGGCACGCACGCACGCGTCACGGGCTGGTATTAATTCAGGGTTGTTCCTTAAAGCGCTCACCACGCACGAATAATCGAAGCGAGACACGTTTTTGTTGCGCGGTTGTTGGAGGGCGCGCAATCGAACGCAGGTGAGCACTTCGGTGCACACGCACCTGTGCCTGTCAACAAGGTGGACAACTTAGACCATGGACATTTGATGCGTTCTGCGCGCTCGCGGATGGGACAATGACAACGTCAAATATCACACCGCTGGTCTGCCTCTTCCTGCTGCTCCACCAGCCTCACCACCGGCATGTCCACGCCAAGCCATCGGACGGCATGAAGGCTTGGGAGAAGTTCAGCTCGGGTTCCACCACGTCCCCTCCAGCCGACGAGGTGCGATTCCCCGAGGGCTTTTCGTGGTCCGTGGGCACGGCCGCCTACCAGGTGGAGGGCGCCTGGGACGCGGATGGCAAAGCCGCCTCCATCTGGGACAAGTTCACCCACGGGCACCCAGAGATGTTCGATGGCTCCAGCGGGGACGTGGCGAGCGACGGCTACCACCACGCGGAAGAGGACGTGGAAGCGTTGCGTTGGCTCGGCGTGAGCCACTACAAATTCTCCATCTCGTGGCCTCGGCTCCTGCCCAACGCCTCGGCGTCAGAGCCCAGTGCGGCAGGGCTGCGCTTCTACAACGAGACCATCGACCTGCTGGTGCGCGCAGGGATCCGTCCCGTGGTCACCCTCTACCACTGGGACCTTCCGCAAGCCCTACAGGAGCGCCACGGCGGGTGGCTGAGCGAGGCTACGGTGGACGCGTTCGCGGAGTACGCAGAGTTCTGCTTCCGAGCGTTCGGGGACCGCGTACGCACCTGGTTCACGGTTCACAACCCGTACGCGGTGGCGTGGCACGGCTACGGGAGCGGCGCGCACGCGCCCGGGATCAGAGACCCCGGCATCTCTCCCTACGTGGTGGCTCACAATCTCATCAAGGTGGGTGGGGTGGGGTCGGGGGGAGGGTTGCATGCCATACATCCACCACCATCGTGATCATTATCCATGAAATGTAATTATTCTTAGCGCAGCATGTGTCTAAGTACATGCGCATAATGCAGTCTTCACGTCTCTGTTGTATACATCACATCATCGCATAGTCTGTAGGTCCATGTGCGTGTCATACGATTATACAATCACTGTTATATGCACAATCACGTATAACATGGCATATGATCCCACAATCCCACGTGTACATATCACGCATCTTCCATACACAATATTGTACGCAGTGTATATATCAACAGTGTAACACGCCCTTGCATAGATCACAAAATTATCATACAATCACTTACGTCCATGGATGTATCGTATGCGCATTCCATTCCCCACATCCTTGTGAATATGCACTTATCTCTTGGTCCATGGGATGTAATACACCTCCACGTCGGAAACACCATAAAATGTCAGGTGTCATCATATGAACTTGTAGTCTCAAAGGTAATGTACTCATCGGCTAATGGAATATAGACGCTCTGAACTCGGCAATAGATTAACATCTATCGATGTGCTAGAACGGCTGTCAAGCCAAACTTTACGACTTTCGCTTGGAAAATCATAAAACGAAACTTTCTAAAAAACGATGTAAACTATTTTTTATTTTTTACCAGGTAAGGCCCACTGAGCTATGTAGCTCTTTTTCAGATGCGACCTGGCCACAAATGATAGCCGAATGAAGTGGCTTATCACGTGGAAATTGATTGCAGCCAAATACTCTAAATGCATGTTGATTCTAAACGTGGAGGGGAAAACCGGAGGACCCGGAGAAAAATCCACGCGACCACGGGGAGAACACGCACACTCCATAAATACAGGTGTCAGGGTCGGGATCGGGATCGAACCCACGGCCTCCTGCATACCAGGCGAGGTAGTCAACATCTCGCTACGTTGGCGCCCCAATCACAGTGCAGAGGTTGATTGGTCTCACTCGCCGGTGTTGGGTCGAGATAACACAGAGAGAGAATGTGCCTGGTTCAGCACTTCACATATTGTACAATTTATATAAAAGTATATGCAAGTCTACGGTAATTGTCCTCGCATTGAAATGAGACTTGGGTTGGTCGTTGTACTGAGCTTATAGCGAAAATTCCGGATTCCTATGATGGAAGACCATTCTTGACTTTGCAGAATGTGCAACTCAGCCGTACAGATTCTCTACACACAATTGTGCATTGCTCATCTGTCACATATGCACATAAACATAAAACTTACAATACTTATAACAATCATGTAATGCACAGTAACGTAATAACACTATGTGGGGGGGTGGGGGGTGAACTGAGGTGGTGGTAGATATGTTGAGGAAGGTGGGTGCGTGGGACAGGAGGGAAAGGCAGTCAGACTCAGAATCTTTATTTAGGCTGGAGGAATCCGATGAGCTATGAAGCTCTTTTTCACAGATGTCCAGATTGAGTCTTCGTAGGACTGAACGGTGACATTTCACAGGCACAGTCTAACGTCTATTTGATATATATATGTGTAACGACATCTACATAATTACACTGCAGGATAAGATCATGTTTAGATTTATTTTTATTCTTGTGAAAGGGAGACCCAGGGTATCAGACACGTTGTAGATTTCCCAGGTCTCGCTTACAAAAGAGACACATTGTACAAATTAGGCTCTCAACTCCTGTACCTTTATATGAAGTATATGACAAACCAATATAATTTGTGTTGTTCCAGTGAAAAGCAAAAACATTATCAAAAACATGTTTCTTTTCAAATCAAAAACATATCGAGCGAGGACAACACTTAAATAAATTGTCCTTATTTAGAGTTCAGAATAGAATATTGTACAAACGACACGACACGTAACAATGTGAGAATCACAATCACGACCCAGAATAGTCATCATTCAATCATGGGCTGGAGATTGTTATATGCGTGGAGGTGATCTGTTCGTTGTCTGGAGGTCGTTTTTGACCTGAAGAGATTTCAGTCCAGTTCTCAAGTTTCACCAATTCCTCCTCCAATATTTGAATATTTTCCAGAAATTTTTACTCCATCGTAGCCATCATCTAGTATGAGGTGACCTCAAGTTCGTTTCCTTTCAATCACTCAATGTAGGACCAATCCCTCCAGGTTGTCTCCATCTCTTCTATTTACGCATCCAAAATATTCCCAACTTCCTGCAATTATGTTTAATAAGTTATCTGGCTTTCATACCTGCACCAACACGTAAAGATGTGACAGATCACTCCTAGAAAAGCACTGCCTTTGCACAGATTCTCGCCTGTCGATGAAGGCTACCGACGGTCACTCTGCGACCTGCGATCCCGCATCTCTGTCACAGGCGCACGCCCGTGCCTACCGCATCTACCAGCGCCACTTCAAGCCGACGCAGGGCGGCGAGGTGTCGCTGGTGCTCGGCTCGCACTGGGTGGAGCCGCGAGGAGGCAGCCACAGCCCCAACGCTGCCGCCGGCCACGGTGGAACCAGCGCATCCAATATCGTCGCGTGCCAGCGCTCGCTCGACTCGGCGCTGGGCTGGTTCGCGCGGCCCATCTTCCATGACGGCGACTACCCGGCCAGCATGCGCAACGAGCTGGGCGCGCGTCTGCCCACGTTCAGTCTGTCCGAGCGGGACGAGGTGCGCGGCTCGGCCGACTTCTTCGCACTCGCGTTCGGCCCCACCAACTTCGAGCGGCTGGAGGTGGCACGGCGCGCCGGGCAGGAGGCGGCGTTGCGTCTGAGGCCCCTGCTCAGCTGGGTGTCACTCGAGTACGACCGGCCGCGCATCATGCTCGCCGAGAGCGGGTGGTTCTCGGATGGCGATGGGGGCACGCGTGACACCGCCAACATGTACATGCTCAAGAGCTTCCTGAACGACGCCCTGCGAGGTAGGGCAGTGTCATGCATCGAACCTCCGATTAGTGCGGTTGGCTATGTACGGTGCGAAAGATGTTCAATCTACATGCATGTATATTCGTGTCACCACTGTTATCATCATCACCATTATCAAGGTGGTGGGGTGTGCCTCAGAGGTCAGAGTGCTGAGTTTGCAACGCTGATTTCCTAGGTTTGATTCAAGATTTCAGCTGCCTGCGTTTTTACCAGGTTCTAAAGTGTGCTGAGCTGAAGGCATCAATTCTAGATTTGAAGCTTTCGTGACTGCAAGGATTCATATTGTTAGGTTTTTTCGGTAAAGGCATCAGTCCGGTTGTACGCTTAATTAAGCAAAATCAACATTCCACGAAGAAATATCAGTTTGAATGGTATTTCATCATGTGGTGAACATTTCTGTCTGTAGCAGGGCAAGTGGGAAATTGCTGTGGATAAGAGGTCACTTGAAGAAATTTCAGAAACAGTTCCACGATATCTCCTTCTACTGGCTGTTTTCTAATGTTATGGAATTTTTTAAAATTTAATAACATGATGCCAATAGCACGTTTTGGTTAAAATTTGGGGCATAAAATCCCCATCATCTTCGTCAGTCACAACAGCAAAACTCTAGCAGATGAGCAAAGATGATCCATAATTGGTTGATTTGGGGTTAGATCGTGTGGCGTTATTAAAATCGAATTGATCATGAAAGCCTTCATATAAATTATATGTTTGAGGAAACTGGAATGCCAACTCAAGTATTGTTTATGAATGTTTCAGGTCACAGCAATTCCTTCCTTGAACTAGCTGCTGTGTCACTTTCATTCGTATTTCATAATTATTACCATCATCTTACTCTTTTTCAATAACAGCAGGCCTCACTGTTGATACCAACAACTGTCTGCCTCGGTACCAATTTTATACTTTTGATTGTAACAAGTAATAATTTTGGTTACATTAGTAACTTGTTGATTTGTTATACCTATGTTGGTGGTTAAGGATGAACCTTTTCTTTTTTAAGAATAACCATATCAAGGCCCTCTAGCTGAGTCTTCTGGGTCAACATGTTTGATTAATTTACCCACAATAGAATTACCAGAAGTGGCACCAAATACAACAGCAGGTTGTGCAATTGGCAGGCTGGTCCCCAACATCGTCACGTGGAACTGCCACCACTGACTGATGCCTTTCAATCTAAATCAGTATCAGTACCACTGCGTGCTGCTCGTTAGTGTCAGCACACTGACACTGTTTCATCGACGGGAAGCGTTCAACTGCAACACACAGCGCGGCAGAACGAGGCCTGGAGAGAATTGGGTGATCGCCACGGCTTTGCCCCGGCTCATTATTATCGTTCAGTGAGGCAATTCATTAGATTCTGGCAACCGTCAGACTCTCCAGGAGCAAGTAATAACTTACAAAGCTGCTGCAAGCGCTTTCTAACCTACATTATGGAATAGCCTACCCACCACCGCTTGTCAAGGAGTCCTCTCTGGCAGTCAGATCGAGACCAATCTAAAGACGTTATACTTATTCAGAAAACATCTGAAGACAAACAGCATCCTTTAATGGCTTTGCTTGAGACGTTGACAGCACTTTGTAGTAAATTTCGATTTAAAGCTTTCGTGACTGCAGAGATTCATCTTCTTGGTTCTTTCGGTAAAGTCACGTAGAATGGAAATAATAAAATAATAATAATAAAACATAATAAAATAATTCTCACGACGTTTCGGTCACAACGCAAGCAGCCGTCCTCAGGTGGAGAGCAGGTCTGTCGAGTAGATAGAGTCTACGTGACTTTACTGAAAGAACCAAGAAGACACTTTGTAGTAGTTACTATTGTTACTACTACTAAGCCATTATTAAAGTGTTTTCTCCAAAGGCAAATATATGATAACGAGGGGTTGTTCGGGGACGCCTGCGGTGCCCCTCACAACCATTTACGGCCTTCGGCCAGGAAAGCCACACGAACGACGCATTCACGCAAGCACCCGATGCTCCGTTTTGAAGTTGTAAAATGAAACATCTTTGAATTGTATTATCTTTTGAATTAGAAAATTGTATTTCTTCATTAAAAGCTTATATCATTTTACATCTGGAAGACTTAATTGAAAACGACATTTCGTGTGAATTTTCTCTCGTCGTTAAGTAGATGGCCTTGCCGGGGGTTCGTTTTGATGCGGACTTTCACCTGTTTGGGATTGCGGGATCGAGATAAGGCGATATAGAGCTGCTGGCCGTGCGAAAAGACCGCCGTCTGCAGATCGATTCCAACGTAATCGAACCTTTGTTCCTGCGCCTCCGTCGTTCATGCAGGGGGCGCGTAGGTTTGCAGCGCCCCCTGCATGAAAACGACGTAAAATGCAGCGTTCATCACAGATAGATAAAGTTGTGCGCTTATATAAGAGTATTGATTAGTCGGTCACTCACTAACCAACATGTCCTGGTATGTTTCTGGACTTTTCTTAATACTTTATGAAGCGCAGTGTAAATAATAAAATGATGGTGATGCCACTGATGGTGCTGCTCTGTGGCTGACTATGCTGTAGATCAGTGGTCTTCATTGCAAGGCCCGCGCGCCAGTAGGCAGCCCCTGTTGGCCTTTAGTGCGGCTCCTGATGTGCGGCCACTGACAATACACAAATGTGAAAACACGACATCGTGCTGTCAAACCCAATGGTTGAAAATGTGAGGCGGCCCTCACACTGAAAATTTGTGAAAAACACTGCTGTAGATGATGCCGGTGATAAAGCCGTCGCCGCCACCGACGATGATGATGATGCAGCTCACACGGACCCCTGTTACCCTGCAGCCGTGCGCGAGGACGGGGTGAGGCTTGAAGGCTTCACAGCCTGGTCGCTGCTCGACGGCTTCGAGTGGGGCCACGGCTTCCGGCTGCGGCGCGGCCTGATGCACGTCGATTTCACGTCGCCCGGACGCGCACGCCGGCCCAAATCGTCGGCACAGCTCTACCGCCAGGTCATCGCCCGCAACGGCTTCCCCGAGCCCGAGCCGCCCCTGTACGGCACGTTCCCCAGCACCTTCTCCTGGGGAGTGACGGAGGGCATCGTTGAGGTGAGCGTGTGGCAAAAAAAATGATGGAATGGTGATCCCTCCCCCGCCGCCGAATCCGTGACATTTCATGGAATTGCTGGGGGAGGGAAAATGGTTACATGCATATCAATTGTTACATAATCCACCTGTGCCCTTTACCCAAGACTGGAAAACCTGAGGCAGAATTTTATAGCTTCCACAGCCGGAGCCACGAGACACCGCTTGCTTCAGCCCAACCACACCATTCCTCATTACCTAATTTGAGACTCTTTCACTATAAACCGCTGATGGTAATTTGGCAATTAATGTCAAGACCTTCTTTTCTTCTTGGTGACAGTAGACAATCCCTGTTCTCATCCTGGACTCCCACTTCACCAACACACACGGACCAGGAAGGTGAAATATGGTCAGATAACCCCTATAATCTAAATGGTATGGGGAGGCCCTCACCCAACGGTCGATTGAGAAAGGGATGAATATTATATTCATTTCTACAGTATATTGATGTAAGTTGAATATGAAATGTATTTAAGTTGGGGAGGCTTTCATCTAGCAGTGGATTAATCATGGCTAATGATAATGGTCACCAAAATGCATTCTTAATAATCTACGTAAAATGCTTCAAATAAAGACGTTTTAAGGGTACCCATGAGTTTTCAAAACGATATCAAGTTGGACATTCAACCGAGATGTGGCCATACGTATAAAAAAAAACAAGTTAAATGAACTATGCACCCAAATGCCACATTTACAGATGTCAGGTGTAATTTATTACGTAACTGGCACCAGCGTTTATTGGGTTGTTGTGCAATTTTACCGCCTCGATATCTGTTAATTTCTTACAAGGTTTACTGGCAGGCTACGAAATCATGGTTTTGATATGATGCAATGAAACTTTTAACAACACGACAAGAATCACATGGGGCTTTTAAGTATCTGCCGAATGTAAATCTACTCGGAGACAGCACAACCTCCGATTAGCACAGTTGGCTACGTATAGTGGAAAAGAAGTTCAATATACATACAGTGTAAACATATAGTGTAGTGTACAATAGTAGTGTACACTCCAGGCAGAAAAATCGTGTGGCTGATCTTCATTGGGAACACCACGTGGCCTGGGACCCTCGAAGGGACGCTTGGGAAACAAGATGGAAATAACACGGCACAGCGTGTGCTCAGTACAGTTACAATGCAGTACAATTACGATGTGTTCAGTACAGTTACAATGCAGTACAGTTACGATGTGTTCAGTACAGTTACGATGCGTACAGGAATATCGCGGTTAACCGCGAATGGTTGAGCCACAGGGGCGCCGATTGGTGAACTGTGCCTCAATAAATTTGTCGCGAAACTGCAAAAAAGCAAGAACTGAACCCGCGAGAGGAGGGGAGGTTTTGCTGTATTCGGTAATGCGGGTATAGTGGCTGATATATTTTACAGCCCTGAATCAATCCACTGCTGGATGAAGCCCTCCCGGTGTCACGACTTCGCCATGCTGGTCAGCGTGTGTTGGGGGAGTTGAGGGCCAGGATCAGTTCAGATGTCACTCGCCACTGATGGTAGCCGTGCCTGGGAATCTAGCTCGAGTCGCTTGGTTCATAGCAGAGCGCACATATCGCTATGCCACCGCTCTACCCATCATTTCAACTTCCAGCTGTGATTCCTTCAGAGCAGGACCGTATGTGCATGGCACCAGACAATTAACATCATACAAAGTAGACGTTTCTAAAAACAGCATGGCAACTAAACATGTTACGCTTTTACATGTAAACATTTCAAAGTGCATTATTCATTAACCTGTCTCCTTCACAGGCAGACAACCGCGTAGACAGAGGGAGTTCACAGACTGATTGGTGGCGTGGCCCAGCCAAAGATATTTGCCTAACAAAAGGGGAAAAATGCTTGGCTGCTGACCTGCGCTGTGATACCCAATTGTGATGTTTATCAGCACGTGGCATCAAGACCAGCCCTGCCGTTATCAAGCACACAGAGGCTCATTAAACAAGGGTGGCTGCCTCTCCACTTACCTGCACATAACTCTTTGCATTTGGGATTAATCCGAGAGCTCTAAGGCAAACTGTGCAGACCCAGAGGTGCGCAGACATGTTCGATTTTTTTTTCCACTCGGGAGAGAGAGCGGAATGTTTGCTGCCTTATGCAGTGGAAATATTCCAAGAATGCAGAGGACTCGAACAAAGGCTTTGCAGTGCTATCAGCAATTAATTTATTGAGATTGGCCTTGCTTGGTATGTCGACAAAAAAGGCTTGGCACTGCAAGCGCTTTAAAAAACGATCATTGGCCTCCAGCACAGGTTTCTGTATGGCGGTCAATAGACGGGGGAGGGGGGGGATGTAGCCTGTTGGCCAAGGGCTCCCAAACACTGTGATGACATCGATGGGTTCCTGAACAAACTTATTAAATCCAGACAAAACACCCGTAATTGAGTTTAGCGAGCTGGTGATCTTAGCATCGTCACCAATGACTGCACGTGAAAACGATTGCATTATAATGTTGTTTTGCGTGGTTTGGCTAAATTCCAGCTCCAAACACTGCCGTTTGATTGACAAGCGATGAACACTCTTTGCAGGGGAAATAAAAGGTGTGCCCCTAGTGTCGATATAGAGGCCTATTCAATTAACGTTTAAGTTAGTTGTGTCATGTCTTCTTCCTGGGCTCTTCTCTGCACAGGGTGATGCATTGCTAAGCCCCAGAGTTTTGAGATTTTGCAACATTCTTGATTTGAAGCTTTCGTGACTGCAGGAATCCATACTCTTTGGTTCTTTCGGTAAAGTTACGTAGGTATAAAATAAAATAAATCACGACGTTTCGGGCACAACACAAGCGTCCATCATCGGGTGGGAAAGCATGGTCTGCTGCTGAGGCAGACTGTTTTAAAAGGTTTGAAATGGGTGTAGCTCAAGGGTTATATATGCAACATGACGCCAATAGCACGATTGGAATGCAATTGGACAAAATCATGTTAAAAGAACGTTATATACGAAGCATATTATCACTTGCAATGTATCCATCCCGCTGGAGTACTGCTTCAAAAATCAGATGTCATACTTTCCTATTGACTCTAGCGCTCATTTACTTCCACTTGCTCTGTATTCCTCCCGAACAAAACGCATGCGGGTAAAGCACTGCGCTGATACAGTCGGCAAGCAGGCAAGCGAGTATGCTTCACGCACGTGCTTTTCATCCTGCTCCAGGTGGAGGAGTCCCCTTCGTCGGTGCAGTTTGCCGACACGAGCGTCTACCGATGGGACGTCCACCACTCGGGGAAACTGCTGCAGCTGCCGGGCCTCAAGATGCAACCGCGTCTGTCGCAGTGTACCGACTTCACAAGCATCAGGAACACCGTGAGCCTACTGCGGCGCTCCGGCGTCACAGCGTACCGCTTCTCGCTCAGCTGGTCTCTGCTGCTGCCCTCAGGCGACCCCGGGAGGCCCAACCACGCCGCACTGCGCTACTACCGCTGCCTCGCCACCGAGCTGCGGCAACACGCCATCGAGCCAGTGGTTACGCTGTACCACCCATCGCACCGCCACGTGGGCCTCCCCCAGGTCCTGAATGACGCCGGCGGCTGGCTCAATGTCTCCGCGGTGGAGGCGTTTGCGGCGTATGCGCGCCTCTGCTTCGGCGAGCTGGGCGGTGCCGTGCGCACATGGCTGACGATCAACGAGCCGAGCGCGGCCGCTCACGCCGAGGGCAGCCCTGGCTCCGCCTATGCCAGGGCTCACAACCTGATCCGGGCACACGCTCGGGCCTGGCGGGTCTACGACGTGGAGTTCCGTGCAGAGCAGGGCGGCCAAGTGTCCCTGGCACTGCGGGCCGACTGGTACCAGGCGGCCGACCTGTTCGCGGGCGAGGACGCCGCCGCCACTGCCGAGCGCGCCATGCTGTTCGACCTGGGCTGGTTCGCGGAGCCGATTTTCGGCACGGGGGATTACCCGCAGGAGGTGCGCTCTTGGATCGCGCATCGCAGGCAGCTCAACCTCACAGAGTCACGGGTGCCGAGCTTCACGGAAGAGGAGAAGGCGGCCGTGCGGGGAGCATACGACTTCATCGCACTCAACCACTTCACCACGAGGCTGGTGCTGCACGATGAGAAGCCAGGCTCGAGCCAAGAACTCGACCGCGCCGTGAACATCATCAAGGTTAGTGCCCAAAACTCAGATGCCGTGTGGACTCCCTCAACATTCCACTTTGTAGCGTCACGGCCCAGCGCATCCGCTCACTGTGTTGCCAACTCTTCAAAGTGGAAAGTTGCCAAACAAATCTCAAAAAGTCACTAGGTATCATTAGATCGACCCTTCTAAAGTAATCAAAAATATCACTAGACAATTTAGCAAGTATTAAACAAAGCAAACTGAGAGACAGTCATAACACATATTGGTAATGACATCACTACACAATATACCAAACATTTTAATATAGTAAATTGATCATGGGACCTCCCTTGCCAGTATCGAAATATAAGAATAGGTTTTACCCTTTCTGACAATAAAACAGGTGGTAAGATGTTAAAACACCAAACTGAAACCTTTTGGAAAGAATAAAAAAAATGCTCAGAGTATGTTTTTTGTTTGCATGACCACCACAAGTATATGTGGTTAATGCAGACATGATTTCTTGAAAAAGGTTTCAGTTTGATGTTTTAACATCTTAACACCTGTTTTATTGCCAGAAAGGGTAAAACCTATTCTTATATAGTAAATTGATATAGAATCCTTAATGCGCACCGGGGATCGCTGCTAAATCTACAGTGTCCTCATCACAGACATTTCCTAGATTTGTCACTCATAGCTTTGGCAAATGCTCTTTCTCGGGAAACCAAAATAGTCGCTAGATGTAGCGACAAAATCGTCAAGCTATTGATGCTGGTCCACTAAACCCAACCCAGTTACTGATTTGGAGTCATCGTTGCATAAAGCCCGTCCGAGTAAGGGGCCCTCACAAATGACACTGTCCTCCTGGGATGACTAGCACGGTTGGCTATGTACGGCGCGACATAAGTTCAACATTCATACATACATGACCTCTCCCTGGCAGGACATGACATGGTTGCGGTCGGCGGGCGGGCTGGCAGTGGCGCCGTGGGGGCTGCGCGCGATGCTGGGCTGGGTGGCGCGGCGCTACGGATCCAGGGGCGCCGCCATCCTCGTCACAGCCAACGGTGTGGACGACCGGGCCCCCTCGAACGACCGCTTGAGGGTGCTCTACCACCAGCGCTACATCAACGAGATGCTCAAGGGTAATGCGGAATGAACGACAACGATCGTCGTCCTGTCGATTGCACCCTCATTAGTGCTGCTTGTTGCTGGCCATATGGGACTGTGCTCAACGACTGTGATAAAAAAATACATAAAAATCAAAGCTTATCCCAGTGTTAGAGGTTGAGTGGTATTAATCTCCCAAGTATCACTTTGCTGGAGTTAATTATAGTATTAATGTCGTTATAAGCGATCAATAAAATACTTTTGCACTCACAATACGTGCATCAAATCATGCGTGTGATCATACGTTATTTACAACATATGTAAATGATATGCAAACATTATCTTTATACTATTGAAACAGACAGAACAAAGGAAACAGATGACACAGACAGCACTGTCATACTTATCAGACAGAACAAACGAGACGAAAAGAATGTGACTCTTGAATTGAGTCGTGACCTCATGTCATGAATCGTGGAGTGATGAATCATTACATGCGCATAGCTACAACTGTGATATACATGTGAAGCTATTTGTCAATCCACTGCTGGATGAGAGCCTCCCCACGCCATGTGAGTTGTGGTGGTTAGTTGACCATACTAGCACCAAGCCAGTCAATACATGTTGCCAAAGGTGGGGAGCAAAGATGTAAGGGTACCGAAGTACAGTACAATCTAAAGAAATAGAGAAAACGTTTAAATTCAAAGCTTCTGCTTGTCTTCCACCAATCTCAATACTGTACACTAATTAAATGCGTTATCCTCCTCTGTAAGATACAGAGGCATCGCTTTCACATTCGTCAATCAACTGTTGAGAAATAAGTACGAGGCTCGTTATCAATTAGTTCGTTATTTAGAAAAATCACAAATTACTTCGTTATTTAGAAAAATCACAAATTACTTCGTTATTTAGAAAAATCACAAATTACTTCGTTATTTAGAAATGGATCACAAATTAGTTCGTTATTTAGAAAAATCACAAATTAGTTCGTTATTTAGAAAAATCACAAATTAGTTCGTTATTTAGAAATGGATCACCCTGTATTTTTTCCTCTCTGCCAGGAAGAAGGGCCAAAGGCCAAAACGTCGCCTTCTGTATACGTTTTCCCCTTTCGGGCAGTGTTATTGATGCATGCGTTAAGTCTTTGTTACGTGACCATGTATCTTCTTGTTGGTATCATCGTCATCGTCTGCAGCGTACCGGCTGGACGGGGTGCGCGTGGGCGGCTACTTCGCGTGGACACTTCGCGACAAGGTGGCCCCGCTCTCCGGACTCTACGCCTCCCCGTACTACGACACGGCTGCCAAGGCCTCGCTGGGGCGGTACCGTGCCACCATCGCCGCCAACGGCTTCCCGGAACCGGCGGGGGTCAGCGACATTGGCGACGACGATGGGGCGACCTCGCCCGGCGGGACGCCCCAAGCTGGCACCTTGTGCCCGGCGTGCTTGTTCTTCCGAGCGAAGGGGCACGTGGTGTTCTTCTCGAGCTGCCTGCTTTCCAGCGCGCTGCTGCTCGTCATCTTCTGCGTCTACCGACGCAAGCGACGGAAACTCTACCCGTCGCTCAAGCGAAAGGAGAACTCCTACTGTGCTTAGTTGATCAACGGCGTTGTAGAAGAGCGGGGAAGGAGAGCTCACGTGTGGATAATATGAAACAAATATCACTGCTGTGCTGTAGAACAGTTACAATTTATTTAAGAGATTATCGACAAAAGTTCTTAAAATTTTATTCTGTTTGAATGTGTTAAGCTCAGGGTGATACAGTACTAAGGAAATAATTGCTATTTGTAACGATTCACTCACCGCCTCGTCCCAGCTTGGTGAGAATTGTTATAATTTGGGATTGCGGTTCGATCGAAAAACTTCTTATTTTCGGTGTAATTTTTACTGTGTTGTTCCTATAATTTATTTTTTAATCTTACGTGTCAAGTTTTTATCTCGCTCAATTAGCCTAAATGTAATGTGAATATATCATCCGCACATAATTTGCCCTTAATGTGTAAATGATAATTTCTTACACACACAATTCGATGCCCGTATCGTGAGCACACAAATTGGTTCACGTTGACCAAGCAACGGGTCGTTACATGCTTAATCAGTACGCAGGGTTTCAACATTGTGTTCGGTGAATGCTACACGTGCTTTGTAAAAAAAAGACTGATAAAACTAGCACAAGTGACACAGGTAATTGACATAAAACGCACACATTGTTCACGCAGTCACCACTCGTGGGACTTTCATTGCTGGGAGCTCAAGTCCACATATCGACTTGGCCCATCACCCCACCAGGGTCAGTACACTAAGCATCACCTCTGGTGCCTCTGGCTATATCATATGGACGGACCCGTGCCCATCATCATCATCATCACAATCCATGGGTAGATAGCCCGTTGGTGTCCACTGCACATTTCGTCATGATGGGCCACTGAACGAAATGTGTAGTGGCCCATCGCAGGGATGTGAACCTTCCATCCATTTCTCAGAAGTGCCAATTGAGATAAGTACCGCCTAGCACTCGTTCGAGCACAGAAACACTTTAGACTCTTGGTTCTATTTTTTTTAAGTTATATATTTGTCATTTGTGTTCTGTATTTATATTTCATTTTCGAGTGTGCTGTGTTAAGGGAGTACAAGACCAGCACTGCTTGTTAGTTGGAACACTCAAGTGAGCGTTATGTCCTCCATTCTAACAACTTTTAATTACATATGTTTGACAATACTAGCTTAATAAGAGATACTTATTTAATATTATAAGTCGTGAGCGGCTCACGGATGTATTGATTTTACAAAGGGCTGCCTGGGGACACTCCTAAAGCAACAAGTGACACACTCTCGCTATTGATTAATATTCTTCACGAGTAACGTTGGCTGCATTAAGAAAAAACTGTTATCCATAAATAGTTTAACACGTAGCAGGCTTTCGCGACCAATATTATTCATAATAAACGTTTTTGGGTTAGATCGCGTTATTTAGAAATCTGTCGTAACCCTCCACCACCCGACACGGCCAATCAGCAAAAAAGTTCACGTTGACAAAAGACAAAATAGTTCACTACTTTAGCCCACCGGTGTGTTGAAGAGTGAATCCACAACATTTACAGTTTTTGAGTACGACGTTTCACTGGTAATTACATCCAGCATCATCGGGCAATTCTGTGGATTCACTCTTCAACACACCGGTGGGCTAAAGTTGTGAACTATTTGTCTTTTGTCAACGTGACACTTTTTTGCTGATTGGCCGTGTCGGGTGGTGGAGGGTTACGACACATTTATAAATAACGCGATCTGACCCAAAACTTTTATTATGAATATCCATAAATACTTTACTGAGTGTAAATATCAAGTACACACGTAGATTGTATATTAAAAGAGCTGTTTATAGATATGCGCTGGTGTATATCGTTTTGTACAATAAAAATATGTGCAATATTATAAGACATATTCTGTACATGTGCAAAAAAGTACTGTAAATGTAACATCTGGCAGATTGTTGTTATCGATGAGTACAATAAACATTATGACTTGTGACAGTATTTGTCTCTTGATATTTCACTGGGTATAATGTAGACTCCGTGTTGTACTCAAGTGGCGATGGAATGTCTCCATTGCGTAGTTATTGCTGGCTCTTAAAGTTACACGGTGGTAGGTGCAATACTTCCAAATCATACAGTCTGCAAATACTGGCAAGCGTCCTAACAGGAAAAAAACATTATTCAATTATTATATTAGTGTACTCTTTGGTTCTTTCGATAAAGTCATGTAGTTAGAAATAAAATAAAATAAATCACGCTGTTTCGAAAAATCGCGATTTTCACCTGAAGACGGGCGCTTGTGTTGCGTTTGAAACGTCGTGATTTATTTTATTTATACCTACGTGACTTTAACGAAAGAACCAAAGAGTATAGATTCCTGCAGTCACGAAAGCTTCAAATCAAGATTATACTAGTGTATTTGCTATTCTTCCAGCTGATGTTGTTTTCTTGGACGACATAAACCACATTGTGGGAGTAACGGAGGTCAACTTTAGTGTTAAGATTTGACGGGTGCTTGAGGTAGGAGTAATGTCCGTGTTAGACAACTATTTTTTTTATTTTACCAGGTTAGACCCACTAAGGTAATGCGGCTTTTTTCAGAAGCGATAGCACAACTATGTGGCTTATCGCGTGGAAATGTATAGCAGCCAAATACTCTAAACGCATGTTTCTAAATGTGGAGGGGAAAACTGGAGGACCCGGAGTAAAATCCACGCGACCACGGGGAGAGAGAGACACGCAAACTCCAAATATACAGCAGCATTCGTCAGGGTCTGGATCGAACCCACGGCCTCCTGTACACAAGGCAAGAGAGTTAACAATGTTAACATCTCGCCACCGAAGTTACGTTAAGTTCGCATTCAGCACGAGGGGGCGCTCAGTGCTAGAGAATGACAAACCACAGCACAGTCCAGGAACGTATTTTTCAAAGGGCGTGAAACGCAACGGCTGATTAAAGGAGGTCCACTTTAGTCAGTGGGGACTTCATTAAGGCAAATTATTAGCTTGTGTTCATGTACTGCAATAACAATGAACCCATAGTGGAACTCTCCCTGCAGAACTCTTATTGCTACGAAGTAGGCTTTTGCACTGGAGTATCGTGTAAGAATAAAGTTATTACCGGTTTTTTTTCGGTAAAATCACGTAGGTAAAAAATAAATAATAAAAATAATGGAAATAATATTATTCTTTTTTCATAATAAAAATAATAGAAATAATATATATTTTTTAACTACGTGACTTTACCGAAAAAACCTAAGAGTATGAATCCTTGCAGTCACGAAAGCTTCAGATCTAGAATTATTACCGGTAATTAGTGCAAGCCGCCAGTTATGAAAGGATCAAAAGCCCGGACACTGACACAACACGTTGGAACAAAAATGTGAAACGTATGCAAATAAACACAGAGAGGAGCGTGCTTGGATTTAGACTGAGACACAAAAATGGGAATAAACTCGTCGGGGATACAAATGCAAATGAGAGCCATCATCATATTGAGTGGAAAGAAAAATAAGAAGGCTTGGGCAGGACACATAAGGAACGGTCACCGCCGATGGATGGAACAAGTTGTGGAATTCCAGGTGAAGGAAAACAAACTGATGAGATAATTTCAAGTGCATGCGTGAGATGTATGGTGTCAATTCTAGATTTGAAGCTTTCGTGACTGCAAGGATTCATATTCTTAGGTTTTTTCGGTAAAGTCACGTGGGTAAAAAAATTTAAATTAATAAAAGTAAAATAGAAATTAAATAAAAATCACGACGTTTCGGAGGCAACACAAGCTTCCGTCTTCAGGTGGAACCGTCACAGCACTTGATACAGCAAGCGTGCTGTGACGGTTACACCTGAAGACGGAAGCTTGTGTTGCCTCCGAAACGTCGTGATTTTTATTTTACTTTTATTTTACTTTTATTAATTTGTATTTTTTACCTACGTGACTTTACCGAAAAAACCTAAGAATATGTATGGTGTCATCACAAGATCTGTGCACGGCACGAGGAGGCGGTCATCCAGCAGTGGATATAAAATGGATATTGACGATGGGTGTAAACTGAACCCAAAGATACATTGCGCCTCGTTCGAAGCTACACTCGCGCACACTGACACGTGAACAAGAGTGGTTTGGCAAGAACACCGCCGTGTCAAATCCCCCTGTTTCAGAGTGACAATCTAAGAATTATACGGAGGCGTCCGCGACAAATTCCACACAATTTAAAGAAAACCATAACCTTCTACCCGTGTTCCCCCCAGGGCCAAGCGCCTCAGTCAAACCTCGCACCGGCATGCAGACGGAGCCTGCTCCCTTGCTGCCCAGTCCTTACCCACAGTGCAACAACAACAACACCTGGACGCTGTATAACGGGATTGTCCCTACATCACTGTTTAGGGTGGGTGGCATTGCCGGTGCCCCCGTGTGTGTGTGTGTGTGACAAATATCTGAACAGGTCCTCAATCTCCCCGTAGGTTTGATTCAGCCTTAAATGAGTACCTGGTGCGGTGTGTAGACATCGCCACTGGGGAGACCGAGTTGGCAGAGCTGGTGCTAGCCACACCACCTGTGTTGGTCTTCATAGGTGCTCGCTAACAGCACTTATTCCAAAAATCTGCTTAGGCTATAAGGGGGATCTTTGTCTTCGTGACAAATTGCATTGGCATGGATCGTAGCAGAGTCAGCTACAAAGCACGTACTTAGAAGGCTAGAGGCTGTGGGTTTAGTGAGTGGGCGAAGCATGGGACATGTCAGTCAGCGAGGTATTTTCTCTGGGGTATTTGTCCTTCTGCCTATATTCTGCAACATAATATATCTCTCACTGACCAAGGATGGGAAAGATGGGACATTTATTTATAACGGCACAACATCCATATACAGCATTTTGGCGAAAGAAACATACACTACGTTGAGAACAACATTGAACATAAATATTTATTCCAAGGTTTCTGAGAAGCACATGAAAATCTGATAATGGTTCAACTCTCCTCTTCAATTTGTGGACAGCATTGTTATTTATAACCAATTGGGGCACCCGTTGGGAGAGCTTGGTTACACATACAAATACAAAGCAGATATTTTATAAAACGTGAACGCTTAACTTGCATGGGATATCGGTTAGAATTGTATTATTAGGAAGCCACTGGAGCTATGCCATTTGAAATATAAATTGAAAACCCATTTCTTTAAAACTGCTTTTTGTATTTTGTTTTTTTGTCCTTCTCCCGCACCTCCAAAGAGCACGGTTGGCTACGTACGGCGCGAAAGAAGTTCAACGTACAATATTTGAGTTTGATTTCTGCCTATTAAAAAATGTTAGTGGTGAGTGATATACAATATCAACCTATCCTGGGCCCTACTTCACTAAGCGGCACAAGACCATTGTGGTGAAGTATGGTCAAACAACGCCCATGAACCAGCATATAATGGGGGAGCCCTTTATTTGGGAGTGGAGTGGGTGTTGTTTTTTTATTGTACATGATAAGGGCCTCCCATCACCGTGCGGGTATTGGGGTGGAGTTATTTGACCATACTTCATCGCGCTGGTCAACGTGGTTTGGTGAAGGCGGGGGAACATAGGTGTTGCAGCAGAGTATAGCGCAACAATGTCAAGTAGAGTTTGCTGCACTGCCTTTGTGAAGCAGCCTACAGAACCTATTCAGTGCAGGGTGGTCGCCCAAGCAAGGACTATCCAGGCTCAAGATTTCCTAGTTTATTAAGATCGGGTGCGTGTGTTCGTGGTGTGATGCTCACATGTAATTATGACAGTATTATTATCGTCAGGAAAACATTTCAAAGTGGAAATATATTCACACGAATCCATAATATAAGCATAATTTACGTTCAGATTGTCGAAATGATTATTAGAGTTGTTGATATTGCAGTTGTGTGGTTATTAAATTCCTGCCCTTTTATTTTTAAAGTGCACATACTTTGTAAATGTAATTCTTAACTCGACGCAACCTCTCAGAATAATGCATGCCTTGTCCAAGCCTTGCCTAACCGTACTGGGCTGCACATTCGCTTGCTTCGTGTTCAAAATAAATAAATAAGCGCAGAAATGTTGGTGTAAATGTTTTTTTAATCGTTACCGTGTGGGGCCGTTTGGCGGTCGATCTTGTTTGGTCGAAGCCAGTGTTTACGCTGTCCACGAGGCAGCATTGTCCCTTGCAGGGGCAATCGAGGAGATGAATGCACAGGGTTCGAGCACCGGCCCAGCGCTAATAGCTGCCCAACGGAGCGTGCCTTTTGCACCATTAATTACTACGCCTTGTTTGTTTAGGAACCACCTTCTGTCACAACAGCAGTTTTGTTTTGTGTGGATATGTTTTGAGTTACATAAAGTCTGGTAGGTGTTTTTGCCATAATCTTCGAAAAGTTAAGGCACGACTAATTTCCATTGTTTGGTCTCAATGGGCTCTTACCTGCCAATAAAAG